AATGTTCTTTCTTCTTACCTGGTAGGTGTTGTTTTAAGATTCCTGCTATGCTCAAGCAAAAAAACCTTGAGTCCTGCTTGCTTTTTGACGGTCCCCACACAAACACATATGACTACAATTGCGATAAGATTACAAGAACCTTCACGTGTTTGAGTGAGTAAAAATAAAACCCATGATTCCATCACATATCAGTGACTCTAAGAGACATCCTTTTTTTAAAATTGAAAAAGATGAATGGTCACATAGATGACAACACTGGAAGAAAATAAAATGCCACATTATAAGCAATATCACAAAAGAGAGAGTGCTGTAATCTAAATATTAACCAAAGCTTCGGACACAATAAATAACCAGACAATATTATGTTGGTTGTTTGGGCTTGGTTGGTTGGTTGTGAATGTACTGTAGCTGAACAAAGTAGTTGAGTGAATTATTCAGTCACTTACTTAACACACAGAAGTTCTCTTAATGCATCACCCTTTGTTAATGTGCATTTTAAAGTATTGCATGAGAAACAAGTGATGGAAATGGCGATTTTGAATAAAATATCCCTTAATTCGCAGCTGGGTTAATGTAAATAATGGGAGGTGGAAATGCTTTTGCTGAATAAACTCTGACATAATGAACACTATTCAACTGTCTCTGATATGCTTGCCTTTGATAACTGTTGGTTACTAGGTTACCAATACTACAGTCAGACACTGTAACAACACACCATCGTCATTTACCATTCTATCCCGATATCATCCCGTTAATATATTTTCCCATATTTCTCCCGTAATTCATCCTTTCTATGAAAAGTGTCAACACAGAAGTAAAATCAACACAGAGTTGATCCGCTGAAGCCCTAGGGGGCAGCTTTGCTTTCTAAATGTAAATAGTTGGTGTTCCCGGTGACTTCTCTACACGCAATTTGAACAGGAGTGAAAGTGGACACTTTGTAATTCGGGTGTGTGTTTAAACCAATGACTAAAAAATATGGACGACGCAACAGCCCTTTTTCCCATTGAACGCCTTGAGGGCAAAACGCCTGCTTGACGGGCACAAACTGTCGCAAAAGACTGCTGAAATTGGAGCCAGACATGCGCAGAAGGATTGTCTGATGGAGCCAGAGGAGGAGCCGCGAAAATGAGCAGAGTCGAGCTTCCAATCAAACGCTTTATGTAAAATCAACTACGCCCCCCGAACTTCTCAGCATGCGTTTGCTGTCATATCAACACAAATGGATGTAATAACGTTAACAAATATGAGGGTTTTATATATTCAATCGCGCCAGCTCCAGGCCGCAGCGCATAACTTACTCGCGGCGTCGCGGGCTGATTCCGGCTCGCATGCGGCAGCGCCTGCTCGCTCGGCCGCCGCATCTGGCTCGATTGACTCGGGCTGGAATTGGGTAGTGAGTCCAGGCATCCGGAGTAGGTCCAGCAGAGGTAACATTAGTCAGTCTGAGCTCTAAGAGATAAGTCTCCGGCAGGCGAGAATCTAGCCGGAACTGTATTTTGCTATCTGGGTGGCTAGGCGTGTATCAGCAAACTAATAAAGCCCGAAAAAAGCCCTGAACTTAGCGAATAAACAGTGTTCCACCAGGATCATGTATGTCAGAAACTATAGTTTACTGCTGAACTCATTTTGTCATGGTAAAATAACACAGAAATCGAATAATAACATTTCAGTCTACTTCAGTCTCCTGCCGAAGCTCAGACGCCGCGCTTTGAGAAACTGTCAATCACAGCTGTCAATCACGATGACACGCCCAGCATTAAATTACTGCTAAAAACAAACTGTTTACAAAAATGAAGATCTGCACCTATTTCAGCACAATAACCAGTGCCTTAATCGACCAGAACTATCTTTCGCGACATTTTATTGCAAGTGTAATTTTTTTTTGATTTGGGCTCAAGTCTCCTTCATTAACACGGAGGAGGCGGGCTTTATGACTTGTACTGCAGCCAGCCCCCAGGGGGCGATCTAACGGCCGAAACCTTCACTCAAACGTAGGCTTGCGGCACACTTGGTTTAAACAGACAATTGCACATAATAACATGTAAACGTCCATCTTGGTGTGTTTTATTAAAAACAAAATCAATTGTTCCTTGAATGAGCATAAAGATGGGAATGGAATTGAAAGTTTCTCATTGTAATCTCTTATTTTTATGTCCCAATGTTGACAGAAACAGTACATTGAACAACTTGATAAAAATGGGTGTTAGAAACTACCATGGACTGAGTTCCGGGCGGCAGCAATATTATACTAAAATTGACAACCAGGGACACAGTCCAATATGTAGTGGATGTGGGCGAGAGCAGATTTTGTTGTAGATACAAATTATTTATTTTAATTGTTAAATTACACATTAAATTGTGTTATTAATGTCTACACTTTCCCACTTCCCTTCCACTTTACCTTAGTGAGTGTTACATTGTCCACTACGTAATGTACCTGGTCTAGTAGATCATCGTGTTACGGACTGCAGCAAGGACAGAGAAATAACAAAACATCTCTGTCGAGAGATGATTCTAAAATATGGGAGACTCCAGAGAAAAACGGGAGTGTTGGTAAGTATGGTGTTATATCCTGTTTGGATTGTACTGCTGGCTAGTGTTAGTGAAAGAATCTGCTAATTCAGTGGCTCATTTGTAAAGATACCACACCTACTGCTGAAACATATAACTACAGAAAGATTCAGTTAAAATCATCAACACTAATACAAAGTCAACAGACAAGCAAACAATCAAACTGATTATAACAATAAAAAAAGTTTCAGAAATATCTGTTATAAAATTTCACATTAATAAATGGATCTTGGTCTCGCAGAATAACGCCGACAGCTTTTAGGGGCCTTTAATTCTTTAATATAAAATCTGCAAATACATTTTTTTAACTACACTTTAAAGCAAGACAGGCTCATTCCAAAAACCTACATTTCTGAATATCGCAAATTAAGTAGCAGAAGTATGTATGGCTGTTTTTTGTCTTTAAAACAAATGCTACGGGGCAGTATGATGGTGTTCCCTTTTCGCACTTACCAGCTGACCACTTACCTCCATGTGGACGGTTTTCCGCTGTTACCATTTTGTCCAGTTAGCTCACCATGTACATCGGCAGACTTGAGACACAGAGAGGAGTTGACCACAACGATAGGGTTCAAGTCTGGTGAATAATAGTTCCAGAAATTGGATAAGACAAGAAATCAAAAAATAAAATAAACAACAGCGTAAGAATGTGGTAAAATCTGAAAGCATTGTAAAAAGCAGGCAAGGGCTTTTCTTTTTCTGGATTGCTTTTTAAAACTGTCGGTTGAGTTTAGGGAAGTGGGTGGTTGGCTCAATCGGTGCTTTTGAAAACACTATTGGTTGGGTTTAGGAAAGGAGGAGTCGATCGGTCATTTAGTCAGTCGACAGCAGCCTCTGGTGGATTTAAGTGAGAACAGCAGGCTCGAACGACACTTGCAAGCGAAATTTGAGATCTCAAAAAGTGTACACAGCGGCCTCTGGTGGATTAGCAAAAACAAAAACTTAAAAAAACATTGCTCTTCGCACGTATTTGGCACTCTCCAGAAATGTATATACAGTGTAGCGGTACATTTTCAGAATGAGCCTGGGTTCCTTTTAAGATATGCTCAACCTGAAGTATACTGGAAGTTCACATTCAAAACAGTGAGTTAATTTTGGACAATTTTCTCTCTGTGTCTCTCTTTCAGCCAGTAATGATGCCTGTGAAATGTTTATCTGCAAGTGTAACACGAGTGTTTGCAGTGCAGCATCCAGACATCAGCAGCTTCTTACTGCATTCACATTCACTCTCATAATCTCCCTGTTCACCCACAGCCGTCAGTGAAATGTGTATACAATGAACATTACTGTATTGGTCAAAAAACATTAGAAAATGTTCTGTGGTGACAGCTGTTTTGCATGTACTCTTGTAATGGACGCTTAGTAACTTTTTCAAGGCCTTATGACGTTTTTGCCTTTTTAGAGAAATTGAATTCTCATCCCAGCTGTGCAAATTGCCAACATATGCTGATGTTCCCAAAGAGTGAAACACGCACACATGCGCACACGCACACACACACACACACACACACACACACACACACACACACACACACACAAACAAGTGGACATAAACACTCAGCTTGTACTGTAAATAGCTCTACATCTAACACAATATATTAGGTGTCTTTTACTACAACGCACTTACATTTGAATGAATCGTTTGGTACAATACAATTATTGTTTACAAAGTTTAACAGTACTTATGTTTTAAAAATGTTCTGCATGTAATTACATCTGAAAATAGGTTTACAATTACACTCTTGATCCATGCCTGAAATATTAGCCTACCCTTGTGTGTGCATAATATACTGCTGAGGTCAGAATTATTTGCCCCCCATATTTTTTCTCCAATTTCTGTTTAACAGAGAGAAGATTTTTTTCGACACATTTCTAAACATAATAGTTTTAATAAGTCATTTTCTAATAACTGATTTATTGTATCTTTGCCATGATGACAGTAAATAATTTTTTAGTAGATATTTTTGTTGAGATTAGTATTCAGCTTCAGCTTCATGACATTTAAAGGCTTAACTAGGTTAGTTAGACAAGTTATGGTAATTAAGCAAATTACTGTATAACAATGGTTCTGTTGACAATGGAAATAAATATAGCTTAAGGGAGCTATAATATTGACCTTAATTTAAAATTAAAGTTTTAAATTAAAACTAAAAATTTGTTTTTTTTAAAACTACTTTTATTCTATCTGAAATAAAACAAATTAGAAGAAAAAATATTATAGGAAACACTGTGTAAAATTCCTTGTTCTGTTAAACATTATTTGTGAAGTATTTGAAAAAGAAATAAAAAATTCACAGGAGGGCTAATAACTTTGACTTTCACTGTATATATCACATGTTCCTAATTTACACAGAAATGGTTTATCAATTAGCCCCGCCCATAAGGTTGTAAAAATGATATAAATAATTGTCCGTTGACAGCTGTTCAGTTAGTTTTCACCATGAACACATTCCTGTCTCTCGTGGTTTTGAGCATCAGTTTGCCTACCTGTAAGTACATCAGATGAGTTTTACTGTACGGGAACATTTTGTTGAACATTTTCTGTAATATTTTAAGTCTTTACTTTAGCAGTGTTGGGTAAGCTACTTAAAAATATACTCTACCGGTAAAAAGTTTGGGGCCTGTATGATTTTTAAATGTTATAAAATAAGCTTATCATGGTCACCAAAGCTGCATTTACTTCATCAAAAATACAGTACAAACTGTAAATAGTTACTGCACTATACAATAACTGTTCAAAAGTAGTTTAGAATTTAATTTAATAATTTATTCTTGGGATTCTAATGTTGAATTTTCAGCTTCATTACTTCAGTCTTCAGAGTCACACAATCCTTCAGAAATCACAGTAATAAAAATTATTATTATTATTATTATTATTATTATTATTATTATTATTATTTATAATAATAATAGTAATAAAAGCAGTAATGACTGGAGTAATAATTTCATTTGAAACTACATACAATAAGAAAGCAGTTTAAATCTTAAAATCTTAATATTTAAGATTTTTTTTTCATTAAATAAATGCCGCCTTGATGAGCAGAATAATTTTCTAAAATTATTAAATAAAACAGATCCATCAAAAAAAATGATACTTAAGTACTTTAATGACAAACATAACATTCTCTAGTTAGCTGACAGAATTACTCAGATGTTTAACATTATATTTATGACATTATGATAAACAAGCAATGACAGTATATGTAATACCACATATTGTCATTAACTAATTTCTTAATGTTTTCTAAGTATGTGCAATTGTCTGACAAATATGACATTCAGTTGAAAATAAAATTATGCTGCAACACATCTGAAAAGCAACCAAAAATTGCTCAATTGCTTTTCTTAAATTATGAACTAATTTCTGACTCAATTAATTTTTTCCTAAGCATATGCAATAACCCTGAAAAATTGTACCTTCTTTAGCTGAAAAGAAAAGAATTATTATCATATATTATTGTTCATTATAATAGTATACAAACACAAGTCTCTGAATTAATTACAAATCTGTTGCATTTCTTAACAGATTAAGGCTAGTAACTAATTTTTTATTGTTTTTAAAAGAAACAGTAATCCCAAGTGACTTCTAGTAACCTAGTGACCCTGTAAATATGCAAATCAACTGTTTATTAATATGTTCAACAATTGCACATTTTATTGTTTATTTATTAAAACTGTTTTGAATTGAAAGAATGCGAACCATCCTGAATTGAAAATTATGTGAGAGCTTAGCTGAAACTTGCCTAAAGTTTCTAGAATATCTAGAGAGCTTGATTAGCTGGTTTAGGAGTGTTTGATTAGGGTTGGTGCTAAACTCTCCAGGATCTCCAGGACCAAGTTTGGACTACCCTGGTCTACACAGTAAAAGGCAAATGGTTAATGTTGTTTAGTTCCTGGAGTTCACTGAATTATCTTTTATGATGCAATTTAAAATATAAATTAATTAATTAATCAATTAATAAAAAAACAAACAAACAAATAAAATTTTGTGACCACATGATAGAGTAAAAGATGATAATGTTTTAATATTTGGATGATGTATCTCTTTATACAACACCACAAGGCAGGCAACTGGCTAAAAGATCATTGTGTGAAATTTGGTAGACATTTTGTTGCAATGTCTATATTTTTGACTATTTAACTTTTTTATTTTGATATGATATCCACATATTCATCTGCCACCGACTGCAGTTCTTTTTTAAAATTACAGTGCCATGTGAAAATTAATACAGCAATTTGAATTGTGTAATGCGGTCATTTCTTAACCCTTCAACTGCCCCACCAAGAAAAAAAAAATTGATTGCACTTCTTAACTCATATGTCGCTAGTTAACACACTCAATGCATTTTCTTAATGCACATCCCATAGTTTCTTAAACATCAACCTCTACAAAATTTGGTTGTCAGTTATGTTATAAGTACTGAAATGATAACATATGCTATGAAAAATCTGAAAATATGAAGTGTAAGTCTAATTTACTTAAAATATGATCAAAATAAAACATTTCTGAATACTAAATCATCTTTATTTTTTTAAGTTAAAATATTTCAGATTCTCATTTAAAATTTACAATAAAGCCAAAATCAAGTGTAGTACTCAATTCTGTGTTATTTTTAACACCGCTGGTGGTTCCCATATAAGCAAGATTTAAATGTGAGATGACTGCACCCTTACGACTTCTAAAGTATTGGGATAGCTTGATAGCTTATATTTTAGAAAATATGGAAATTTAATTTATTGTATTTTATTTTTGCTGTTGTTACAATGCAATTTCATGACAATTCGTAACTTTTTGATTTAGTGGCTAATTCGTATGAATTCTTATGATATAATTTTTTGCACAATTTAGTACGATTTGCCTATCACACAATGATGGTTGGGTTTAGGGACAGGGTTGGGTGCCATGCCTCCTTTTTAAATCGTACATTTTCATACGACTGAACAAAATGTAAAATACTTTTGTTTTCTCATGAGATTAGGCTGGTTGTTAGTTTGAAAAGCCAGTTATTTACTAAATATTAAGATTATTTTGCAGCATTGTATCACATAAAGCAATAATCAATGTCACTGTTCAACAGTGTTGGCGACTCTAGACTATCGTGCACTGTGGCAGTTCAGGGCCATGATCCTCTGTACCATCCCTGACAGCTGGCCCGCACTGGATTACGCAGACTACGGGTGCTACTGCGGCAAGGGAGGCTCGGGCACCCCGGTGGATGAACTGGACAGGTCAGATTTCAACATCAGCCATTTCAATCAGTTTGTTCAATCACAGTTTATTAGACAGTTTAATATAGCATGCAGAATACTCCATAAATTGTATAGATTACAGATAAGTCTCTTTTTTTTAATTACCTTATGTTAAAAAAGGATCCAAATCCCTTCCATTTTGAGGCCCACTGCAATTTAACGTAAGAGCATGGTTTCTCCGCCCGCCGAATTAATTGACAGCAACGTATGAACATGTCTCCATAGTAACTCATTTATTCATATCAACATGACAGGATGTGAGCAAAGTTACTGGAATTAAAAGATCTGTTGAGCTCACTGTGATCATCAATCATCATCAAATGTGATCAAGAATGAGTTTTACAAGTGTAAAACATTTTTAAAACAATGCTTGTTTATAATGAATTATTGCAATTTTACTGTCTTTATCACCAGAGCCACTTGTCTGTGTGATTGCAAAGGAAGCGTGGAATCGTATTAAATCAGGTTTATTTTGTAACATAATGGAAATCCATACAGCTCTTGATGGTAATGTGTATCTTGTCACATTTGTTGTGCAAAAAGTCATGCTGTGTGTGTGTGTGTGTGTGTGTGTGTGTGTGTGTGTGTGTGTGTGTGTGTGTGTGTGTGTCTGCTGTGTGTGTGTCTGCTTTGCATGTATGTGAACTTTGTAACGACATTGTGTGTGACTCATCGTTGCAGAACACACTCTGACAGGCACATGGGAATGGGGCAGGGAGAACTAGCATTAAATATACAGGCCACAAAAACAGATACAGAGTGTTTGGGGCAGAAAATTCCAATATTCTGAAAGCTAAGATAAAAAAAATATGATGGGTTATATTGAGCTGAAACTTTACAAACACATTCTGGAGACAAATATTTTTTTTTAAACTTAAATCTTGAAAAAGGGGTAAAATAGGTCAACTTTAATGTATTGCATCCAAGCAATTTTAAACATTAAGCTCGGAAAGTTTTGACTATTCTGTTTTTGCACATATGAGTTTGTCTAAGTAATAATAATTAGATAATAAAAATTTTGCCTTTAAATAAATTTAATGTTTCTTACTTAGCATACTTTTTTGCATGCTGTGATATTATTTACCACCGCTAAGAGGTTTCTTGATATAAATTTTTGTGTTATTGTATCCTAAACCTTTGTTGCACCAGCGGTGTTGATTTCAGTCATGTAAATGATAAAGATATCTCTTAATGTTCAACAGAAAAGTGAATTCATTGTTTTTCTCCTAATTCTCTTGTGAGAAATGAACTGACCCTTTCATGTGTTGTCTGACTGGCTGTTTGCTGCCTTTGTCACACTTTTAGCTGCATCCAATCCAGTGCTTAGTTTGTAAATGAAAAATGTCTGGAACAAAATCAGCAAATAAAAGTTACTGTGACCGATGTCTGACACACAATTTCAGTTTTCCTGGAACATGGTACTGAAGTGGTCATAGCGAAAAAAAACCCATCAAATTTCTGAACAGTCTTTAATTATTTTGTGCAATGTAACAATATGGGACAACCATGGATAAAAAACAAACAAACAAACATGTAGCTATAAACATAAATCATATGAAACAACATTGCCATTCAGTTTATTAACACCACTGACATAAAAAATGACTCACTCAGTCTAATCTTGAAGAGCCCATGGTTACCTCTTCCGTCATGTTTTCTGGCTGACTAAAGATCACTTTGCTTCTGTCTCCTGCTTTCCTTATTCGGGAGCACAGTTTCTTCTTCTCTTGATCAGGCTAATAATCAGGTTTACTCATGATTTTTAAAAAGTGGTATAAGCATGACTGCTTCTGGCATTTTGAAAATGCAAACACTGTTTAGGTAGGCCACTATGGCATAGACCCTTGTCATATTTCTGGGTTTCTCAGCATAAGGCATCATGGTTGGGTAAACTTAGAGCGCAGTGAATGTGAGAATACAACAAATCATTGTTTTACAATATTTGCTGAAATTATAGAAGGAAACACTCCTTGATGGTGTTATCAAGACTTTCAGAAAAAGGGAAAAAATGTGTGAGACTGATGATGGCAACCTGACGAGAGAAAAATGTCAAATTTACTCTCAGCCCCATAGACGCTGCATTAGAAAAATCTCGCATAAGCGGTAATTAGTTTTTTGTAATTTGAAACAAAAATTATAAAATACATTCATAAATGCATATAAATATTACAAATATTAAAATAATAATAAACTTTCAAAGGATTTAAGATTATGATTACTGCTTAACATGTCATAAGTCTTGTGAAAAGGGTCCATTATTTATTACCGCTGCTCACTGCATGCGAAACAATCATCACTAACCAATGAGAGTGATTGTAAACGTAAGAAAGCTGATTGGTCTAGAGTGACTTCCTTTATGTGTGTGTGCATGCACACAATCAACACATCTTTGCTCGCTGTTTTACAATCAGACTCAATCAAATTCTCTTTCTCTCTCTCTCTCTCTCTCTCTCTCTCTCACACACACACACACACACACACACACACACACACACACACACACACACACGTAGGAATTTACATGAAGGAGTTTACCATGGAAGTTATTGCTGGATCAATTGAAATAAATACCGGAATGCACAACATGAATATCTGACATTTCCCGGAACAGGATCCGGCTCAACTTAAGCACTGGTCTAATCCATAGTTAAACACAAAATCTGAGCTAAATCCACAGTTAACAGAGAAAATTTACATCAAGCATTGTTTAACAGTTTAACGGCACAGTTCCCCCAAAAATGTTACATTTACTCAAGATTTACTAATCCTCATGTGGCTTTAAACTTTTATAAGATTCTTTCCTCTTTTCAAACAAATACTATGGACGTCAATAGTAACTTTCTTCTAAATATCTATTGCAAAAATATAACAGCAGAAAGAAACTCATAAAGCTTTGGAACAAGAAAAAGGTGAGTAAATGATGTAAGAATTCTTTTACCTGAAACTTAATCCACAACCTACAGTTTGTTCAACTCAGTTTGTGCAGCAAGCCTGTTATATGAAAGCAAAACAAATCACAGAAACAGTGTAATGTTTACATGAGTTTTGTCTATCTATGTGCTTTTTTTTGAAGAGTGTGACCAACATGCTGCAAGCAGGTCTCATTTCCTCTGCAAGGAGATCCTATTTTTTATATTTAATTTCTGCTTATAGAAATGGACTTCTGTGTCCTTTTAAACCTTTCCATCACACTGGGGATAAAAAGATGCATGTGCTTTTCTGGCATCACTTTAAAATCAAACCACACGACACAACCTTGAAGTACAAAAATAACGTGAGCATGCAGGGGCAAACAACCAGTGCTTTGATGATAAAATATACTGTGGTTTGGAGCCAAAAACCAAGGCAAGGGTGGATTAATCAAAGTTGAGTTTGAGTCAGCCGATCAGGCAAGCATGTAAGCACCCCTTTATTATTCTTAAAGGAACACTCCACTTTTTTTTTTTTTTTTTTGGAAATGAGACATTCTACCGGAAACGTACATTATCTGTCCCTGAAATAAAAACACAAATACAGTGAATAAAAAGTATTTAATCCCAGAAATGTCTAAAATGTAGAGATAGTTGATTTCTGTGAGTTGTTCTCAAAGAAATATGTCATTTACTTGGTTCTCAGATTTTTGTTACTTATTAAAAACACTTTACAAATGTACAAACCCTGTTCACTGTAAACCAACATGTCATTGTCCTCAGCCCCTTGAACCTACAGCTTTAATAGTTATGGTATGCTAAAAACTATTATTTGGGGGAAAAAACTTCAGAAATAGCAAGTTTAAGTTGTTATCATTCATATCAATTAATTTAAAATATATAAATTATAAATACTACAAATATAAAATACAAATAAACTTACAATTGTCCCCGGTTTCTGTCAGTTCTGTCACATTTGCAATCAATTTAACATAAAATGCATGCAATACACCTTTAAGGTTATGACTTGGCAGGGACATCATTTGATGGAGAAACTCACAATGATCAAGGATGCGTTTTATAGATTTAGGACATCAGGTGATCAAAATTCATTGTCTAGCCAGCGTCTAAGAAGAATGTTAAATAATGTCAAAATACATTTGGTTGATTTTAGGTTGTGTTGGAAAGTGACCAAAATCCAACGTCTGATAGATGTTATAGTGATAACGTCCACACAACATCAAGGTGTAATATGATTAGACATTGATATTTGGTTGATTTTAGGTTGGACATTGGACATTGACGTCGGTCAGACGTTAGGTTCTGACGTCAACCCGATTTTTCACTTCCAAACAAAATCAAACATCCCTATGACGTTGGGTTACAATGTCAGTGTGACTTCATGTTAATATCCTGTGCCTGCAGAGTTGTCATTCTAAACTATCTTACAGCAGATCACCAGAGTAGGGAAGTCCCAGAGTAAAATAAGAAAATATGATACACCGGTGTTTTGGAACATGGAAAAACGCTTTACGCTGTTTTCATCTGTTGTTACTATTTGCTTTGATTTTATTTATACTTCTCTCTTTTATTCCTGTTTATGTAAAGCACTTTGAATTGCCACTGTGTATGAAATGTGCTATATAAATAAACTTACCTTGCCTATTCATTAAATTTAGCTAATATTACTGCAGTGTTTTTTTCCAAGGTGCAGGAATGTGTTATTGATCAAAAAGTGAATGTAAAAAATGTTTATAACCATATTCCTGCTTCTTTATATCTGTAGATGCTGCCAGGTACACGATCAGTGCTATTCTGACTCGTGGCAACATGACGACTGTTGGGGAATCTTGGACAACCCCTACACTGAAATCTATTCATTTGCATGTGATAAACCAGCAAAGATAGTCTCCTGCAATGGTAAGGCACATTACTAAATGAAACAGACTGTGCTAAACAAGCAAACACTAACTATTATTTGATATGCGTCTGCATTGTGGCAACATGGCTGGAACGTTTTTATTTTTCTTTCTGTTTCTTGCAGCTGACAAGAATCGCCCCTGTGAGATGTTCATCTGTGAATGTGACAGAATAGCAGCCCATTGCTTTGCACAAGCAGGTTACAACCCAGAGTATGAGCACTATCCTAGCAAAAACTGCAAATGAAGAAAGTGAGAATGCTTGAAAAGTGTTCTCAAAGTTGTATTAAACAGAGCAAATGGTCTATTTGTTCATTCCAGCTGGTTTTTAATTTAAAGCAGACAGATTAAAATTATTTATTATACACGTCTTTAAGTTTTTGTATTTTATTTTCCACTATAAACATTTAAGTTAGGTACAGAACATTGAGATCTCAGAGAATATAGCTTTATTATAAGACTGAATATTATTTTATTTCTCATTGGTAAACTGTTTTTTTTTTCTTGTTTTATGAAAATTAGGTTTGAAATAGATTCGAATGGTTGTTAACACTTTAAAAAATGGTCAATTAGTTAATGTCAGTTAATGTGTTTAATAATGTCAGAATTATATTTGTATTTATTTAGGTTTGTTAATGCTAATAAAATAATTTAGTTAACTGAGTTGGGTTGTTAACCCAGTGTTGGGTTGTAGCTGGAATGGCATCCACTACTTAAAACATATGCTGGATAAGTTGGAGGTTCATTCTGCTGTGGTGACCCCTAATTAATAAAGGGACTAAGCCAAAAATGAATGAATGAATGAATGAATGAATGAATGAATGAATGTTAACTCAGTGTGCACTAATAAGCACAACTATGGATTTTAATATTTCATTAGTAAATCTTGAATGCTAAACAAGATCGTTCATACTTAGTTCATGTTAGTAAATATAATAACTAACATTAACTAATTGAGCATTATTTTAAATGTCACTGATAAATTTGGGAATTGAGCAATTGTTAATAAATAATTTCTGAATCATTTTATAATTCTTTACTAATTTAATTCAGATAATTTTTTGCTGATTCATCTCAATTAAATTTACCTTGGAAAAACAGAAAGAAAATGACACATTAATTTGTAGTTTAAGCATATTGAACACACACCTTTTCTGAAAATCATAACCTTTTAAAATGTTGCATATATACTTAAAAATAAAAAAAGTTGTAATACTGGATACTATTCTGTCACAAACTATTTTTGGCAATAAAAAATAAAATGTAATAATTATAACATGAATTTAAAATTAAATTTTCCAACATCTAAACATCCTTATCAACAGTAACAATTCTTTTTTTTAAAGCATTTAAGCACAAATTTAATTCGACTATGTTTGACATAATAACTAACCATTTTGTTGTCATTTTTGACAACAACCCTTTCAAAATTTACACTGATTCATGGAAATGTCTAAAAATACAGATTATGCAAGTCAGGCTAGCAATTTAGTTTAATTCATGTTTATTTCTATAGCGATTTTAAAATGTAGATTGTGTCAAAGCAGCTTAACATAAGATTTCAGAGTTAAAGTTCAGTGCGGTTTAAATGTCACTGCTGAAAGTCCAAACACTGAAGAGCAAATCAATCTAGTATGGTCAATTGTTCACCAATTCAAATAATATGCATGTTAATGATGTTCTCATTTTCACAAATGCATTGTTGTTTTGTTTTACACTAAAATAATTAGTTTAGTATTCAAAAACTTGTACTTTGAACGCTTTTCAGGCTCCTGCATTTTTTTTGTGTGTGTCAATTAATGTTCAAAAGAACAAAAAAACATTTATAGTTGTGTAAAATGATGTTGTGTAAACATAAAATTCAGCTACAAATTCCAGATATGTCTTCTGATTAGTCTATGATCATCAGTTTACTGTCAAATAAATATATCTTGTTTTAAGGATGTTTAGCTATTTCTACTGGAACAAAAGAGAGCAAATTAAAGTTTAAGTGAATTAGTATTGGAGATTAGATGTTGATTGTCAGTGGCTCTTGGGGTTGCCCTCACAGATGTAAGGGTAAGAAAGTGTGCAGTCTGCATCATTCCACATCCTCCGTCTGTTCACTATCTCCCTAGAATGAAGCTGCCCACAATCCTCACCATTCACACGGACATCCCAGTCATCTGGCTGACCGACATCCCAGTGGCTGAAACAAACATTTGTAATTATATTAACACTAAGCACCATGTGGTCAATAGCCAAAGCTCAAAAATATCCAAATGTCCTAGTCAAATTGTGTTTTCTTACAGTCCCACAGCTTTAATCAATAACGAATTAGATGAAACGACATTTTTTTAAACATTGTAATTTATACCTATAAGCACCAGAAGGTCAAATTTACCCATACTGTAAAACTCAAGTTAAGAGAACTCAAGCCATTTTGAAAACCAATTGCATTAAATTGTGCTCCTTTTTACAGGATGTAAAATAAGTCTTTGGTGTCTCCAGAATGGCTTTGTTAATTGTACCCTGGTGAAAATGTCTTTTTTTTTTTTTTTTTTTTTTGCTTAAGAGGAAATTGTAGCTGTTTTGCACCTGTGCCTTTAAATGCAAATTAACTGGTTAACCCCGCCCACCCAGCATCAGACAAATAAAAGAAAGCAAAATGACAGACAGCAACTGATGAAAGAGACCTGCAGTCACAAATACCAAAGGTTAGGACTGAATCCGATAGTTTCCAAATGGTTATTTGATTTAGTTGTTGTAGAGTTTGTTCAGCTTTTGTGTAACGACAAATGAGCCACACACAAATATTGTTATTAAATGTGCTATTATTACAAAAAACAGTCTTAAAAGGGTACCTATTATGTAAAAATCACTTTTATAAAGTGTTTTAACTTAAACACAGTTGAGTGGCAACAATAAATGAATATATGCAGCTTCTAATGGTAAAAAATATTAATTTTATTTTTTAATAATCACACTTTTGAAAAACTGCAGAAACCCTTCGATTGACATTCTCCCATTGTACGTTTCATCAGAGGACAAAAGCCCCACCCATAAGTGAAGATCTTTCCCTCATTTGCATAGAACGCTAGTCTTGTTTCTGAATTTGCCACTATGCTGACACATTTGTAGTCCTGTCCTCTTTTGAAAAGCGGACTAGGAGCAAAACTCATTTAAAATCAAAGCCACAGTCAGTTTCAAAGAGTCATAAAACATTGTTTGTGGGATATTTTGAGCTAAAGTTTCACATACACACACTAGGGCAGTAGTCCCAAACCTATGAGTACTGTTAACTTAATCCATTTGAATAAACAATTGTTCTTACTGTTCAGTAGCACTAAACTCTGTTCCATCCACCCAGGACCATTGTCCCTCTTCTTTCTCAACAAGCCCGATCCAGTAGCTGTCAGACAGCTTTACGATTGAAGACAGAAAGTCCTGGTTTAAAAAGAAACCAAACTCCAATTGAACTTCATGTTTAGACTTCAACAGATATCTGTAAGGTGTGTTCTTGTCTTACCAGTTCAGCCAAGTCATTGACAACCACTAAGTGCGATCCTTTCTGGATACAATTGCTTTCTGCAGTTTTCCAGTTCCTCTTCATTGTAGACTGAAAGTAGCACGAGCCTTTATAAAACACCCAGTTTTCCTGACAGGGTCCTGTACGAACATTCAGTTACACATATATAATCTACCTCAAATCAGAAAATGTTGGGACTACATGAAAAATGCACATAAAAAAATAAGTAGTGATTTCTAAATATACTTTGACTTGTATTTTATTGCAGACAATACAACAAACATTATTTAATGTGTTCCTCAAGAATTATATTTATTTATTTATTTACATAATTTTTCCAAATAAACTCGTATTCCAATTTTGGTTCTTGCAACACAATTTAAAAGTTGGAACAGTCCAGCATTTACCACTTTGTACTGCTGCTATTCATTTTCACAACACTTAAAAGATGTTTAGGGAGTGAAAACACCAAGTGATAGGGTCGATACCAGATGCCGCCAAGCCCAGAGAAGTCAATGACACCTCTGGACACTGGTAACATGGGGCTTTCTTTTGGCACAGTACAGTTTTCACTGGCATTTGTGTATTGTGTACTGGCATAGCTGTGTATTGTGGTACTTGACAAAGATTTGCCAAAGTAGTCCTGAGCCATGTGGTGTTATCGCTTATAGATGAATGACGATTCTTGATGCAGCATCGCCTGAGGCATCAGAGATCACGGTTGTTCAGCTTAGTCTTGTGCCCTTCTCATTTACACATAGAAAGTTTTCCAGATTCTTTGAATCTTTTAATGATATTATGCACTGTTGAAGTTGAAATATCCAAATGTCTTCCCATCTTTCTTTGAGAAACATTGTTTTTAAACATTTCAATAATTTTATCACATATTTGTTTGCAAACTGGCCATCCTTTGGCAATGTTTGCTTGCTAAATGACTAAACTTTTCTTGGATGCTGTTTTTGTATCAAATCATAATTACAATCACCTGTTGACATCTGTTTTAAATCACATCATTATTTACTCAATTTATCTGCTTACTAGCCCTAAATTGCTCCTGTCCCAACTTATTTGGAATGTGTTGCAGGTCTGAATAGCAGGAAAGGATGTATATTTACTAATTAAATTAAATGAAATATTTTGTGTTCATATTGTCTGTAATAAATTACAAGTCAAAGCATATTTGGAAATCACTATTTTCCTTTTTTTAATTTGTGTTTTCTATACTGTTCCAACTTTTTCTGATTTGGGATTGTAAATAGAAATGAACTTTAAAGAACAGTTCACCAAACTTTGAAAACTTTCTTAATTGACTATAGGGCATCTGAGATGAAGGTGATTTTTTTCTTAAGTAAAATATTAAAGAGGATTTTTAGATGAAACCGTGGTCCTTGGTCTCTCATAAATTGCAACTCAGTGTATAAAAGAAAAAAAACTGGGCCACATAGCATAGGCTACATCATTTAAAAATATTTTTACATTTTGATTTCCAAATAAAATTGTTAAATTGCTAATGCTATTATTAATTAATTAATTTATTTATTTTATTGGTAATAACAAACCTTGCTCTGCCACTGGCACCTGCATCACAAGTTCAGAGAAATGACCATTCTCTGTAAGAAAAAAAACATGAATAAATTTATTTTTACACAACAAATTAGATAGTTAATATGAATGAACCACATTTACCAGTTGTTTGTAATATATGATTCATAAGTGTTTTCCTGTAATTACACTTTTGAATTGCATTGATGGATCATTTGTTTATATATGTTTACATAGTGTATATACAGGGTTTCTGCATGTTTCACCAAGTTAAATTTAAGACTTTTTAAGTGATTTTTAAGACCATTATGAATGAAATGACCTATACAGGGTTAATTGTTAAGGATTTTTGGTGAATATCCCAGAATATCCAAGATTTTTCACTTGCCCAAATAAAAACTATTATAATTTAATACAGTTAATGATACAATAATAATAATATTAATTTAATAGTGTGTCGGTTTCCCCTACAGTCCAAAGTGTATTGGTGAATTTGTGTAGGCTAAATTGTTCTTAGTGTATGTGTGTAAATGGGAGTGTGTGGGTGTTTCCCAGTAATGGTTTGCTGCTGTAAAGGCATCCGCTGCGTAAAACATAAGCTGGATAAGTTGGCGGTTCATTCCGCTGTGGCAACCCCAGATTAATAAAGGGTCTAAGCCCAAAAGAAAATAAATTAATTAATTAATAATTTAATATATACAGTTGAAGTCAGAATTATTAGCCCCCTTTGGTTCTTTTTTCTTTTTTAAATATTTCCCTAATGGTGTTTAACAGAGCAAGGACATTTTCACAGTATGTTTGATAATATTTGTTCTTCTAGAAAAAAGTTGTATTTGTTTTATTTCAGCTAGAATGAAAGCTGTTTTTAATTTTTCAAAAAACATTTTAAGGGTAGAATTTTTAGCTTTATTTTTTGATATTTTCCAGAACAAACCATCGTTATACAGTGACATGCCTAATTACTGTAATCTGCCTAATTAACCTTATTAACCTAGTTAAGCTTTTAAATGTCACTTTAAGCTGTATAGAAGTGTCTTTAAAAATATCTAGTCAAATATTATTTAGTCATCATGACAAAGATAAAATAAATCAGTTGTTGGAAATGAGTTATTAAAACTATTATGTTTATAAATGGGTTAAAAAAAATCTTCTTCTAGAAACATCTGTGCAGGTGTGTTGAGGCAAGTTAGAGCTAAAATCTGCAGGACACTAACCCTCCAGGACCGAGTTTGGGAACCACTGTTGTAAGGAAAGAAACGATTCTGTTTGTAAATAAAAAGTTAAAAGTTTTATTGAGATTGGGATTGTTGATGAGTGTATGTGTGTTAATGGCCAGATTGGGATACATGAACAAAGGAAAATTACGACCCGTTAAAAAAGATTTAAGACCTACAATTCTATATTTCTGTAGGTTTAAGACTTTTCAAGGCCTACAATTTTGCTTTGGAGTTCCAAAACATTTTAACACTTTTTAAGACCCTGCGGATACCCTGTATATAACATTTTACTGAGAAACAGGTCCTTACCAAATTGTGGAGTTTTGGGGGCATCAACAAAGGTCTTCATATAAAGTCTAACATCTGCAACCTCTTGGCTGATCTGAGAGACTTTAAAGAATCATAGCCAAAATCAAACTCCAAAAAGACAAACTACAATATCAAAAACATAATAGGTGGCAGAAAAATGCTTAAACATACTTTTAATTCCAACAGCCAGTGTCAGAATAAACACATAGAGGGCAAGAATGGCATATATTATATAAATCATTCTGTTCCTTCTTCCTGTAGATGGAAACAAGAAACAATCTGAAAAAACAAACCTCTCAATTCAATGTCATTTAACAAACAATAATAGTATTTCATCATCATGTTGTTTTTAAAAGTCAGACTTTGTTAGTGATGTGGAAAATTTATTCTGTTTTCAGTTTTTAGAATACCTTTTTATTATTATCATCCTTAATTAAATTAAACATTCTCTACAAGAAAGAAAAAAAAATCGTCTTGCTCACCTGATTGCATAATGAATTTTTGTCCACTGTGATTAATTTCTGTCTCAGCTGATGTAAATCGATCATATGATACAGTTTCCATGTCTGAGAAAAGCAAGACGGAGGACGTATTCAGAATAAATGATTAAAAATAGATTGAAATGTGCATATTTTTTTCCTTTAAACAAATGCCAAGAGTAATACTGAGGTGTAAATAAAAAGCATGAATGTACAAAACGCAAGAGTTTCAAGGCCATGTAACAGGCAGTTGAATATTAACTTTATCTGAACTTCATCCATCACAAACATGGAGAAGAGCAAATGAAAATGTCTGTCCACATACTGTTTGTTATATAAAAAAGAGCAGAATGAAGGCACTTTTGTATATTAGAGATTTATTACACAATATATTTTAGTTAAAGAAATTTATTGTAAAGCTGAAAGCATTCTTACTACATTAAGAAGCACTTAAAACATTCTCATTACATTCTAATTTTAAAACAAACTAAATAAAACACTGACAAACCAAATAACTCTGTTAAAAGTTTCATTTCAAATGACATATTTTAAGATCATGGTTGTGTTTCCCCTAATTTAACCCACATTTGGATAAAAAAACAGCATTTTACCTGAAATAAGGATTTTATCATTAAAGTTCTTATAAAAGAAAATTATTATGCAAAAATACAGAAAATCAAACAGTGGAGTGCAGTCAATCTTACTGTATAAAGTGAGTTTGTGTGGACTCTTCTGCTCGTCTGCTGCGGTCAGTGTCCTGATGGCTGTTTTCATGGCAGTCTGCACTTACGCAACAACTCCTATTCATTTCCGAGAGGGAAATCGACCATCCTAATGTCAACTGGACTTATTTATAAAAATTGTGATTGCACAAGTGTGAAATATCACAAAATTTTCAGTTAAGAAATGGGCTACACATCCACATTTTGTTTTACACCCTGTTATTCCAAATGGATAAAATGCATTGCTTTCCCTCTGCACTTAACAAATCATACAAAATATTGACAACATGAAAGACATTTGAGTGAATTCTTTGCAAATTTATTTCAAATTTATATAAGGATTCACTGTCATTTCTCAATACTTTGTTGAAGCACTTTACTCAAGCAATCAATTTAATTTTGATGTTGTTGTTTTTGTTGTATCTAAATCCTTACAAGTATTATCACCACCTATTGTATCGGATATCAATTTAAACTTGTACTGGTGATGAGTCTGAAGTTTAAAAGGGGCAGGAGGAGGGGTTTGGGCGTAAGTAGAAGAGTGGTAGAGATGCTACATACTGTAAATACACTATAAATATCGCGTCCCAGCCCTGAAAATGAGTCAATACCGCTGCCATATTGGTACTGGGTTCCCAAGACAAAAGTAGTTAACTGCTCTTAGTAATGACCAAAGGCGCTTTTGCGCATTGTACGGGTCTAATAATCAGTGAACAAAGAAAACCAAGCTTAAAGGCATAACATTTCAGATATAGGTATGATTACTTTTTTTATGATTTTGCATGGTACAAATCTTTTTACTCAATGTTGCTGATGTTACAGTTCCTTACCGCATTAACCATATTGCAAATTGTGCCAACTTGCAATGAATAGCAGCTTTTTTTTTTAATTGGCAGGATTACATGATCTCAGTAAACAGAGCTTCCTAATGTCATACGTGTTTTGAAAACTGTACGTTTCTCCACTGAGGAGAGATCTGTGTAATACCATAAAATCCACACAGGTTCTCACAGCGTGCCTGCAAGTGGTGAATCATTGAACAGATTTATAGTTTTTAACTGATCTCAGATCAGTTTTACAAGTTTGTTGATGAAATTAAAAGGAATATTTATAGCTACACTGCAAAACATTACAGTGAAAATCACTTAATAAAATAAGGTAGTTTAACTTAGAATAAAAAAGTTACTTTGATTTAATGAAAAAGAGTTATGATAACTCATAAACTGATTATGTTAATTAGAACACTAATTGAATGAGTTATGAATTAGTTAATTCTATATTTGTGTTAACTCTAATGCTAGAAGGAATAGCAAACCATTGTAGTTTCTTTATAGATGTTTGGACTTCCCTGAAGTTAATTGACCTGTTTAAGTTAATTGAAGTACTAAACTGTTTAAGTTACAAATACTCTTAAAGCTTGATGATATCAAGACAATTGATATATGTGTGCATGTAACACAATATATATGTTTACAGTACTCAAAACATTCTGTTTCAAAACTTAAATAGCAATTTAAATTGCAACTTTTCCGCAATCAGTTTCCTCAAACTGTTTGAGAACCTAACTTATCCGGTTTTACAGTGTCTCTTTTTTACCTGAATAGTCCAGCTGGGAACAAACAATAAGCCATATTCATAAAATTTATTTAAAAAATGCAAATTATGCATACACTTAATATTTAATGATAATGATAGTTGATAAGTGCATTTATACACTGTAAAACCCAAAAAGTCAAGGTAGCTCAAACTGATTGAAAACTGAGAAAACCGATTGCAAATAACCATTTAAGTTCCAAAACTAATCCTAATGAGTTCTGTGAACTTAATCCATTTGAGTAAACAAAGCAATCTGAGCACAGTAAAACCCAAATAAATGAAAAAGAACTCAAACAAACTGAATACTGTAAAACCTAATAAGGCAACTCAAACCATTTGAGAAAACCGATTGCCACAAACCATTTGATTAAAAATAAAATCTACATGAGTTCTGTGAACTTACTCCATCTGAGATGAAGTAATGAGGTATTTAAATAACTTATTACCTTCAACACTGAGTTCAAAACTCTTTTCAAATGAGTAGAATTAACTTTCAGTCAATTTTGAGTTAAATACTCATTTCATTTGACAAAGTTGACTGTTGGGTTTTATAGTCTAGATTAAACTGTCAATTTAAAGTTTGCAATGTGTTTGAAAAGGTCCATTCTAATGCCTGTTTTGTCTGAGTTTTTGTTACATTTACAAGTCTAAAATTTTTGAATGCTTTGCAAAAACAGTAGTAATTTTTCAGAGTAATTTTGCAAATCAATTGGTTAAATTGTTTTGAGGCTTTGTTTCTCCCAACACTACTGCAGTTTATGAGACACTCAGACCATGTTTATACCAAAGCTGCATGTTCAGCTTCTTTAACACTTATAGGGTTCCTATATCTTTATGTAGAGTACTTCTACTAATTGGCGATGCATTCTAAAAAGGATACATATTGCCCTATGAAGGTCACTTAGGAGTGACAAAAGTTATGGCTGCCAAACTGAAGTCGTTCCAAAGCCAAAGTGCTCGAATCTGGCCATTTCAAAGAGCCCTTTGGAATGTCAGATTTTGAAGGATGTGATGGACAATTCGGGCCATGGTCCTGTGAGTAAGGAAATTGTTTGGTGACACACATTTTTAACTTATTGGGGCATGTGTAGACATTCACAAAGCACAATAGTGGGCTTTGTGTCATGTACAAGACATTAAATAAATAAAAACTCCAGTTTTGTACAGCATTTGGAGCTCAAGTCCCACCTACTTGGAGATGGTTCTGACTTCTGTCTATATCCTTCTCAATTTTATTGCCAAAGTTCAAAATAAGGCTTGTCTGTTAGAGGCACATTTCACCCAAATTATGAAAGTTTCAAGTGGTTCTAAATGCTCTAAACACAATACAAGATATTTAGAAGAATGTTGGGAAAATTAGCCGTTGATATCCACAGTAAGAACAAAAAATACTATGGAAGTCAATAGCCATTTTATTCAACATTATTCATTCTTTGTGTTCAACAGAAGAAATAATATCAGACAGGTTTGTGGGGTGTGAGTGAATGGTAACAGAATCAAAGCTCTTTCAGATTGACAGTATATATTTTGGTCACTATGCACTATCAATGAACACTTCTGAATGTGTTTGTCAAATCCTTTTCTTTTTTTTTATTAAGATCACACTTCATTTTATTACAACAATTGTAAACTGAAATTATATTTGTGATACTGTACTCAAGTGTTTGTACATAAACTTATAAAATTATAATAATATAATAATTATGTAACAGACAATTGCTTTAAAGATAAGATGAACAAAATAAGAATTTTAGTAAATATTTTACTCAACAGGTTATGTTCATATAACAGGTCTTGAAACTCAAACAAATGTAAAAAGCTCAAGTACAGGTGCACCAGTCAAGCATGTACAGCTTAAATCCCAAAAGCAGACATGTATAAAGATTTAACAAAAAATCAGAAGGGGTTTATCCAGAGCAGGATTTTTGGAAAACAGGTAACTAGGAAACGTTTCCTTCTACGCAGTTTATATTTGGTGTTCACAAATGTGAAAACGCTGACTGCTGCAGTCAGAATCATGAAACAGCTTCCGATTCACTGTGTCAGATCCTTTTAAGTAGACACAGGACTCCATACCACCATGAGCAGGCTGATTTTCATCCCAGAAACTGAAAAGTACACAAAACACAATCAATTTAGAAGACAATGTGTAAGCTTTTTTTGGTATGTCATCTGCTTGTGGTCTGGTTTAAGATGTTTTTGTGGACTCAAACTTTGACATTCAGTTGTTTTTGTGTTTTATTTGCTGGTGTTTCTCAACTCGGTTTTGCAATGTTTACGCAGCAACGTTTTCAACTAAAAGGGAAATCTTTCTTATGAGTTTGGACATTGTGCACTTACAAATCTTGCTGTAATCTAGAATTGAAGTAGGATTGTTTGGATGCGAAACAGCTCTAGGTTTGTGCTACTAAGTATATTAATCAACATCACAAAATACTGGCCAGACATACAACATTTTTAGGCCAAATACACACATATTTGTATATTTTTCTCTCTGTTTAAGCTTTCAGTCAATTTTGTTTTCTTTAATTATTCCTGCAGTCCTATGTGTTCCATGTCCAAGTTAGATTTGTGAAAAAAAACTTTTGTTTTAAATAGCTGTCTTGTTTTTATCGAGTGTTTACACCACCACAGATACATCATAATATTAATAAGGCTGCCCTTCCTTATAGATTTTCAAAAGCAATCCCAGACAACATAAAAGTTTGCTAAAAATTTTTTTTTTAAAGGCAGTTCTGTAATGATTCGCTACTTCTCCAGAGAAGGCACAAAAAAAAAAAAAACACTTGGCCTTTGCAAATACTCATCTGGTTGAAGAAGACTTCTGGTCTTCAGTTGTATGGTCATTCATTGTTCATTCATTTTCTTTTCGGCTTAGTCCCTTTATTAATTAGAGTTTGCCACTGCGGAATGAACCGCCAACTTATCAAGCATATGTTTTATTCCCTTCCAGCTGCAACCCATCACTGGGAGTCACCCATACACTCTCATTCACACACATACATTATGGACAATTTAGCTTATTCAATTCATCTATAGTGCATGTCTTGAAGGACTGTGGGGGTAACCGGAGCACCTGGAGAAAACCCACGCGAACACAGGGAGAATAAGCAAACTCCACACAGAAATGCCAGCTGACCCAGCCGAGGCTCAAACCAACAACTTTCGTGCTGTGAGGCAAAATCGCTATCAACAGCGTCACCACGCCACCAGTTGTATGGTCACATGAAACAAAAATGTAATTGTTTGACCACAATAATGAAACCTTTATTTGGAATAAAAAAGGAGAAGCCTTCAACCCTAGGAACACCATCCCACTGTTAAACATAATGGACTAGGGAACCTAATCACAGAAAACAGCACCATGAAAAAGGAGCAAAAGATCAAAATTCTCAACCACAAAAGACTGCAGAGAAATTGAGAGCAGGACAACAACCCAAAACACACTGTTGAAGAAATAGTTAGCAGACAAAAACGTTAAAATTTAGCAGTGGCCCAACCATAGTCCTGACCTAAAACTAATTGAGAATTTGTGAAGGGAGCTAAAGATCAGAGTAATGACAAAGAGACTTTCCTACCTGAAAGAATTGTAGCTCATTGCTAAAGATAAATGGGCAAAAGCAAAAGGGGAGACATGCAAAAAGCTGGTCAGCTATTATAGGAAGCCTTTTATTGCTCTAATAGCCATTGAAGGCTTTTCTATTAATTATTGAGATGGTATGAATAATTTTGGACGTCCCACTTTTTTGGTCAGATGTAAATGAAAGCTGAGAAATTTTTTTTGTTTTCACAATGATGCCTTTTGTACATTGTTTCATTATCTTTTGGGTGAAGCCTATGTCGTTTCCAGTCAATAAAATCTTGCTGGTTGAATAAAAGTAACTATAAGTCATAATTTGCCAGGGGTATGAATAATTCCAGGCTTAACTGTATATGGGGTCACTGGTGGGAGGTGTGTGTTGCCTTAGTGTCCCACCAGTGACAATATACTGCCATATCATGTATGTGTGATATTGCGATTATACAACAGTTTGACGGCATAATCATGTGTATAAAAAAGAAAATTTAACACAGAGAGTCTAAAAACTTTTTTGTATGAGGAACTACTTTTTGCCGACATTCCTTAACATCTGCAGCCGACGTCAGAACAGCCGAAACTGTTACTACTTCACAAATGTCACTTTAGAGCTAGTATTTGAATGATTCTCTAGCATAATGTCTAAATTGATGACAAAGCATGTGATTTTGCTTACATTTAAGGATGATAAGGCTGAGCGGCATGAAATGCCATCAGTCTACAGAGATTTGCCAGTATTTAAATTTGGAGATCACAATAATTAACCCCGCAAAAAGCCAAAGCAACGCAAACCCCATCAGATTACTGTTGTGTTTTCGATAAGGAAAAACACTAAACACATGTGGGCGTTTCTTTTTTTTTTTTTCTGTTTACGGATCTAGTCAGTAATGAAAGAAAAAGCCCATTAGAAACAGATGGTCAACCAAAAAGTAATTCAGGGTTATACAAAGAGTGGCCAACATAAAATACATACATTCCTAGAATGTGAGTCTCATTTCCCATCCAACACACTGCAATTACTATGGTATAAATATAGAACTACAACAGACAAAAGAGAGAGATCAATTTAGAACGTCATTTACCTCTTTAATCATGCATTGATCAGCTGTAGTTAGAATTTACGCTGTTTTTATCCTCTAAGAGCTTATTATGTGGTCTCTGTCACTATCTTGTAAATGAACAATGCCAACCATCTCATCACAGGTTATTGGCCGATGGCGTGCTGTCTCTTCAAAATTATAAATATTTTAAAATAGGCACTGTCAATATAAATAAATTGCATAGTTGCAATCTAAACAACGACATACTTGACTAAAAAAGCCTCAAAAGTTCATTATGTTGTTCAACAGCAGCAATATTTGTCAAACTGTAGTGTCCTCTGCTTGTCGCTGTATGTGGGTGGAGTGCAGTATGCACAGCTCTCAGCCAATCAGATTCAAGAACCAGACAGAACTGCTGTAGAAATACATTTATAGAAGGCAATGATGTCTTACTGTAGATTTGAATGATAATCATCTCCATTAACCCAGAACCATTTGCCCATTTTGTCCCTCTTGAGACCTATCCAGTAGTCAGTCCATTTCTGAACAACTCTTGAAATAAACTCCTAAAACAAAGAGGTACAAATGTGCTTTAATACTACAGCTGGTTATTTGGTTATATTTTACAGCTGTGGTTATGTATTTGATTGAAGTAAATACAGTAATATTATACAATCGACAAAAACTCTTTAGAAAAAGTATCTAAAATAACTGTTTTCTGTTTTAGTTTATAGTTTAAAATGTGCTGAATTCTTGAAAGAACAGTTAAAAAAACAGCAATTATTTGAAAAAAAACATGCTTCATAACGTTATGCAGAGCTGTCCCGTCACTTTAAGTGTATTTTTCCTAAAATTATTTGTTCTTACCAGCTCCTCCTCGCTGTCCACAACCATCAGATGTGCCCCACGGCTAAGGCATAAAGACTTTGAGGATTTCCATGTCCCATAAACATTCTCTAACAAATAACAGGTGTTCTTATATAAAAGCCAACCATCTGAGCAGAGACCTGTATTTAACAGAACAAAACACAGCACTATTGACACAGCTTTTTATAATCAACCTTAAATGTGCCTCAGTCGAAATGAAAACGGACTATCAAGTTTACATTAGGATGTGTCCTCTTTCATTTGTATTTCTCAACCCAAAATTATTTCTGTCATACATTTTTCATAATATTTAAAAAGACGATCAAAAACATTTATCAAAAAACAGACCAAAATATCTGCACCACACTGTGAATATTTCATTCGTAAAACATTTAAACTGGCAACATTTCAGGTCAAAGACCTTTATCAGGCTCACATGCTTGTAAGCAAAGACAGCAACTCCTGCCCCATTCACACGGGGCGTCAGCGTCAACGCTTCCTATTCACTTCATATGAGTGACGTCAGCCATTGCCGAACTGCATTGTGGATCCGTCTGCGCCGCTTCAGTGGCGTTGCTCACTACAGAAGTTGGGAAATTCTCAACTTTTCAAGCGCCAACAAAACCGTCAGCCAATTAGAACGTTTCATGCAAATACCCCAGCTCAGACAGTAGCCGATTGCGGACTAATTTTATTGGCTGATGCTGCTATGACAATCGCGTCAGCACCAACTTCGGACAAGCCCTCTGTCAAAGTGTTGATGCTGAAGCCCCATGTGAATGCTCGGTTAAGGTCTCAAAGTCAAACGTAATTCACAGAAATATCCACTAAAAACCCTCATTCGATATGTTTACATAAATCTTGTCAGGCATATTCATAGCAGGAACCATTGGATGACACAAAAAGAATACATTTAAAAGGATAGTTCACCCAATTATTAAAACTCTGTCATCATTTACTCACCCCGACTTGTTGAAAACCTGTAATCACAGAGTATTGAAAAACAAATACTATGGAAGTCAATGATCACAGATTTCCAAAAAACTGGTTTGGAACAAGTGAAGGGTGAGTAAATGAAGACAGATTTTTCATTTAAGGGGGCATATATCCCACTAAACACAACTGTGTTCAAATTATATCTTTGAGATGTTTCTTTTGGACAATTAGACATTGAAATGGCATCCTTTAATGCGTGAAGAATGAAAGTTTTACGATGTCCTTTTTGGATTAGACACGAATTAAATCAACTAAAACATTAAGGGCCCTATCATCCACCCGGCGCAATGTGGCGCAGGCCGCAACGCAATTGCTATTTGCTACTTTCACCTCGGTGCAAGGGTCATTTTGAGGCATTGTGCCACACTATTTAAATAGCAAATGCATTTGCTACTATTTAAATAGCAAATGCATATGTGCACCCACAGGCATTCTGGTCTAAAAAAGCAGGCGTGTTTTGGCGTGTTGCTATTTTGAGAAACTGTAAATAGTCTGGTCTTTAGACCAGAACAAAGTCGGTCTATTATCTGGCGCAAAGTGCGCCTGGCTTACACACTACACACAAGATGTAGAGCAATACGCAAATATCTTTACATATGAAAAAGATATAATATATTAAGGATATATATATATATATATATATAAAGGATATATATAGGATATAAATATAAATGATTTAAATACTACAAAACATATTAATTTCTAGCCTACATGAATTTAAAAACCACTGCCTTTATACTTTCTTCATCTCGGGAGGCTTTTTCAGTTCATTCAATTTGCCTTAGTATAATGTTATTATTATTAGCAGTATTACTTATTATATCCATATTTATATTTTTTTTATTAAAAACAAGCTTAGATTTGTCCACCTGTCAGGTTTTAGACCATATGGGGCATAGCATGTGTATTTGGAAATAACTCAGTATTTTCACTATACTTAATATTAATATTGTTTATTTATTTGTTTGCTGGAAATTAGAACTGAATTTAGAAATAGTTTTGAAACAAATCTTTGCACTTAACAAACGAAATTAAATATTTATAGGCTAATTGATGTCTGTGCGTAAAGGTTTTCCTATCCACGAGAGCAAAAGCGAAAGTGAACTTACTTTACGTTCTGCAAATAGCAAATGCGCTTATGACATGACACAGCTGGCTCTTAAAGGTAATGGGAGATGAGACTCTCATTGGTTTATTCTCAAAACACACCTCTAACTCATAAAGAAAATAAACTCAACCCTTTTAGACCATGCGCCATGGCGCAAAGTGGATTTTCCCGTCCTTAAATTTGCAAATATGGATTCAGACACGCCCTGACAGCGTTTGCGTTTTGCGCATGGACCGTCAAAATAGAGCCCTATATCTTTTAAAATCTCAGCAGAGGATCAATAATCTTTGCAAATAGCATTAGTAGCTTCACTTACTACTAATCTGCTTGTATTATTACTGTCAGATGTCTTGAAAAGCCCTTCATCACATTTATTAAGAATGAAATTCTTTACTTGTTTTATTGACAGTAAGTTTTCAGAATCACCTTTGCAGTGAAGCATGGGTCCTTAACTTGGGGTCATTGTTTTAAGGATAGCTAAATCGTGTGATTGTTGCTATGGCAAGAAAACCTAGAAGCAGTTTGTTAATACTGCTGGGTTATTTAAAAATTTGATTTGCTAATCTCATTTAGTCAGTGACTTTTAATGTTGTATAACAATGGCACAGTGCTGTTAATTTCACTGATAACACAATCAGAGCCAGCAGTGCATTGATCTGGTTTTAAAAGCACAGTGGATATCTGAGGCACTAAAATACTCACATATCAGGAATCAGCATATGCATCTCAAAGATGATGAAACATGTCCATAGATAAATTTTGTATGATTCTCCCAGCATGCACTGCAGCATGAAATGTGCATGTCACCATGATTTAGAAGTATATGATGATTCTTGATGTCTCTCTTTTTTTAATTCAGTTACTCAGATGTTCAAGGTGTTTTTAAAACCTGACCAATGCACTGCTGTCTTTCAATTTGCAGAACCACATAATTTCTATTAACAGCTCAGTAAAATCAACACCATGTTATCATTTTTGTACATGATAAAAATCACTGACAAACCAGTGAATCAATCTTTTAAAAGAAAATGTTGTCCCGCAGAATGTTTTGACATAACACATTGCTTTAACAAACAAAGAGAAGTTAACATGAAACACTCAAAGTAAAGCAAACACTTTTCACTGTCGTGGTCATTTGTTTTTAAGAAAACATCTGAAACTTTATGTTCTCAATAATTGGAACTGTGCACTTGGAACAAGAACGCTTGTTCATTTGTATATTTGGATACTCACTTCTTTTTTATTTAAAGTATATTTATTATCGTTTTTTTGTCCTGTCTCTGTAATTCTGTTGCACTGTAGAAGCTCTGTCACAAAAACAAATTCCTCGTATGTGTGAACAATAAAGCTCTTTCTGATTCTGATTCTGATTGGGTAGACAACTGACAGCCAAAAAGATTAATTATAAGTGAAGCTGCTGATGCTGTTTGTAAAGGAGTTTATTGAGCCTCTGCTGAGATTTTGAGAGACTTTAGTTCATTTCATTTAAATTTAGTCAATTTCAAGGCTGTGTCTAAGTTCAAAAAGTAAGTCATAAAAACGTTCATTCTGTACCTTTAGAGGATGCAATTTCAACATCTAATTATCCAAAAGAAACATCTAAAAAAGGTCATTTGAACACAATTGTGTTTTGTGGGATCCCTTTAAGGATCAAAGTAAAGCCCAACATACTAATTAACTATGCATTTTGAAATCTTTATACTTTATAAGGATTTAAATCTTTGTCACTTTCCTTCAAACTACTATACGTTTTAACTATTTGTCAACAAAAAGCTTTAATATGTTTTATATATCTCAATAGGTACAGGTCAAGATAAGTGTTTCATTTCCAAATAAATATAACTGTTATGCTCATAGACAATGGAACATTGTCACAAATAATTTGATAATCTGTTGTAAACATTATACTTTACTCACTAAATCACTTTTAAATTTAGTCTGACCCAGACAAAATCTTGGTTATAATATAAAACAATTTTAATATTAATATAAGGTTCATCATTTCACTAAAATCCTTTCATATCTTAGTTGAATCGCCATTGCGTTCAATTTCTATAAATGAATATAAAACTAACACTTTGTACCTTTATCACTTTTATACTGGAACGGGATTGGCGTGATGTCATCAGAAAGAAGACCTCTGTTCTGATCCTCTTGTGGACTCTTCTTGACTGATGGGTGGTGAAGTATATAAAAAAAAAGTTTCACATCCATTAACCCATACCAATTTGTTGAGAGACAATTACAGGGATAGTTCACCCCCCAAATAAAAACACAATTTACTGACCCCTAAATGGTTCCAAACCTTTATGGATTTTTTTTGTTGTTGTTGTTTATCACTTGAGAAAATATTTTGAAGAATGCTGAAAACCATAGATAGTAGGAAATATGTACTGTACTATGAAAGTCAATGGGTACAGCTTTCTAGCTTTCTTCAAAACATCTGTTTTTGCGTTCAACAGATGAAAGAAACTCAAAGAGGTTTGCAACAAGTAAAGGGTTTGTAAATAATGACAGAACTTTTTTGGTGTCCCTTTAATAATATTTTAAATGAAACTTACAGTTGAAACCCGTTACGATTCCTATTACCAAGAATGAAAAGAGGAGGAGAACTGTGAACATGGCACAAGCCACTTTGCCTGAAAAAAGAAATCAAGGAAATCTCATTAAATAGATTTGCTAAATGTCAACAATTTAAAAAGAAATTGGCAACATGTGCCCAGGGATACAATTTTTGAAACCACAGAATATGTTTATGTCTGGCTGAATTTTGTGTGTGAAACGAATGCTGGGCAGTATACCGACGCAGACAACTCTGATACCTTTTCGCCCCCTGTTCTTTTTCTGACCTCTTACTTCTGTATGGGCGGACTTGGGATGCAGAGCGGATCGGGTTTGGAGTCTGCCGAAGGACAGTTCCAGAAACCAGGTGTAAAAAAAAGGAGTGTAAAATCGTGGTAAATGCAAATGGCCACGATGTGCATTTCTCTAGTACTTTGCTTTTGAAAAGGATAAAACATACAGGATATTATGCGCGACAACTGGTTGATTTATGAAAAGTACAAGAAAGCACAAGAAAATTTGGTATGAGAAAACATGGCCAAGTAATGTCTTATTCACATAAGCAGCAACTTTGTAGCTTTGTGTTGCTCCGTCTGGTGATTGAAGCCGTTACTGTGCGTTCCATTTTGGGGTTGTTTAGGAAACATTTATGATGATATTCACCAAGAGAAAATGCATTTACGTTTCACGAAAGTGAACACTGTTCTGGAAAAGCACAAAATATTAATGGAATCAGTACATAAACTGCTTAATTACAAAGATGAACCAAAAAAAAAGTGTGTTCTCTGTCATTGCGGCTATTGATCTGCTGCAGACACCGGTCTGTTTAGGTCTACAGCACAGAGAATACAACTGGCTGCAGCAGGAGCTGAGAGGATCATATGAACTGTACTAAACATCCTATTGGCTGTCGCTTGCAGTTGAAGGATTCTCTTTGTCCTTCACTCGACACTTTGCTGCATCACTTGACATGAACAGATCCAGTCGCCAACAGTTGCTGTTGCTCACGTAGCCAGAGGTTGCTGGAAGTTGCTCGTTCTCCGTTGAAACGAGTCACTTGTTGCTTTGTCGCTATGTGATGCTTGTAGTGTGAATGGGGCATATTGGAGGTTGTCAAACATGCACACAGCTGCCTCTAGAGGATTTGTAAAAAAAAAAAAAAAAATGCAAGCAATCGTAGCACTGGGCACATATTTCATGGTTCCTAAAAATGTAGCCCTGGGCACATATCTCCAATGAGCCTGAGTTGGATACTAAATTTGTCAGGTGAAATTATTCAGAGTGAAATCAGCTATAATCGATGCTGACTTTGACCTTCTTTTAAAACAACTATTCTACAATTATTGAAATAAATGCAAATAAAGCAGGAACACAACAGAAGCTCAGTGGGTATCACTGACACCGCACTGCAAGAAGAACGCTGGTTCGAGTCCCAGCCACTTCAGAGTAACTGGTCTTAGTCCTCAAATTAATGTTTTTAAAGGGACAGTTCAACTAAAACTGAAAATGTTATCATATAATCACTCGCCAATCATTCCAAACCTGTTTAAACAACTCAGAAAGACATTTTGAAGAAGGATGAAAACCAGTAACTTTCCATAGTCTTTGTTTTTGCTACTTTTGCTACTGCTGAAAACGTAACCACTAACATCAGTGGTTACGTTTTCAGCATTCTTCAAAATATCTTTTTTTGTTTTTAATCAAATAAAAAAACTCAAAGTTTTAAATATTTTGAGTGAACCATTCCTTTAACTCAATAAAGATAAAATATTAACATTAATTGAATTATAAAAACCATAAACATATACTACTTTTTGTAATCAGACGGTCACTCTTTATCTTAAAGTACATTTTTAGCAGGGTTGAGCACCACTGGGTTTAGACATTTCAGTAGGAAAAAATTGTAGAATAAGATCATGCAGATTATGAACTTTATGAGTGCAAATAAACTATCAGTGAAATGTGTCCTAATAGGGTTTTTAGCAGCATGGGACACATATATGACTGTCAACAGCTCAAAAAATGTGTGTTGGTGTTTCGTGACCCTTTAATAATAGGCAGGTAATGAGTTGGTACTTAAAATGTAACCAAAAGTTTTAGCCAAATTTTAAAAAGTGTTTACAAACTGCAATTTTGTCTTAATTTTTACTCAGTTCAAAGTAATTTCACAAAAGAGACATGTTCTTCATGCACAGTAGAGCTTTTTATATATTACTTGCAGAATATAATAAATAATAATGATGATAATAATAATAATAATAATAATAATAATAATAATAATAATAATAATAATAATAATAATAATAATAATAATAATAATAATAATAAATAGGTCCAGATTTCACAATACCTTACTTTAAATCTGTGTAGCTGACATTTTATTTACGCATCATATACACTAATAAAGCCATGAATTAACATTAGTCTATTCCGTGATTTATGTTTTATTTGTTTGTCTGTTTATTTAAGCTTCTTATGGTCCTTGATCTTCCCTCCAACAACTTTTGATGTTGAGACTTTTCAATAGTCTGAAGTTATATATTGGCTAAATTTGATTTGTAAATTACACTACAAACAATACAAAAACTAAACTGGCAGTAATTTTTCAGTTTTTTTACATAATTCTCTATATGATATTTTTTATACAATATAATGTTTCAAACTACTGCAATGTCAATAAAAGCCACTTTGTTAAACGACACAATTGAATTTTTAACATCAAGAGTCAACAGAGCAGAGATAAGGTCCCGTAATGCAATTAACAGCCATAAATATACAGAAAAAATGTAATTTACGAAATTCGAAATCTGTAAATGAATACATACTTTTTACAGTGCAATAACTGCAAATGCCTATGATGGCATAACATGTCTTTTTCCTTTCATAGATACCAGTACATCTAACTTTTACCCACCGTATGAGCAAGCCAACACCCATACAGCCACTGTCTCAGCTATAATAAGCGTGAGTGAGACTACATTACTTGCCTTGCTGGTGGTAGGGATCCACCCTGTCAGGATTTCCCTCCACATCTTCTGCGAGTTTGTCGGTCTGCATTCCTTGAGGTCAGCCTATAAGCCTGATTCGTGGCGGTACAATATAAATCAAGTGTTCATCTGCAAATGTAAAAGAAAACACCTCTTTAAAACATTCACTGAGACAACACATCTCCTAAAAACAATGAGCATCAACATACTCATTTAGAGTAATCTAATCAACAAAGCACAAATAGTCTTTTAAGAAAACTTCAACTTACTGATGAGCTTGTTTCCTTACGTTTTCCATGGCATAGCATGGAAAGTGAAGACTTGTGAGGAATGGCTGGATGACGCCAGAGGGGCTGGTCTCCTCCACCCAGCCAAACCAAAGCTCTGGGTTTTCTGCCAAGAACATTGCAGCTGCCAGAAAAGCATGACAAAGTAGTTATAAAATATAAATATCTAAGTGGAAGTTAGAAAAACAACTGCACATGAGCTCTTTGCATACCCACTGGCCTTTTGAAGTTCAATCTGTCAGTTTAAACCTAAAATTACCTGTCATGTTCAATGTTGTTATCACATTTAATCAACCATACTACTCATTAAGGGACTGCTATTTAAGTACAGCTAATTGCAGCAATACTACTGAAAAAAATGTAAGGACAAAAAGTCAATTTTTATGTTGCTTTAAAATACTTTTAAGAAGGTTTCAACTACACTTTTTTAAAGTTATACAAAGTTTAACTTAATATTTTTGGTCAGTTTGGTCAATGTAAGTTGAGATGACTAGAAAAGTTCATTTGATTCAACAAAAATTAAGGCAGCAAGAATTTTACAGCATTTTATAAAATATGGATTTGTCACGATCAGTGGGTGATGAAAGGAGCAAGGACTAAAATGCAGACTAAAAATGGGTTTATAATTATAAAATAAAACAAAAAGCAACAAAAACTACCCCAAGGAGGAAAACATAACTAAAACACACATAAATAAACAAACAAACTTGACTAGGCAGGGATCAGGGCTGGAAAGGGCGAGACACAACAAGGAAAGACTGGAAATGTTATATGAACAACAACGAACTGGCACAGGACAGCAGACATGAGGAGACTATAAAGGAGAAATAACTGGCAAACAGGTGAACATAATAAACTATAGGTTAACAAGGAGGGTGGGACTGAAACATGCAGCCAATGAGAGAGCTCATTACCTGCGTGTTCACATGAAACATAACACTAAAGCCAAGATGTAGACATAGAGCCATGTGCTCTACACAGATTTTCTTGCGAGGTCCCAAATATGCGCTGCTCACGCACAAATTTTCTTGCATGTTCTCAGTACACTGCTCGCTCAGTGAGATGATATGCACACTCACAATTTGTGTCTTGTGTTACTTCTTCCTTTCATGTTTTATTTAAAAAACATTTTTCCCTGTTTTTAATCGTGTCACTATTTATTAACAATAACTAAAATTCTAAAACAAATAGATCTACATATAAAATTTTAAATCTAATGAACCAGTGAACTAGTCTCTGCTGTCTTTCACATTGTTGATGTGATTTTGGAGGGCATTTTCCTTGTCATCTTTTTCATTTTGAGGAAAAGCTGTTCCACAGTGCCTCTGATCACGTCTATTGGCATGTGCAGTGTTTTGAACAGTACTATTGTAAAGAACTTCAATTCACCTGTTGTGGTAAAACTATCGCAATAACTGTAATATAAACAAATGAGAAAAAACTGTAGTTTTTTACAATATAGGGTATATTATACTACAATTGGGCAGCACGGTGGCGCAGTGCGTAGATGGTTCGAGCCCCAGCTGGGTCAGTTGGCATTCTGTGCAGAGTTTGCATGTTCTCCCCGTGTTCGCGTGGGTTTCCTCCGAGTGCTCTGGTTTACCCCACAAGTGCAAAGACATGCGGTATAGGTGAATTGGGTAAGCTAAATTGGCCAAAGTGTATGTGTGTGCAGAATTGTGTGGGTGTTTCCCAGTGTTGGGTTGCAGCTGGAATGGCATCCGCTGCGTAAAACATATGCTGGATAAGTTAATTATGGTTCATTCCGCTGTGGCGACCTCAGATTAATAAAGGGACTAAGCCAAAAAGAAAATGAATGAATATTTTGCAATTAACCATACTTTACTGTAGTAAAGCTACACTTTGTATTTCATTTTATCAGTTCACTATTCTTAATACTACACAAATTGTGAATCCATATCATCTGACTGAGGGAGAGCAGATCATATGTACTTGAGCAGCCAGTGTTTTGAGTGTGCGCAAGAAGTTTTGTGCACAAGCAGTGTATACTTGAGTGTGCATGAGAAGTTTTGCGCACGAGCAGCGTATATTTGAGAGCGAGCAGTTTTGTCCATGAACAGAGGAAATGGGCCCGCGAGCAAAGAGTTTAGCTCGCTCGTATTACATGAATGCACTCTTGACTTGTAATACTGCATTCACGACATTTGTCAGTGAAATAATGCCATACATGCCGCGAACAAAACACACACCAGGACGAGAGTGCGCATTCTACACACCCGGACCCCACACGTCCGCATCAGGATGGTACTCATACAAAAGACAAAGACAGAGAAGAACAGCATAAAAGTGCTTGACCAGAGAAAACTCATGCCGAGCACAATATAAAAGACAAGACAGGACTAGTGTCTGGACTCTGCCACCAAAACATGAATTGACAAGGCCGAAGTTGCAGACTCCTGACAATAAGTCCTAATTTAATCTCTGGTAAACAGGGACATTTCAATGATTCAAGAAAACAGTTACCTATACTTATGCAAGTAAATTTGCACATAATATAGCATAAAACATGCTTAGTAATACAATGCAAAATAAAAAATTTTTACATATGCAATCCATAATTTTTACAACATCAAAACTACTTCACGATGAAATACCATGTAAAACACATAAAAAGATGCATGATGCATCTTGAATACTGCTCTGAAGAAGTATTAAACATATACTGTGTTCCAATATATTTTTTATGCCCTTCCCTTACTAGCGAGAAGGTTTTGGCTGCAAAAAAGTTGCACATGTAAGCTGAGATTGCTTACAGATTGTTAATGCACACACCTAACCCGCCCCTAACCCCACCCCCTCACAATGACATCACTAACTATAATTATTGCATGTGTCTGACACTGCATGTCTCAGCCTGCATGTGCAGTTTTGCAGCCAGATACTATTGAAGCTTGGTTTCATTCATTTTGTTAACTTGAAATGGATGTATGGCATTGATTAGATTACACATGTGCCCAATATTGGCTGGCAGAACATTCAAAATGGGTTTAAATGGAACACCATAAGCCCTATAAAACCTAAAATGCAGTGTGAATGAAAGCTGCTGTTGTGACATTGTTATTGCATTGTTAAATATCTAACAACAATGAAATCTTGTGCCGCAGCATTTTGATGTGGTGTAATGTAATTCATCCATTAATTTTCCTTTCAGCTTAGTACCTTTATTAAACTGGAATCACCACAGCGGAATAAACCTGCCAACTTATTTGTTTTACACAGCAGATGCCCTTCCAGCTGCAACCCATCACTGGGAAACATCCATGCACACTCATTCACACACATACACTATGGACAATTTAGCTTACCCAATTCACCTATGAGTCTATGAGTGTCTTTGGACATGGGGAACTTCTTACTGTGAAGCAATTGTGCAATTGTGCTACCACCGCGCCATTCATTGGCCTATTCATTACAAATTAGTAATTTTCTGGTTGATTAGTTATTCTTAATTCATATGACACCAGTAAAATGGGTTTTTTTATTAGCAAGATTTTTAACCAAACTTTACTTTTGCTGTTATGACTAGACATAAAAAAATGGTTGGGCATATTTAGAAACATTACTAGTGACATTTTTAAAACATACTAGTGTTTAATAAACATGTAATAACATCAAGTATCTGTTTAAAAGGTACTAGCTAACCAGTAAGTACTAGAATCTACTTATTTGGCACAACTGCCTAATTAATGAGTATTAGTATATAGTAAATAAGTATCAAATAAATAAAGACAAATAAATTAAAACTATCTGTTTAATACTATATCTCTTTTGATTACCTAATGATGAATACTCAAATCTAATAAACAATTATTAGTATATCACAATAATGTACTATAGTCACTGTGATACATACTGTGCACACACCTGTTTGGTGATTCAAAGACCCTCTTCTTAAAGGGATAGTTAATCTAAAAATGAACATTTGGTTGATTGTGCCGTCTGCTGTAACTCCTCTGAGTACATGCAATATCAGAAATACAGTAATTTCAACATACATAATGTTCTGTTTTTTTAGAAATCTGCTTTTCTATGGCAACATGATTAATGACTATATAAAACAAAATATTTTGCAGTCAGATTGTACAAGTTGCAGCTCTCTTCCTTTGTCTGAAGTTACTCAATACACTACGGAGTGCATGGTCATTCTGTAGTGGTGTCCTACATTTATTCTTTCACTTTTCATGCACTGTGTAAGTGCACATCCAAGATACTTTTGTTGAAACACCATTTCCTAAAATACAAAGTCAGATGATGTTAAAACAAAAATAAAAGTCAGAAACTTTCATTTATAATTTTGCAAGGGTTACTTCCATAATTACCTCGAGGACATTAACCTAAAAAAAAAAAAATATATATATATATATATATATATATATATATATATATATATATATATATATATATATATATATTTTTTTTTTTTTTTTTTTTTTTTTTTTTTTTAAAGATTATATATATATATATATATATATACTGTTATACACTCAATGTCCACTTTATTGGGAACACCTGTCCAACTGCTTGTTAATGCAAATTTCTAATTTGGCAATCACATAGGAGCAAACCCAATGCATTTAATCATGTAGACATGGTCAAGACGATCTGCTGCAGTTCAAGCTCGGCATCAGAATGGGGAAGAAAGGTGATTTAAGTAAACGTGGTATGGTTGTTGGTGCCAGACAGGCTGGTCTGAGTATTTCAGAAACTGCTGCTCTAGGGTTTACAGAGAATTGTCTGAAAAAGAGAAAATATTAGTGAGTTCTGTGGACGCAAATGCCTTGTTGATGCCAAAGGTCAGGGCAGAAAGGTAAGACTGGTTCGAGCTGAGATAAAGGCAAAAGTAAGTCGAATAACCACTCGTTACAACTGAGGTATGCAGAAGAGCATCTTCTGACCATATTGTTGCTGACCATGTCCATCCCTTTGTGACCACAGTGTACCCATCTTCTTATGGCTCCTTCCAGCAGGATAACGCGCCATGTCATAAAGCGCGAATCATCTAGGACTGGTTTCTTGAACATGACAATGAGTTCACTGTACTCAAATGGCCTCCACACCACAATCCAGTAGAGCCCTTTTGGGATGTGATGGAGATTTGCATTATGGATGTGCAGCCGACAAAACTGCAGCAACTGCATGAAATGCTATCAATATGGACCAAAATCCTGGAAGAATTTTACAGTATCACCTTGAATCTATGCCACGAAGGATTAATGCAGTTCTAATGGCAAAAGTGGGTCCAACCCGGTACAAGTAAGGAGTCCCTTATAAGTGGCTGGTCAATGTAAGTCATTGTGACAGGGTTTAATTCTTCAAAATATCATTGTAAATTATAGGCATACTAGTCATACAGAGAAACTGTCTGTCAAACCCAGATTATTTTTTATTTATTTAATGCATTTCTCCTCCCTCCTTCTTGCGATTAAAGATTAGGGGACTTTGGTGATCATCGAGGTCTTCCAGTCATGCACACTTGCGACCTTCACGCGCCCAATACAACTCTTGGACCAAATACAAGGAAATAAGTAGAGAAGAAGCAAGTGGACAACAGCATGTGTGAGTATATGTGCAGGCCTTCAGAATCCAGACGGGTCACTCACAGCTCGTGTCGGTGGTCCACCTCGCCGGTAGGCGGCGGGCGCGTCCATTTCCCACAGCAAAACCGCTTTAAAGCTTCCTCCGCCGCTCTGCCTCCAGTCTCCGCAAAAATGGCTGCGATCGGACGCTTGTCCCAGAAGCTCTTCAAGTCCGCTGCCCTGACCCAAAGCCGTCAGCTTTCGGCTGCAGCTCATGGTGAAAATGCAGGTGAGTTTTCAACGCTAAAAGGGTTAAAACAGTCACTGTACTAAGAAGATCAACCATTTTAAATAGCCGCAACTCTACATTTGACCTTGCGGATGTGACGCGAATGGCTGTCTAGTGTTGTCCTGTCGCTGACATTGTTGCAAAATATCAATGAATAAGTGTTTTGTATAATAAAATAAGTTTTCTACATATGAATAGTATAATAAGAAACACAGCGAAGCGAGCTAACGTTAACATTAAACTACTAACTAACGTTAGCCAGTTAGACGGTTCGACTGACTTCATTATTAAGGAATTATTTAACACGTGCCATACACATTTATTTATAATACGACTTTGTTATGTGTGTGTCATGTAGCCAAGACCTGGAAGATCCTGACGTTTGTTGTGGCTCTGCCTGGAGTAGCTGTGTGCATGTTGAACATGTATCTGCGCTCTCAGCACCACCATGAGCAGCCCGAGTTCGTACCCTACAGCCACCTGCGCATCCGCTCCAAGGTAAAACACACACTTTACCCAATAACATCACCTCTTTCCTATTACCAATTACGAATAATTTAAACGATAAATAATGTTTAGAAAGGAGTACTATAAATTTTCTTCTTAAGTTTCGTTTTTGGAAACATTTTGGTGTTAACAAATAACTTTGAGCAGACTAAGAGTGACCTATTAAAAAATACTCAATGAGTCTTTCCACAACAACATTGACATGTTGAATAGTACATTACTGAAGTGATTAAGAGGAACAAAACAGTGAACAGGTGTAACGGGAGTCATATTCGCTTTGTGCCTGTACAGTATGCATTACAAGCGAACAATTAAGTGAAGAAACTGAACAAAAAGCTTTAAACCTGTGAAAGTGTAAAATGTAATATTCTCAGTGCCAGCACGCTTAAAGCAGCCCAAATGACATAATGTGACAGTCAATAAGTGGTCTTCTATTTTAACTGTCAAAGAAAAATGCACTGCTCCAGTCAGGCATATGCTGGATGAGCTTGTTGCTATAATGGTATTATAATAAAGGTGAATTCACCAGAACATGCTTGGTGTGTGTGAAAATGCTCTTCCATGAGCACCTGACAATGCTTCTGCACTTCTGCATTTAGCTCACTCTTAAACCGTCGGTGCATTAAAAAAATGAAACAAAATGCATGTTCGTGCTTCACTTGAAAAGCACCTTGTCATGCTTTCCATAAAAAAAACAGTGTTTTCATTAAATGTTTACATCGAGTCCCTTTATAATATAGTCCTCCTAGGGCTGGACAATACGATATAATTTTTTTCAATAATGGTGATATAAGTTTTATATTTTCGATATAAATTTACACACACACATATATATATATATATATATATATATAATTATGATCACAAGGTCTTTTACATTGTATCATTTGTCACTGAGTGATGGTCAGTGCTCAGTCGTCAGAAAGAGCGTGATGTACGTCATCACGCAAGTGACATCACAGACACGCTGCCAGCGCTCAGCCTCAGCACAGCAGTTGGTTAGCTCTGTTGCAGAAGAAAGTTTGCCCTGAAGTGTGCACTGAATACAGATGTGATATGAAACTGACACGGTTAAACGGGTCTCCTATGAAACCCACCACGGTAATTTGCTGAAGTCCAGATTGTGTTTTATTAAAAATCATTTTCTCACACCCTCACCCTACCGCTTGGACATAAAACAACTTAATGCCGAAAAAGCACGCTCTAAATGTATGCTCTGCAGCTGAAAAATGGTGACTTGGAACAGTCGATATGCCAAATAATTTTCCAAAGGCGAACCACAATTTGAAATGTTATGAAGACTTTTGTCCTTGTAACGCATTTGTTGCCAACACAGATTTGCTAGGCATACCGATGATAGCCAGATTTGAAAGTTTGCACAGACTACAGTCCACTACACAAGACAAATGTGTCCATTTGCGCTTTGAAATCATTAACACTGGATTGTCTTTTTAGGCTACATTTGTCCTTAAACCTTATCCCTTACCTCAAGGTATTTTGCTGTAAGCCTAAACCTCTTTTTTTATTGTGGATGCCCTCAAACATGATATACACAAACAAATGTTTAGAACATGTGCTCCAAAATAATTATCACAAGAAATCATTCAGAGCTGAACACAACACAAGGATGAACAAAATATTTTCATTTTTTTTTTTTTAAGTTTAGTGGCTTATTTACAGGATTTTTCATGGCCTGAAATCAGGATATTAAAATTCCCTGATAATTCCAGTTTTTCCTGGTTGCACAAATGTCTTTCACTCATGGTGTAAGCTATAAATTCAGAAACGCATAGCTGTGCAGCCACTAACCATTACGTGTTTTCTGTAGTAGCTGTGTATAAGGCCGTACTCACACTAGGTACAGTTGCCTCGAACCGGGCCAAAGAACCCTTAATAAACGTCTTTAATAAACTACGGCAGTTTGCATTCACTGAACAGTAAGAATGATTAATAAATCCATATGAAACAGTCACGTCTCGCTTTCAGTTTCGGGCTTTGGCACGTTTTGCACTCACACACAAGCGTACCGCGCCAAAGCCCAAGTGAACCGCGCTCAGGCCCACCTCTTCCAACCGGGCCAGGGCCGGCCAAGTGAACTGTGCTTGAGTCCAATTCAGCGCACTCACACTTCTCAAACGATCCGGGAAACGGGCCTGGGCACGGTACGGATGGCAGTGTGAGTAGGCCCTAAAAGAGGCGGGTGCTGTAGCAGGCACACATTACACTGGCGGATTCTGTATCAGCCACGCATAACCGTGGCAGGTGCTGTGGCAGACCCGTTTTCTGTGGTGGGTGCCTTATCAGCTGCGCATAACCGTGGCGGGTGCTGTGGCAGATCTGTATAACCATAGTGGGTGCCGTATCAGCCCCGCATAACCATGGCGGGTGCTGTGGCAGGCTTACAAAACAGTGGCAGGTATTTGTGGCGGGTGCCTTGGCAGGCGCGCTTAGCAGTGGCAAGTTTAGAGGCAGCTGCCTCTAGCATTGACTGCTAGAATGGCAGGCACACTTAACTTACAGGGCTACCCCTGCCACGGAGAGATTTTACTTCCTCTCCAAATTAGAGAAAAGATAATGCTTTGTGGTCTTGGTTATAATAAACAAAAAATTTAAAGAGCAAGATTTTTTGATTTGCTGTATCTAAAACATTCCAAGTTGACACCATGTTGTATCAAACCAAACTATGAATTTTGTGATATGTTACTTACACCTCTATTGATCTCTGAAAAGCTTTGGCTATAATGGATGGATATAGATATGAAAATAATGAAAAAAAAACATTCCTTTAGTTGTTCATATAGTTAGTTTTAAGCAGAGTCTTGTCATCTGAAGTGATTTCAGCTCATTTGAATGAGAATTTTCCAAATTGAAAGTGCAGCCAGTATTTTGAAATGCCATAATCACTTGCAAGAAAATAAGGATAAAGGCCACCGTAGCTTTAATTAGGTGCCCAGGTCTATAATGGAATGAGTGTTAGTTCAATGTAGTCTCATGCATCTCTATATAGACAAAATTGGGAATACTTAACATTAAAATTGGGAAAATAAAAGTTGGGTTTATTATTTTTCTGTCTTGTATTTTATCATGTGCCAGTGACATATTGTAAGATGTCCTTGAGTGCTTTGAAAGGCACTTATAAAAAGGTATTTAGTGGTTTTGGACCACTCTTTAATAATTTAATAGTTATAGTATAATAGTTAATGCAGATTCAAAGCATTTAATGCATGACTCTGCACCACTAAAACAAGTCTTATCTTACATTGTATTTTTTAGATATTGCCAAAAATATACCAGAGTCGAATGTGTCAACCATAGATTTTTAATTGATGCAAAAAACTAATTAGAATATTGGAATATTAAATGGGTTCCATAGAGATAATATATACATTTTCTACTGTCAATATATTAAAAAGATGCTTTTGAGTAGTAATGAGCATTGCTAAGCACTTTATTTAGACAGATTTGAAGTTATTTTTATCAGAATCTCTGCCAAATCATGTTTTATCCTGAATTATGCATCAATAGAAAACTTATTTATTCAGTCTTCATGTGATGTGTAAACACCCACATTGCTTGAAAATAAATCTGCACAAGCAGCTCATGATCGAATGTCATGAGCATCCCAGAGCAGATCTTGTTGCTTGTTTTACTTCACTAATATTGTGCATTTAAAAACTGAATGCTTGCCTACTATCTTTTCATTACTGTACAGAAACATGTTACATTAGTTGTCTATTATTAAATACACGTTTCTAGTTTATAATCCGTTGTTATTGTTACAGTAATAATATGAATTAACATTAAATACATTTAAAGAATTATAATTATTTTTTACTATTATTTTATTATTAATATTATTATTATTATTAATAATAATAATCAAATAATATCTAATAAATAAATAAATATCAGTATGAATAATCTGTGCATTTACTATGTTTACACTATGAGGTTGTTGTTTTTTTCCAGTAATGCAGTAATATGGCTTATCAAGACCCAAAGACTATTGGAAATGGAATTGCATAAATATGTATTCTATTACACAGCACAAACATTTTAACGTGAGCTTTTGATAGTGGTTTCAGCTTGTCAGAGCAACTGTTTGCACTTTGATTCACACAAAATCCAACTTTAAGTGCTGTAAGTCTAAATCTGATATAATATGCTTTTGAAGACGCATCAAACATCTTCCCAATGATGAGGGGTTGTAATAACAGTAAATCTCTTGTCAAAAGAGAAATTTCCGTGTTTTCCACCAAAATATATTCTCTGATTTGTTAAACATTTTAAAACACCTAAATAAAACACACAAATAATAGTTTTGTCATTTTACTGTTGTTAATTTTTCCTTGATACTGATTTTAGTTTTGTTTAATGAATCTTAATTATTGTGTTACATTTTCATAGTATTGCAGTATTTTGTTTTTTTTTTAAGTTATAAAATAAAAAATAATTTTAATGAAGTGGTGCACTGCAGTTTCACTCCGTTTAAAAAAAAAAGGACAAAATATTATTCTCAGGTCATATTGGTGGAAAGCTGATCGGATGCCTGATATTAATAGCAATATTGTCTTTTTACAATTAACCAAACATTTGCTAAATGCATAAAGTGTCACACAGACTCTTGTTCATTTCATTTTTCACTTATAATTTTAGTTAATCAAGGACATTTCTCATCTGTGCCCTATTTCCCCCCCCCCCCCCTCTCTCTCTCTCTCTCTCTCTCTCTCTCTCTCTAACATCAGCGTTTCCCATGGGGTGATGGCAACAAGACGCTCTTCCACAACCCACATGTAAACGCCCTGCCCGACGGCTACGAGCACCATGACGAGTAAAGGGTGTCAGGAGCTCTCCAGATCCCCCCTACAGGGACCACAAGGCCCTCAGTCTGCTGGCCTGGACCACTCCTCACGTTCTTTCAGTTTACATGACGCCTGTCCAGTTTGTCGATCTTACCTCTGTGCTATCCACACCTCGGAGAGGCACCTTAAGGAAACAGTTACATTTATTCATGGACCATTGTATCACACTGTCTGCTTAAACTGATAAATAAACATCTATTAGTTAAATTATAAACTGTCTGAAGTCTGATTTTTCAACGAATGATCTGACCACTTAATATTTTTAGCTGGGTTTCCATTGCACTTAAATTGCTGTTTTTAAGCATTAAAAATGAGTAAATTTAGCAAATATTACACACAATATATTACACTTTTTTTTTTTTTTTCACTCAAGGCATGATTTTTTAGGCAATTCAAAAGGCAATGTTTGACAGCTACAATAGAAATTTTTTCACATTCATAGGTCACTTGGTGTTTGCAAATTACATAATCGTGTTTAATGGACTTTTTTTTATTATTATTTCGAAAATATTGCAGTTTTTTTTTTTTTTTTTGCAAATATGAAGTGTTAACCCGACCGTTGTTTTAATTGTAAAGGTTTGGGAGGATTTTTTTATTTATTTTTTACATTTTGTGTGAGTGTCATTTGAATGGTACAATACTGTAAAGGTTTTGCCACTTGCCATACAAGCGCAAAAAATATCTAACCAATTGAAAAGGTTACTTTTTTAGTTTGCTTTCAAAAATAACCTAATTGTCAACTAGGGATGTTTCAGTACTACTAGACTGGCTATGTTGGATTATGCTGCAGTCACACTAGAGTTTGTGAGTGCAAAATTCTGTCGTATGGTGCTGCAAAAAAGGGCGGGATTAAACAAGATGATTAGACATTAAAAAAAGCGAGCGATTGGTTCATGTTATAAATTTCTGTTCAGAGTGGTCATGTTTTGATCTTCAATTGGTCTCACGCAATCATGTAATGTGATTTCGCAGGTCAGAGTTCACCAAGCTTAAACTTTCCAACGCAGCAAACTGCGAAAACATGTCACACAAGCTTGCGTTTCCGCTCTGACGCATTTGTGTATGTATGAATGAAAGTCTAAGGGCAGAAAAGTGTTGTGATTGCAGCTTTAGGGTTGCAGCAAAACTGTGCAGAGCTTGGCCCTCCAGGAATTGAGTTTGAGACCTATGTTCTGACCATTCATGTATGCAACATCCTTAATTTATTCTCTTAGGTAAGGCCAGATCTCATACATGGAGGAAAATGTGCTTATGCAATAGCAAAGTTATGTAAAGCTTGAAGCATCAGGATCGAGACTTGGAATCGGCTGAGACAAGGAATTGGTACTTAGAATCCGCTGCAAAAGTCGTGATCGCAGCATCTCTATTGTCAGCATAAACCAGTAGAAATTATGTTTAGTACTGTGCCCAAGCAAAAGTCTTACTGAAAACTGCATTTTGAGATGCTAACCTCAAATTAACAACATAACTAATTTTCTATGCTCAGAAGAGTGGTTGAATTCACAAATCGTTCATAAGCACTGCTTTAAGATTATTTGCTACTTTTTAAAACCAGCTAAAATAAAAATGTATAAATTCCTAAAATAATTAAATTTAAATATAAAAGGCATATTTTTGCCAGCACCAGTGTTACACGTTAATACTCTGAAAAACCCAATAGTCAACTTTATTAAATGAAATGAGTATAGTTAACTCTATAAAGTTAATTCTACTCATTTGAAAAGAGATTTGAACTCAGTGTTGAAGGTAATGAGTTAATTAAATACTTCGTTACTTCAACTTTGGAGTAAGTTCACAGTACTCAAATACAGTAATTTTTTTAACTCAAATGTTTGTAGCAATCGATTTCCTCAAACAGTTTGAGTTCTCTTCATTTATTGGATTTAACTTGTTTGAGTTACTGTGCTCAATTTGCTTCGTAGCTCAAATTGATTAAGTTCACGGTACTCATTAGGATTTTTTTAACCTGAATGGCTTGTTGCAATCGGTTTCCTCAAATCGTTTGAGTTACCTTAACATTTTGGGCTGCAGTGTACTTAATCTACACCCACACCACGATTCACTGAGAACGCAAGACTGAAATAGAGAGCGGTTGTCCCTCAAGGCGTGCCGTACTGTCAAGACACACTCACATGACTTCACTCTTGTGACACACATTCCACAAAACCCAAATATTGTGGCTTAATGAAACATCATGAAACGTCATTTTATATTTATTAGTAGTGTCGAGCAAATGTTTGGCTAACTGTGAGATGTTCCTAGCGGGCTGTAAGAGTGTTTAAGGCGGTGTGAGTGAATTCATGAACTCTGAAGCTGAAGATTGTGACACCAGTTAAGTTTATCTGCTGTCCATTCAAATCTCTGACGGTGAGTCAAAACTATCCTCGTATCGGTTCTTGTTTGGATGTGGAACACCATGTACCGTTTGGTTTGTAAAGCTGCGTGTTTAGCTCAGTGCACACTAAAATTGTCGTGCATTTGATGTGAACAAACAACAAATCTGCAGCAACTGTCGATGCTCAATGTTTTTAGGAAATGAATAAGTTTTCCTGCGTTTTGCAGCACAAAAGTTAGATTCGATTTTTTTTTTGTCTTGACAACAACGCTCGAGATGCTAGACCTCCCAAATGTTATCTAACACGAGTTGAACATCTAAATAACTGTTATTTCTAATTCCGATTATTTAGTTTTCTAAATTATTTTAGTTTCTAATAAGCACAGTAAACTCGTATTTATTGCAGCATTTAATGTTGTCGATCAGTGCAACTATTTATATAAAATATTGTCAGACATATTTAGAACATTATTTGATGATATATATTATAATTATTTTGTAACAAGTGATTGGCATTTCATAATGAAAACATTTATTTACAAATGTGCAAATTAATGTTAACTTAATATATGAATGTTAAAATGTTAAATTAATTCAAATTAATTTAAAGTATTTTATTAAAAATTAACTAATTTAATAATGATGTTTTAACAATTTTAATATTTTACTGACTGACAAATGGAAGCCACTTCCTACTATAGATTAATCAAAAAAAAAAAATGGTTTTATATGGTCAACTCTGATATGTTAGTAACAAGAGTTTGAAGGTAACAGAGTTGATCATTTAAAAAGTTTCTGCACAATATTGGAATAATAATGTAAAAATAATGTAAACCAATAATGTAAAAATAATATCTTCATATTTTAATATTTAATAAATAATCTATTTTAGCTAGATTAATCTCTAGTTATGTGACTTGTGGATACAAACATTGTGATATTGATTCTCAAATTGTATATTTTTCAGCCCTTTTTTTTCAACCAGTTTTTTTGTTTGTTTTTTTTTTCAATTTCTGTTCTGTTCTAGGAAGATTGTTTCAGCACATTTCTAAGCATAATAGTTTTAAAAACTTGTTTCTAATAACTAATGTATTTTATCTTTTCCATGATGACAGTAAATTATATTTTACTAGATATTTTTCAAGACACTTCTATACAGCTTAAAGTGACATTAAAAGGCTTAACTAGGTTAATAAGGTGAACTAGGCAAGTTAGGGTAATTAGTCAAGTTATTGTATAACGATGGTTTGTTCTGTAGATTATCGAAAGAAAAATTAGCTTAAAGGGGCTCATAATTTTGTCCCAAAAAATGTTTTTAAAAAAATTAATAACTGTTTTTATTCTAGCCGAAATAAAACAAATAAGACTTTCTCCAGAAGAAAAAATATTATCAGACACACTGGGAAATTTTCATTGCAATGTTAAAAATCATTTGGGAAATATTTAAAAAAAGAAAATCAAAATCAAAAGGGGGCTAATAATTCTGACTTCAACTGTATATATATATATATATATATATATATATATATATATATATATATATATATATAGTTTAGCGCATTTACAATGTAAGTTGTGTCAAAGCAGCTTAACATAAAAGATTATAGTAAATTGAAAGTGTAAGTCCAGTTTTCAGTTTAAGTTCAGTTCAGTGTGGTTTAATTTTCACCGCTAAAAGTCCAAACACTGAAGAGCAAATCCATCGATGTGCAGCTCCACAAGTTACAAATCAATCAAATGGCGACAGCAGTAAGAAACAAAATTTACCATCATATATATATATATATATATTTATATTTATATATATATTTTTTTTTTTATATCATATAGTTATTTTTGACATAAATGTTACACTGAATGACATATAATTATACCCATATTTTGACTGTTTTCAGAAAAGTTAAGAATGACATATACTGGAAAAATTACATCAATAATATTTGAAAAAGAGTAAACATTTCACATTAGTTTTGTCTTTAACCGGATGTAAATCACATTTGTAAAAGTAATTCAATTGAGACTCTAAAAACATCTTCATCAACAGATCACCAATGGCTGAAAGTGCTGTTTTGGCCGATTCCAGACGGTGAGCGTAATATTCAGCTTATTATATTAGTGTGCAAATCTTTTTTGCCTTTCTTCAAACAAAGTGATAGTCTGTGGTCTTAATCCAACATGCATGCAGCTTCTTAACCTTTCTTTAGAAATGCATTCTTACGATGTGACCCATCATTGCCGTCACAGAGAACAGAAGGCTCATTGTCCAGCATGTTATATGCTTGCAGATAAAATCATCCTCAAGATTAACGCATCAGTTTCTTCATTTTCAATCAGTATGTCTGGTAGGCAAAGAGGTTGGTTAAAAAAAAACTAACTGTTTCTGTTTGGTCATATTTCCAGATGCTGTTTCTTTCTGTATGACAGTTCAAAAGTGCAGGAGGAAGGTGACCTGACTAGAGATGGCATTTATTACTTCTATCCTGAAGATGTAAGCCTTGCAATACTGTTTATATTAAATCATTATTTCTAAAAGTACCTTAAATGAGCACTCCACTTCATTAGGAATAGTTTGATTTTAAGCAGTTTATTCACCTGATCTTTGGGTCTGGTGGGAGCATTTTTTTTAGCTTAGCTTAGTTTAGCATAGATAATTTAATTAGATTACACTAAATAACATTTGAAGTGGATTAAAATGGTTTTCAAAATTGTCATAAGACAAGAATGGGTGTTCAATAGTTTTAGGACAACTTTGATGAATGGTTTTGATCCACTTAAATGTTGACTATTAGAGCATTAGCATCTTGCTAATAACTTTAAATAAGAGTTAATAAAAAAAAACTGTTTGACTCTTCTGTAATTACATTGTTTACTAAGACTGATGGAAAATTAAAAGTTGCTATTTTGATCAATGTGGCTAGCAATTATGCTTTCTTTCTGGCATATTTATAAAGGAACTTTGCTGACATGGCTGCTGCAGGCGCATTGATATTACAAATATTTATTCGCCATATAAGCCTAGAAAATAGCAGCTTTTCATTTCCCTTTTGGTCTTAGTACATGATGTAACTACTGAAGAGTCAAGCTTTAACCAGGAAAAATACCAAAACCCCAAAAATTACCTTTTTTGAGAGATCCTAATGGTCTAATCCGATTGTATGATTTATGCTAAGCTAAATATGCTCCCGCCACACTTTGAGATGGCTGAATGTATTAAAAAAGGTACAACACAACTGTTGGAAACTTATTCTTATTGTTGGAGACAACCCTAGGAGTCATATTCTTATTTCTTAAAAAATAAATTATCCTATTTCTTGAAAAAGTGGGGTGTTTCTTTAAAATATGCTATTTAGTCATGGTTATTTTAGAAGATGACCACAGTGTGTGTTGTTACAGACACCGATAGACCAGCAAGAACTGCTTTGTGGACAGTTGGCCGGTGTGTGTCGCTGTGTGTCTGAACTGTCCTCATCTCCTGTTCGTCTGCTCCGTCTGCGCAAAAGCAAATATGCCGTGCGAATGAAAGATAACTTTCTTTGGGTGAGAGACATTTGGGCTTCATGAATTGTTCTGTAATTGGTGATGCATTTTGCAGTTTGCTATAATAAATTCTTTTAGTTTTTTTATTGGAAATATTTTGGATGTTGATAAATCACAGATTGCCAAACACAAGTGACTTGATGACCTTTTACAAGTTTAACAAAAAAAAAAGATTTCTTTCTAGTATGGTCAACTCTATGATGTTGGTTAAACGAGTTTGATGGTAACAATTTAAAACTTTTTGGTCACAAATCCCGCTTGTTACCATAAATGCTAGGAGCATTTCTGTTTGTTTTTTGTTTGTTTGGGGGTTTTTCCGAAATAACACTCCGTTATATATTCAGAATCAGCAAGAGAAACATACCTTTCAGTGTTTCAGATCTGATCTTTTAAGCAAAATATCTTCTGTATTTTACATCGTTTTGGGAGATATTTGACTTATCTTTAAACTATTTAATGTTGCTAAATTACAAAAAAAAAAAACTATTCAGTTCATGAAATACTACAAAATGTTAAATAGACTAATTTTATTATGCATAAAAATAAACAGAATAATTTGGAATTCAAAAAATAATGATTTCAGCTATCGAAGACTCTTTTTTGCAGTAGATATATTAATATGCTTATTAACATCATGTGATACATAACAATGAGAGACAATTCTATAAAAATATTACAAAATTACCATTTAATAATGATTTTGTAAACAAAATGTACCTGCAGTTCTAGAGTCCTACTTATGTAAGGGCATGAGCTCTGTTACAAAACCTAATGCTACCTCCAGACAAGGTTGTGAAATGGATTGTTTTCGCTGCAGGCAAGGAGTTTGTCTGCTATTTTAGTGGTTGTACAACACCTTTAGGTGTTTTTTCTGGTTTTCAGGCATTGAGCTGTTCAGTGGAAATTCCGGATGTGAGTATATGTGATGTCCTCGACCAGCTGATTGCCCTCTTCTGTTTCTACAATGGGCCAGTGCGGCAGAGCTACCAGGTGCAGCATCACAGTCTATAGGATTCTATTTCCTGGTTATGATTTCTGCATGGATGCATATTTTTGATGGGGGAAAATTATTGTAGTAAAAATGTTTAAAGGGATAGTTCACCCAAAAGTTTTCCTCATCATTTACTCACACTCAAGTGGTTTTAAACATTTATGAATTTTATTCTTCTGTTGAACACAAAACAAGATATTGTGATACAAGACATTGTATCAAACAAGACACTTGACATACATAGTAGGAACAAATACAAATAATACTATGAAAGTCAATCTCTTTTACTTTTCCCATTTAATTTTGCGTTCTCTCTCTAATCTTTTGCACTCCCCTGAGTAACTGCTTGCTAGCAAACCTTTATGTTTCCATACGAAACATTGTATTTGCTGAAGTCTTATAATCCCTGAGCTTCGGGGTGACTCATGAAACTTTTGTGTTTCAGTTAATTATGCATTCTCTCCAAAACGTTTTAAATATACCCGAGAAATTTTGCATTCTCAGATATTTTTCCTGTTTAGAAACCTTATGCTCATTCTCAAAGACTTTGCGCAAAGGTAGCATGTTTTTCCTCTGAGAAACTTTCCGTTCCCTTTTAAAACTCATTGAGATTGGCATTAAAAATGTTATTGACATCTAAAATTTGATTTGAAACCTCATAACTTGACATCTAAAAAAAGATTGACATCTAAAAATAAAAAAATATTGTTTGTATTCAGCAAGAATCCATTAAATTGGTCAAATTGACATTAAAGTGTTTAAAATAAACAAATGCTTTTCTTTTGTACTTTACATATATTTGAAAAAAAAAAGTGTTTCCACACAAACATGAGCAGGACAGCTTCTTTCAACATTGATTTCTTATTGAATTTGTTATGTTGTCTTTCTGCCTGAACACAGTTGTACAGTCAGGAGGAGTTGGCTCTGCGATGGGCCAGATATCTCCATCACCTGCAGGGCGGCTCTACTGAGCTCCATAGTATCTTCAGCTGCCTGAGGACCATCGACTCTACTAATGTAAGCAAGAGTGGAATTATAGTTAGGCGGCTGTACGTATTATATTAGCAATGTGCCACAAAACAAGTTTAAATAAATCTTTCAGTCAGTACTGCAGCAAAAAAAATTGCCAAAACCACTCTATGATAATGAGTATGTTTACCATTTTGCAATACAACCCCAAATCAGAAAAAATTGGGACCATATGGAAAATGAGAATAAAAAAATAATAATTTAGTGTTCAAATTCTTTGCAATGAAATGCAATTATAAAATGAGTTAATTTAAAGATGCCATAGCTGTCATTGACTCAATGTTAAATTGTTCAATGATATATACGTAGTAGTGGTTTAACGATCACAAATCTCATGGTTCGGATCACTCTTTGGTTTTGAGTCACAGATCGAACCATTTTTTGGATCAGCATAAAAGGGAGAAGACAAAAGTCATTTGCTTTCCATTTATTACAATAGTATTAAAACAGTACTGCAAGAAACTTTTAGTTTTAACAAACAGAACTTAGAAACTGTGATTTTAGTAAAATAAAAATCAAGAAAAACACCTGAATAAAAAAGTAAAATATTCAGTAACGTGAAAAATGGTCTTTGCTACTGTTCTTGATAATACAAAATGTATAAATCTAACATTATAATCTTGTACAACACATTTATTTTTTAGTCTAATTTTTTAAAATAATGATTCAATAATTCACACATGAACTTTTTTTTTTTTGTTAGATGTGTCATTTTTGAAGATTTAGTGACACATTTTTGATGGTTGGTTGTCCCCACCTATAGCTTAAATAATGTAATTTGCATTAAACGATGATTTTAATCTTTAATACAAACATCAGTGTTTATATTTGAACTATATACTGTTATCTTAGTACTTCCGTGTTTTTGATTGTTTGTGGCTGCATTTACACTGCATGGTTGAAGTGACCCAATTTCGATTTTTTTTTTTCTCCTATGTGGCACAGATCAGATATGGCCCACGTACATGTAAGCAGGAAAAAAAAATCACATGGATTCCAATTTACTCAAATCAATTCAGTCAAAGTGAAAATAAAAAATGTGAAAATAAAAAAATGGAACCCTACAAACAGATTAAATAAGGCAGGGCTTGACATTAATACCCGCCAAATGCAGGTAGATTTCAGCTGTGGCGGACCAGACAGACGCTCACACTAGCCACTTTGGCTGGTTGAAAATAATTTTTGAAATATAGTTTTCTTAAAAGCAGGGTTTGATTTTAAAGATGACCCAATATGCATGCTAATGTGATATTAGAATCGAGAAACAGCAAGACAAACAAAAATAATTGTGTTCGCACGAGCAAAAGAAAGCAGATGAATTATATAATAAAACACATGCACGCTCCTGTTTCCTTGCATGAAGCAACCATGCCTGGAAGGCAACTATGATCGGTTCTCTTTCAAATAGATTAGACAAAAACTTATGCTCATGAACCAACACATTTGCTGCTTTTAAAAGCCCCAAATTTGTATTTTTGTAAGCAGCACCAGTTGTTTTCACTTTGAACAGATTATTAATTGGCCTTAACCGCATGCATGTGGTCATCCTTTCATTATCACACACAGAATGTTTTTCACATGCTTTCTTTTGCTTACAGTTATTCTTGTCAATATGGTTAATTACCTTTTTTTTAAAATTATTATTACAAGAACATTGCTTTAATATAAGATTAACTCTCCCTTTATGTTTAGTTAACTGGTGATCTGAGAGATCTTTAGCCAGGACAGATTACTGTGCATATTTTTGTTACATGACAATAATTGTTTTTCTTAGTTTTTTAAAGAAATGTTTTGTTAAATATAAAGTATAGGATACAGATATATTTAGCTTGTTTTGACACATTTAAATTTTGTAGCTAAGAAATAATTATTGATTGGTGTGGTTAGAGATAAATTTGGTAAATCCTTAATTTTGAGTTCTGAAAAGTCCTGTGAAATAAAAACTATTTGCAATGCACTATGAAACCATGACCTTTTTGCTCATACATGACACACACAAAACGTGAAATGAATAAGGAGGCATGCGGACAACACAAAATCTAAATCAAGTAATTTTAGCCCGTCAAAGTCTTAATTATGCATATAAAAATATTTTCCCAACAACAAAATTGTGGCTGGTGAAAATACAGCGGCTAGTAACGCTAAAAAATTACTAGCCACAGCAGCTGGTGATCAAAAAAGTTAATGTCAAGCCCTGAATACAGGAGTGGAGAAATAGAGCTCTTTTATTATCAGCTGACAGTCAGCGCCCCCTTTTTGTTTTTCCTGCTCATTACGCCTTTTTTACCTTACGCCGTGTAAATGTAGACAATTGGATATGAGTCACTTTTAAAAGATAATGTAAGCTAACTAACAGAAAAGTAAAAAAAAAAAGAAACTCTCTCGTTCACAGATTTGAATGCAGCACATCGAAGGATTAATAAACATATGCAAATCATCATCATTTACAGGCTAATTTAGGTTACATGGGTTTGAATTGAGATCCTGGTCTTTTAATGATGCATTCTGAAATACTCGCATGCAAAGTAATCACACGTCAAGTGTCAAAACATATTTAAACCTGAGTAGATCCAATCTTTTTAACTAAAGATGTAGACAAGTGGTTTATTTTAGCTAGGAGGAGTGAGTGGAGATATCTTCAAGCCACCAGAGTAACCTACTCTTCTACCGAGGTGTTTTTTTTCATTGGAACATGGAGGAAATCAAAATTATACCCGAAAAACTGGATATGTTTTTTTCTTGTTAATTGTGTATAATGCATGTATACACACACTATAAATATATATTCTTCAATTGTCACTTGTCTTTTCAGATTGATCCTCTGTTATTGCTGAAGGCGGCGCTCATACTTCAGGCTTGTCAGCGATGTCCTCTCGTTCTGGCAGGTTGTATTCTCTACCGAGGCAGGTGAGCCTTCTTGCTGCAATTTGTTTTCTATAATTCATATTTACACTAAATATTGATAGCTATAAGTATAGTGACATGTCGCTGTTATTCAGGGTTGTGAGTACTCAGATGCCTCCTGCGCTCACAGTGAAGGTGATGGTGTATGAGACGCAAACATACAGCCAGGTGCAAATCACATTCATAAAGATTCTTGATGAAACTTGACACAGTCTTATACTGTTGTGTGTTTCGTCTTGTGTTTGGTTCTGCAGGATAACCGTGTGTCAGTCAATGGTCTGAGCTCATCTGTGGGATCGGCGGCATCCGTCACAGTGACCACACAGGTGTATCTGACGCCCTCTGAGCTGAACATGATCCGTTCTCCACCAGTTGAAAGAGCATGCAGGTACAAATAGATTCAACTTGAAACTACTAGAAACGACCTTTTTTGTCATGGAATTTTTGTTTTTACAAATAGCAATTTACATTTTATAACGACCCACAAAACAATCCCCAAATAAAACAATCAATATCTGCAAATGAAGAAGTAAATAAATAAAATAAACAAAATAATAATTAATAATTAATAAAATAAACAAAAATACAGAGAAAGAAATATAATAACATACCATATACATGCATACATACATACATACATATACACACACACATGTACCTTCGCTCAATCCATATCTAAGGTTTTTAAGTAATTAAAGAATGCAAAAAATTGTTGCCATTTTTCAAAAAACTGTTCTCCCCTACCTCTTATATTGTATTTAATTTTCTCAAGTTTTAAAAAGAAGACCAAATGTTTGAGCCACAATGAAATAAAGAGGGGTTGTGGGGAGGTCCAAGACTACAGTATTCTGTGCCTAGCGAGAAGAGATGCTAAAGCCACTATGTCAGCGTGTCTCCGGTTTAAAGTTTGACACTGAGAGGGTACACCAAAGATCGCGATTAAAGGGCAAACAGCTATCTTCATCCCCAGAACATCAGAAACAATTTTTAAAAAAAAATTCAATAATTTTGCAACTTGAGACAAAATACAAGCATATGACTAAGGTTACATGGTGAAAGTTTACATTTAACACACAAATCTGAAACATTGGGATACATTTTGGAAAGTTTGGCCTTTGAGAGATCTAGCGCATGAAGTGGAGGTGCAATACTCCAATTGTCCAATACTGCACTCCAGTAGTCATCTTCAAACAGTCAAGTTCCTCTTCCCAGGCCCTGATAGCTTTAATGTTATAAGAATTATCTTTTGACAAAATAATTGCGTATATTTTAGAAATGATTCCACTCATATGACCATTTAGTTTAAATACCTCTTCCTATAGTGACTTTGTAGGCAGGGAGGGAAACTCAGAGAACAGAGAGGAAGCACAATGTCTAATCCCAATGAACCGGAAGCTGTGATCGTTCTTTTTTTTTCCCCATATTGTGACGCAGTATCTAGAGAAACGAAATAATAAATGAGCAAATAATGGGCGTGGCTTGATTTTTCTAACGTTGGCTGAATTGATGTAGTAAAGTAGACAATTCATTTAGAAAGATCGGGAATGGGGTTTTAGAACAATTATTTCAACCTAACAGACTCCTCCTGCTTACCATTTCTGTTTGTTGTCAAAACTGACAGTTGAAGCAGCTTGGTTAAGTATGTTAGCCACACCCATTACCTTAGAATGACCTAATCTGATCATTTAACTGAAAACAAACAGGAAGTGCATTTTCAGATTTTGATTAAAGATTAGAGGAGCAAAACAATTTATCTTAATGACATGCACAGCTAAATTGTTCACCACAAATCTAGCAATGTGACCTTACAAAATCATGGTTAGTTTAGATTTCTTGGGGACTTTAAAATATGAGGTTGAGTAAAATGAAGCTCTTATATCATTTCTTCAGAATTTTAATTACTTTTATATTTTTACAGCTTTTTTGGAAGACAATGATAATTAGTCAGAAAATTTTTTCTTTCATGATTAAAAATCTGGGTTATTCCACCTAATATGTATTTCATACAGTTATAAGTTACAACAATGGTATTGTGTTGTCTAAAAATAAATATAAACATGTCTGGTAACATGAGATCTTATTTTTTGATAAGCAAAAATTAAATCATACTCAAAAATATATCTATAAAACATTAATGCAGAGAATTTCCAAATAGTTTTGGTGACTGTGCATTCACTACTGTTTAAAATTACAATCAAACAATAAAGAAAGTATTTTGCACACAAAAAATAAGGGATATACCTCATCGTCTAAAGTATTTTGATAATTAAACTTACACATATACTGCTTTCAGATGCTTTAAAATTTAATTATAATATTATGTAATTATTATAGAATTTTTAGCATACTTCAGTCTTCAGTGTGGCATAAAATAAATGAAAACAGTTGCTCCGGGGTTTTTTGTGTTAAAAAAATTGATTGTGTGTGTGCGAATGTGTATATATGTTAAAATCAGAAATATTGCCCCCTTTTGAATTTTTTTCTTTATTTTTTTAATATTTCACAAATCATGTTTAATAGAGCAAGGAAATTTTCACATTATGTCTGATAATATTGTTTATTCTGGAGAAAGTCTTATTTGTTTTATTTCGGCTAGAATAAAAGCAGTTTTTAATTTTTTTAAAACCAGGTCAAAATTATTAGCCCCTTTAAGCTATATTTAATTTCGATAAAGTAGATAAACAGGGGGGCTAATAATTCAGGGGGATTAATAATTCTGACTTCAACTATATTATATATATATATATATTAGTACTGTCAAAATGAAATAATTAACGCGTTGAAAAAAATTCACGCAATTAACGCAGTTGCAAGTTTTTATTTTTTTTTACTTCCTGTTGTGGTGGACGTGTGTTTACCATGCAAAGAAATATGGATAAGATCAAGGAAGCACTTTTTGAAGGCAAGTTTCAGTTTAAAACAATTAATGTCGCATCTCACCAGGCTCTCCAGAGTTTCCTGCAATTTCGGGTGTTTCATGGCAAACGTCAAGAAAAGCCTACGCATTTCGGTACTCGGTGTTCCTTTGAGGGGATCAAATTGCTGCTTACACGGTAGTCTCTAAATAAGAGTATTAATCATATTAAAATCGGAGAATTGGTGTCCTATGTAAATGTACTCAGAAAGTCTCTGGTGAAGTCACGAGCTGTCAAAGAGTCTGCCTTTCAGCATGAGCCCTCCAATGTTTCATTGAGTTTAACGTGTTTCCTCATTAAACGCAATGAAAGCGTTTGCTTCGTGCTGTTGTATCAGAATCCTTGTGAAATACAGCCATACTTAAGAACGCAAATTTCATGAACGCGATCATGCGAGTTCAATCTAAAGGGAGTCACTCCAGCGCGTTGTGTGTGTGTCTGTCTGTGTCAGGCCCGTTGAGGCGTGTCAGGGGTTGAGTGAGGTGAGCGACGTATCTGGGTAGGGGTGTGTGCGCGCGCGATATACCTGAAGAGCTAGGAGGGATGCGGTGGAGAGTGCATTTGCGGGTTTACTCCCAGTCTTAGCAACTGGATGAATGTAAGGGACTGAGCAAAATTGTTTCTACTTTATAATTATGTTCTCACCTCACAGCAATACAACTTTACAATAAGTGCAACTGTTTGTATTCAATACTTTATTAGTATTATTATAACTTTCCATTTTCCAAATCTGCAACGCCTGTATTTTGGCATTTTTTTTGCAGTCCACTAAGAATCCAACATGGAAATCTTTTTTTTCTTTATTGGTATTGATTGTTTTGAAATTCAAATGGCATGAACATTCCTGTTTTAATTTCTGTAATAAATATGGCTGTCAAGCCAGGATCTTGATGGTTTATTGTGGGTATGTTGTTTACATGAAGAAATCTGTGTTACAAGTTAAACAAAAATTCTAATAAACAATTATATTTCGAATTTAAATTTGCGTTTACATTAATTTTACATTTGAATAGCCAAAATTACAAGTTTCAGTCTTTTAAATGTGATTAATCGCGATTAATATTTTTTTAATCGATTGACAGCACTAATATATATATATATATATGAAATTATTATTATTATTATTATTATTATTATTATCTTTGCATTTATTTGCAGTTATTACATTATATTATTGTTACTGACACCAAAGTACTAATCATATTTTTAAAACAGAAATCTTCTGTAACATTATAAACCTCTATACTGTCACATCTATTTAATTTAATATATTTATGTCAATCCCACATAACTTGGATAACTAAACTAAGATAACTAAATATCTTTAATTTTTTCACAACAACAATTTTGTAAATATTGTTTCAGATATATTTATATTTTCAGGTCTCACTGCAATCCACCTCCCTGCCAACCTCGCAAGTCTCGCCTGTCCCGGACTTTATCTGACACCCCAACCTCAGATACGGACTCCTCAAGCTTAGACGCTCTTCAGTGTCCTCCAGTGTCCTATCAAACAATGCCGTCGTCTCCTCGCTCTTCACTCTCTGATGAACCATACTTCAGTCCATCTCCTTCACGGGGGAACACTCCCCTTCACTCCAACCTCCTCAACCAATCAGAGTACTTCAATTCTGAGTCACATGACCACCAAACTGCATTAAAAGAGCAAAGTCTGACAGAAAGTCTTAACAGAAAACAGGACACCGACACAAACTCTGAGTCCGAATCCAAAAGCGAAGGTTTGAATTCAGACCAGGACGTCCAGAGTGAAGAAATCAAAGCCCTCACTAATGGCTTTCAAGAGTTGAACTCTCATGAAAACCATGCTTCAGACAATGATGAGCAGTTTCAAAGTACCGCAGATAAACTGGAATCTGACAGTCATGTGACCAGTAAAAATGGCAAACTGCGAGGGGAAATGGAGGCAAGAACATTGAGCAAGCAGGCTGACAGAAGACATCAGGATAAATACAAGCCCACAAGTACGCTCTCACCAAATGAAACCAAGGAAGACCCCTCGCTAGTCCCCTCGATATTATACCAGCATAGGGTCCGAGGCCTGGTTCTGGCTCTCCTGGTAGAGCCTGAATTCAACACGGACCCAGCAGCCAGAGAAGAAGTGGTGAGAAGTAAATCGGTTATACTTGACGTGGATGGGTTTGGAGTCAGTAAGAGAAATTTATTTAGTTTAATTTTTTTAATTTAAATAAAAGAACTTAATAATCTGGTATTAGTCCACACGTAAGCTAATGATACATTCATTACTGTTAAAATCTACATAAATATTGATTTACAGTAATTGGACAGTATATATTTTAGCCTAGAATTGAATGTTTTTATTAATGAACAACATTTGTTAGACTTTTGGGCGGTTTAACAGAGTTAGTGAATCTTGAACTTGTATTTTGTGCTAGACCTGGCAGCTTTGAGCTGGACATTCTGTTGGCATGGATCTTGACATTCTATTTGCATGGGTAATAGTTTTTTAATAGGAATAATTGACGATGGACTATCAAAGTTTTAGGAAAAGCCACATCAACACATAGGGTGTGTATTATTGTATAATAACTCAATAGACTGGAGTGAATAATTCCACTTATACTACCTGAAGACACTGTTGAGATTTTGTATTTTAAGATATTTGCCCGTTTTTTTGTCCTAAAATGCTCCTGTGTGTAGAACTGGTCTCGTATACATTTCATTTAAATCCTTTTGTTTATTTTCATTTGATTTTTTTTTATACTTTTAGGAAGTGAAAAAATAACTAAAATAATTTAGCATATTGACATGGAACTGTAATGCAGTCCAGACCTGCCTGGAACTACTTAAACTGTGTTGATCTAATAAATAACTTCTCACATTAGAATGTTCATCAGCCAATCAAAATCAAGCCTGTAGTATAATGAAACACTAATCAATTAACACATTGATGAAAGAGCAGAGCAAAATTTTTAGATAATACCTGTATTTTAACAGTACTAGATGATCTAAGAAGTGTGAGTGAGAAGGTTTAAACTAACAATCTTTAATTTAAAAAAAAAAAAAATTTTTATGTATAAAAGCATCCCTACAGAAAGTAATCAGCATACAAATAACAAAAGTAATACGATACGAGTAACACATATGAGTAACAAAGGTACAGAAAGAGAGCAGAGTAAGTCATTCCTCTACAAGCGCAGTTTTAGTGTCATAGTGTTTTGCCTGATGTCTTGCCAGTACTTTTCTGTAACTTAGGAAGCATGGTCTTTCCAAGTCAAACTATTTTTTTAATGAATTTTAGAGTTTTGAAAATATGCAATTAATTTACTCGCCATTTACTCTTTCTCTAGTGCAGCGGTTCCCAAACTTTTCAGCCCGTGACCCCCAAAATGACAATGCCAGTGACACGCGACCCCCAATATTAGGGCTGCACGATATTGGAAAAAAATGACATTGCGATATTTTTTTCCCCTGCGATATATATTGCGATATTTTATATATATATATATATATATATATATATATACTTAAAACTAGGGCTGTGACGGTCACCATGACAACCGCGTCACCGCGGTGGTCATTGCCACCTCGGTTGTCCATTGCCACCCGCCGTAGTACGTGAAGTCACGCACTTTAAAACACAAATTACTGTTATGTTGCCAAGTATTACATATCTGATAGAATATAACATTAGGCGCGATTCAGCAAGTTCAAGTTCAACCATGAATCTTGTTAGAATACGAACTCTTACATCTGGGAACATTTTGGATTCGTGCCGACCGAGAAAGGTGAACGAATCAATTTGGATTAAGCTTTTTGTATGGGGGTTTTAAGTAAAGTGTGTTTTAATATTCACTGCTGAGTGCTGAGAGTCCAAACACTGAGGAGCAAATCCATCGATACGCAGATCCACGGGTCCCGAACCATGCAAGCTAGTGGCGATTGACGGCGAGGGAAAAAAAAGCCATGTAGGCTTAATCAACTCCTGTCTTCTAAACGCAGAAGCCCAGCTCAGCCAGGCATGGCAGAGGCATTTGCAAAAATGGCCAGATACAAAAGAGAAAGTGATAAATGGAAGACATTGACGAGAAATTGAGCATAGGCTATTTGGTAACTACTTAAGAACGCGCCGCTCCGCGTTGCGAGAAATGCGGGCGGCGGAACAGAAGGAGAAGCCCTCTCTCGCATGGTTGTGAAAAAGTAGCCTGTCTGTGCATTATCGCTACAAGCACACCGTCTGACAGTGTATTGCTGGAAACATTATAACTCCATTCTTCACTTAAACCGGACAAAGTCAACATGTTAGTTTTTCTGGCAAATAATTTAAAATATGACTACAAAGGTGGAGAGAAACTACGCTGTTTTTTTAAACATCTGACTTATATTGTTACTAGGTTAATATTTTCTTTTTACTTATAATTATTAATATTTATATTATTATTACACTGATTAGTAAAGTGCCATTTAGACTATTTGTTAAGTTCTTAAAAATGTAACGTTTAATTGTTGTTATTATTATACAGTTTCAAGCAGTTAAAGTAATGTAATATTTAACTACAATATTTATAAACAGTTTTGTGTTGTTTTATTAACGAAAGTTCAAAAATAAACATGTACGTTTATACGGATGTTTTATTTATTAATATTAAATTCGGTTATTCCTTAATTTTTACATAAAATGTAAATTAACTTAAATAGGCTACATTATTTGTTGATGTACGAGATCGAGGAACATGTTTGCCAGTAAATAATGTTCGCACCACTTAAAAAACAAAACAAATGAATAACTTGCGAAAAGGATGCAATAAAAAATGCAAGTGCTTAATCATTCTTCACAATCGGATTCGTACGTGCAATAAGCCGAGGCTATATTGCGCCGACAAGAACAAGCCCTAAAACTAAGTCTAGAGAGAGAATTAATACTAGTTAATATTAATGATTATAAACACGAACTGCGTTGTATGATAAACGCATCACAATGATGTCGTGATCTTTGCTGAAGAACTGATATGTTATCGCCGTCTCCCCAGCCAGGTTTTCATCTGCTTTTTTCCCCTTCTTCTGGATACAAACAATAAAGTATCAGCGCCAGACCGTGGTTTAAATTATATTTTACTCTCCTGATTTCTTTTCTTTTCATTAAAAAATAATTAAATGTTTAAAGTTTTGTATTGCATAGCATATATTTTTAAAGATTATCATTCAGCCTACCTGCAGCGCATGAGGTTGTGTGCTGGGCAAATCCCCTTTACTCATGCTACCCATTTCATTTATGACACTGTAAACTTGACTTGGCAGGCTGATCATCTTTAAACTCAAAAGGTGTTTTTAACTTGAGACTGCATGCTTCTGCATAATGTGATGTTTCTTATTACAACTGTTAGTGGTGTCAAAATGAAAGCAAACATTAAAAAGGGTTTTGTTTTATCAATTGTATAGTTTAGTTTTAATAATAGCTAATGTATATAATAAATTATAATATCGATTATTGTGTAGACTACAGTGTTCAACAAAACAATTTTATTAGATTACTCTAATAGACCAAATCCCTAACTGAAAAACTAATGTGAAAATGACAGGCAGTTGCGTCTTTGCTAAAATTAATTTAACGACAAATTTCTTTTGCTTTTTTCCCCTTTAGAGATCAAAAGAGCTGTATTTAAAGAATTATTTCACTAAAACATGAATTGAATGCCCAGTTCTTTCCCGTGTGAGTTTAGTGCGCCTCCGCCGCGTCTGCGTTTTTAAGGTTACAGGTGCACCCTGACCTGACGCGGGGACCAGATCTCTGTATTGCTTTAATTTCTCAATTTTCATAACTGCATTGCATTTTCATATGGTAAAATATCAAAATTTATGCTCTGAAAGTAGTAGGAATGACGGGAGTGTTAGTAATTAATAACAGAAAGAACTTTCACTTTTGAGTGAACTTCTGTCACGTGTTATTTTAGTATGATAAAATAAACAAAAATAGTAATGCTGAAAAGTATTTTTCGCTCTGCCAAGCCTTCTCTGTTGCTGTATAGAGAAGCAGCCTGCTCAGTCTCCTTACCCCGGCCCCACCCCGCCCACCGACTCCTGAACGTCTCACTCACTAACTCACTCACTCACGCGGGCATGCACTGCGGTCTCATGAGGAAACGCAGCTTTTTGATATAATGTTTTTCTTGTTCCCAAATACAAATAATTTATCAAGTATTGTTTGACATAAGTATTCGTAAAAACACTCTATTCCTGCTTTTCCGAATACCGTATTCCGGTTCGGCTCCACCCATAATATATATATAATTTATTATTATTATTATTTTTTTTTGCATCGCACCCTCCTGCGATGTGACTATCGCGGATGCGCACATCGCGATTTCGATGCTGAAACGATATATCGTGCAGCCCTACCCAATATCCTCTGAAGTGGTTATAAATACAGAAACCTTGCATGCAATGGTGCACACACACCAACCCAAGTCTATTTTTCGTTTAATTTCTTTAATGTATTTCAGTGCTGTAAATGGGCCAGAAAGTTTAACCTGGTGTTATGAAAGCAATCTGCTGCATCTGACACTATTGTTGTGTCTTTAATATAATGTAATTACCCCAGGGGTCGCAATCCAATAGAACTAGTAACTATAAGCTACTCTTGTAACTATATAGTATATAGTAACTATAAACGACTATTTTTTTCCTTCAGCAGGTTTTGGATAAAATATGGTAATTCTTATGGTTTAATTAAAAAAATAGATTTACGGAAATCACCAGGCGAAAAAAAAACACTAATGATAATATTACATTTTTGTTGAGCTCCAAATCAGCATATGAGAATCTTAATCATACATGATCTCCTGATATAAAAGTCTGTTTTCTCTGCTGTTGTTGCAGCAACACAGCAGCTTGGCATCTCTGAATGGTCTTGAGGCTCACTTGAGGAACACCTCACAAGGAACTCCTGGCCCACCGGGGCCCTACACATTTGCCCACTATGACTGCATTCAAAATACTCTCACCAGTAAGTCCCATCTGATGAATCAACTTTAGCTAGTATCCATCCCCCTAATGCTCTTTGAAGTAGTGCATGACAAGTGATGGAAGTGCCAAATTTCAAATAAAAATCCCTGAATTCACATTAAAAAGGTTTTAATGCTCGCTTGAGGTGGTTTTGGACTCTGGGCGGTTTGTGCAAATAATGGGAAATAGAAACACAATTTTTGAATAAACTTGATGTACTGAACATTTCACACCCACATGACTAATTAGCTGTCTGTTATGCTTGCCGTGTTTACTGTTGGTTACTAGGTTACCAATACTACATTTGACTGCTCTAACTTGATGAAAATAGACCTAATTTGGGATTTTTAAACTTTTGAAAAGATTTGTTTCATGTTATGATGCTAACCTGGCTTATGATTATGACAAAATGACTGAGGTTCTGCACTAAATCAGTGTATAGGTTTGTGTATATTACTAAAATAGTTAATGACTTTTGTGTGTTCTGTAGCTAATGTGTGTGGACGCTCTGTCGGACCCCAGGATCGTGCCTTTCTGAGGGCCACAGCACTGCTCCATTCACATTTTTCACACTTAGACACACTACAGGAGGCCATTGTCAGGTTAGTGTATATGTTTGTGTGCTGTGTATAACTGGTGAATTTATCTCTTAATAAGAAAGGTGTTAAATTAATAAGTGTTTGTTTTTAAGAGACAGTCGGCCCACAATTATTTACTCACTGTAGTGTTGTTCTAATGCCTTCATTTTTTGGGTCACAAAAGAAAAATATAAAAAGCACCAGATATAATTACAGTTAAAAGCAACCAGGATTAAACTTTAAATTATGCTAAAAAACACTGCTGTGTTCATCAGATATATTAAAGGGTTTGGTGGAAAAAAATAAAAAAATATTTTGAATATAATAAAAATACCTACCTTGACCATTGACACAACTGCACATTCATGAGATTATTGGCACAGTTTTTTCACAACGGATCACCCACAGGGTTGGCAGGTTTTTTCAATAAAACTAGCCCAATAATAATACAAATGAGCAATATCACATGAGTAGCAGTGCGATATGGCAGTATATTGACACTGGAGGGAGGCGTGCATTTGGTGTCCCACCAGTGACAATATACAGCCATATCGCACTGCTACGAGTGTGAAATTGTGTTTATACAACAATTCGATGCCATAATCATGTATATAAAAAAGAAAATCAATCGCTGAGAGTCTAAAAATCTTTTTATATGAGGAACTACTTTCTTCCGCCATTCATTCACATCAGAACAGCTGAAACCATTACTACATTACCAACATCACTTTAGAGCTAGTATTTGAATGATTCTCTAGCATAATGTCTAAAGTGATAACAAAACAGGTGATTTTGCTCTCTTTTAAGAATATAAGACTGAACAGTATGAAATGCCATCAGTCTACAGAGATTTCCCAGTATTTCTCTGTTGCAATCGGGATATCACAATAATTAAACCTGAAAAAGCCAAAGCAGTGCAAACACTAGCAGAATTCTGTTGTGTTTGCAAAAAGGAAAAACGTTAAACGCATACGGCATTTCTTCTAAAGAAAACAGGAAATGCATTAGAAATATACAGATGGCCAACCAAAAAGTAACTCAGGGTTATACAAGGAGTGGCCGATACAAAATACATACATTCCTGATATGCGAGTCCCATCTCACACTCAATATTAATACTATGGTATAAATACATTGTCGCTTAAAAAAGACTCAAAAGTACATAATGTTGTCGAACAGCTGCAATATTTGTCAAACTGGAGTGAGTTTATTGATCTGCTGGCACTCTATGTGGGCGGAGTAATACACAAGAGTAAGGAGGCTGTTTGAGTTCTGTTATTGCAGAAAATCTCATGGGTATCAGCCAATCAGATTCAAGAACTAGACAGAGCTGTAGTATAAAGCAAAATCTGCCGCTTATATTTGTAAAATACATTTTTAAATCATTGATATGTCTCTCATTTAGAGTGCCAAAAGTGTGCTTTGTTTTATCATCCTAGCCCAGTTTTTTTGTAGAGATTTACTGCATTTCCAAAAAGGAATTTTTATTTTTTTTTCTAAAGTCGTACAAAATGGCTTAATATTATTAAATAAGTTAATAAATAATTATTTGAAGGTGCTTTCAGTCTAGAATTTTCTTTTCAGTGCATCCCTAGTTTTTACCATTGGTAGAATATAAGTTTTTGAAGAATTAAAATATTTCAATAGAATCATATAAACATAAGTGATGTGATCTATCAAACTTTTAACCTTTGAAATAAAAAAAACACAAGTGTTTAAACGTGCACCAACTCTTCTCAACCCTACTCAACCATAACACCCAAAAAAACAAATATGTTGCGAAAAATCAGGATAAATACAAAATACAATCCAGATAGTCTTCTTTGAGGTATGTTTAAATATCTTTTGTGTTTATCACATTAAGTTGCCACATTTAGCTGTCATTCTCATTGGAGGAAATCAGTTTCATTTGTTATTAGTCTTCATTTATAAAAATGGTGCACTTTTTTTCTAGTCAACTGTCATGCTAATAGGGTTTCATTCACACAAAGTCATTTACAATATATTTTATATAGACTATATATTTTTAAATTAAACTACATAGTAAACTGCCATAACAAATATTATATGGGATGTTGCATGACAATTTTGGCTACTTTAATTTAGTTGGACTCCGTTCACTTGTATTATGTGAGAGCAGGAGATTTTTCTTTTTTTGCGGAACACTTTATTAAGCAATTAATAGGTTGTTTTCAATCACTTGGTTTTGATGATGTGCAAATTTTAGATGGAGGGCAGCAAGACATATAGGAAAGTCTGTATTTTTCTGATTTATACCATATTTCAAAGGAGATACAGTTACAGTCAGAATTATTAGCTCCCCTGGATTATTCACCCCCTGTTTATTTTTTCCCCCAATTTCTGTTTAACGGAGAGAAGATCTTTTTCTACACATTTCTAAATATAATAGTTGTAATAACACATTTCTAATGATGGATTTATTTATTTTATCTTTGCCATGATGACAGTAAATAATATTTGACTAGATTTTTTCAAGACACTTCTGTACAGCTTAAAGTGACATTTAAATGCTTAACTAGGTTAATTAGGTTAACTAGGCATGTTAGTGTAATTAGGCAAGTTATTGTATAATGATGGTTTGTTCTGTAGACTATTAAAAAAAAGTTAGCTTAAAGGGGCTAATAATTTTGTCCTTAAAATGTTTTTAAAGATAAAATGTTTCTTAAGACTTTCTTCAAAAGAAAAAATATTATCAGACATACTGTGAAAATTTCCTTGCTCTGTTAAACATGATTTGGGAAATATTAAAAAAAAAAAAAAAAAAAGGAAAAAATTGCAAAGGGGGGCTAATATTTCTGACTTATAAATAGAAAATAGCCACATGCATGATCCTCACATAATGAAGAGGGTTGAGTTTTTTACTGAACTAAAAATTTTTAACCTTTGCCTGTCATCGATGCGTTATATACTGAATAAGCTATTTTGTTTCAGGAAAAAATACCATAGTAAATACTATAGTGTTTGGAGGCATACTATAGATAATTACTTGAATTAAACTGTCGTAGTAATTATATTGTGTCTGTGGTACAACACAACTGTAGTAATAAACAATTATTCAAGAGGCTTCAGTATTCTATGCTACAATCACGATGCACCAGTTACACTAGCGTTACAGTATTTTTAACAGTTTATCAGTATGCTACAGTATTCGGTAGCATTCATTAACAGAGTTGTACACATTATACACTTTTCAAAAACATGTTTATTATAAATTACTAAAGATTTTTTCGCCATGCGGATATCTTCTAGAAATTACGAAATAACAGATGAAAGCATACAAAAGCGTGGACACATTGTCTATATTATTATTTATTTATTTTTGTAAAGGGGAAGAAGTGCTCCACAATAATAACCATCTAGTTTTGTCGCAAGGGTTGCATTTCTGTTATGTTCAGTCGATTAACTTACTATCAACAAACTTTCACAGCTACTGCGCATATAGACATTTACATTACAGTTGTTCATTCTGCTGAAACGGCAGTAAAGACTTGCATTATTGCAAAATGAGACGGAGATTTCATTGCAGTGATTACGTTATTTATTCTCCTGGATTTTGTATAAGTGAGGTGGTTTTTGTATCTGATTTTTAAATAACACATTAACATATTCATACACATACAGGGTTCATACGGTCATAGAAAACCTGGAAAAGTCATGGAATTTTGACATGGCATTTTCCAGGCCTGGAAAAGTTTTGGAAAAACCGAAAAACCCACAAAATTTTATAAAAGTCATGGAAAACTGATATCTGTCTACTTGAATGTAGATTATTTACTTCTTTTCTGTCCTTGGCCAGTCACATTCTCTCACATTATTAGTGCTGTGTAAGCATTATCTAAATCAATTTTACATAGATACAAATATATATTGAAACTAAGTAGTTTGTTGCGTGTTTAATAAATAAAGTAAATTTGAACATTTGTTTTTCTTTTAGCACGCATCTGTAGACATTGCATAAAACATTAGGTCATGAAAATTTACCTGAAAATCATGGAAAAGTCATGGAATTTTAGTAGTAAAAATGTGTATGAACCCTACACATAGCTTGGCCTGTATATACAGTCATGTTTATTAGTTTTGGCAAACGAATTATCGCATTCAAAAAAGGTTTGTACACATGGATGTATTGAATAAATGTTTATTACATGCCGTCTTCCATTCTTCAGCCAGTTTCTTGAACTTCCCCCCCTTTATGAGCAGCAACTTTTGGAAGTCTATAAAAGCTGTTCAACATTTCTTATGTTGATTGATTTAAACCATTATAAACAACATAAAACAGAAACATTTTGATCTTCTGATAGAGATCCCTATGCAGAAGAAACGCTTTCTGCCCTCCATTTGAATTCCGCGCGTCATCAATGATGTCATGTGAAAACAACCTATTGACTTTACAAGCAAAACATTTATGCGTTTTTTCAAGTAAAGTGATTTGTTGACTTAAAAAGTGAGTAAACCTGTTGCTTTAAAAGTAAAGACTTTACTTTAAAAGCTGAGCTTGCTTTTAAGGCAATTAGTTGACTACTTTAAGAAAGTAAGCAAACTTGGCGCTTTTAAAGTGATCTGTTGACTTAAAAGGTAAGTAAACTGATTGATTTTAAAGCAATTAATTGAATTTAAAAGCAACAGGTTTAGCAGCTTTAAGTAAAAGGATTAGTTGACTATTTTAAAAAATGAGTAAAATGTGGCCTTAAAATTAAGTAAATAAATACATAATTACAAAAATTCAAGTGAACTTAAGAGTTAGAACAGATTTACTCACTTCAAGTAACAATACTTTTACAGAGTATGAATTAAAGAAAAACGTAAACTACTAAAAAAAAAAATCAGGTGAACAAATGATGACTTAATGTTCTTTTTTGGATTAACTAAACCTTTAACCACATCAGTTATACTGAATATACACTGTTTGTGCTCTGTCATTCAGGAATTCTGGTTCAGCAGTGTATGCGACCCGCAGCACAGCCCAGGAAACATACTTTCTCCAGCAGGGAACGCCTGTCAGAAACTCTGGAAGTCCAGATCCGCAGGACAGCGCATTCTCATTACCCAGAAAAGCCCGTCAGCGGCTCCTTAAACATGGAGTTAACCTGCTTTAAATCTATTTTTTAAAAAGATTCTAACAGTTCTTGTATCTGTTTTACCATATTTATATTATAAATGTGCCTTAAATAACTCAAAATGTACATTACTGCTTCTTGTTTATATCATAGGCTGCTATTTTATATAATATACTGTTATCATAGTAGTACTCCACATTTAAGAATAAAATATGGAGGAAGTGTCACCCTCATGAGTCTCTGCTGTAATCCTTCACTTTTAATATGGTATAGTGAGCTGAGGCAGGGTTAAAAATTGGCTGGGAATCATTCAGTTACAGTTAAATCTAGATGCGTACAGTTTTATAGCCGACACTTATTATAACGGCACTAAATGATCCTTGAGTGTTAATAATTATATTTTACTAAACATAATGGGATGGTTAGGATAAAAAGAATTATCACTTACTCCCAGAGCCATTTTAAATCAAAGTTGATATTTAGCCACACCATATTGGTGTTTCGTAACATCTAAGGTTATGAGGAGAGTTGTTGGCCCCAACACTCAACCCCCGATCTGGAGGATCAGGGGCCTCATGTATCAATCAAAACTTTGCGTACGCCAGATTTCACGCTCACGTTTGGATTTACTAACGATGAAATTAAAGTGAGAATATAAGTTGTTGCACACCAACTCCATGTCTGGCGTACGTGCAATTCTTGTGTGTGTTTGTTTTATTTCCATTGGTGACTCCCAGAGGCAGTTGTGTTAACTTGCACACTACAAACTATCTTTGAGCCGTGCAATGCCAGCTGTAAGGGGCGGGATCATCCGCATGTCTAGCAGGTAAACAAGGTTTACATACCATGCAGTTGACCAGCCAAACATTTAAGCGCAATTTGCAGCAGTCGCCAGTTTTCCCAATCGAATCGGAGTGATCGAGTGCATGCACATTGCTAAAAAGGCCCCATCTGAAGGTATTTGCATTGTAAATTGAAAACATTTCCATTCAATAAATGTGTGATGCTGGTATTAATTCCAGAGGACAAACTTGCAAATCAGAGAGTTTTTCTCCAGTCTACCTTCTATAGGAGCACCTCCAATTCACATTCTGTGAAGTTTCTCTTTTAGCTTGCTTTTGCCATTACTTTTTCATTTGGTTTTGCCACAGTGGAGTCATTACCATATTTATACAGGGGAGGAGGCAGGGAGGGGCTTTGCGCTCCTGCGCTCAGTTTCACGTTCATTCGGATGTACAAAGAGAATTTGCGTGGGATTCCGTGTACACAGTGTTTCATACATCTGAATTTTTAACTGCATACGCACATTTACAGCTTTATCCGTACACAATGTTTTAGTATAAATTCATCGCAAGTCTTTGTACATGAGGCCCCAGGACACACACATACACCAAGGACAATTTAGTTTACCCAATTTACCTACAGCACATGTGTTTGGACTGTGAGGGAAACCGGAGCACCCAGAGGAAACCCACGCAAACACACAATCAGCATAGAACATGCCAACTTACTCAGCTGGGGCTCGAACCAGCGACCTTACTGCTGTGAGGCGACAGCTCTACCCATTCCATCACTATGCACAGATATTTAAGAAGCATGCTAAGTAAACATTCTTGTTTATCTTGAAAACAATGCTGAAGTCAGATATTCTGCTTTGCAAATGTGCGCTACGTGCTGGAATGCTGTTTTTGTTTTGGTTATTTTAACCTGCCAAATGCCACTTTAGCCAATTCTATTTCAGCACCCGGATTACCTTGGTGGAAAACAGTGTATTGGATTCATTCAGGGAGGCTATGAAAACATGTGTCCATAACCGAAATGCGACCTCTGGTGGACAGTATCAGACTGCAAAATGAGACACAGATTCAGAGTTCCACATGAGGTTATTAATTAGCAAATAATATACATATTACGAATGTAAACATTAGGTGAGTTACACTGTAACTGCGTGTCCTAATAACACGCTACGTGACTAAATCTGCAGTGATAAGCAATTTGGCTGTTTGTACTAGACGAAACACGACAGAAATGTAAATACAGCCATTCAGAAGCACAGAATATGCACTCACTCATGAAATGGTAAGGTTAATAACCTAATTTATACACATTAAACCTCTTTAACATTATTAACTGTAGATGCTGAATGGCTAATATTTGTTGGTTTGTATTATTTTACATTTCTAAAAGTTCAATTTCAAATGGTTTATTTTATTTATTTTCTCTGAGGTGTACTATCAGCTGCTGCTTTCAGTGGTATGTCAATAAATGTCATGTGAAATGGTATTTAAACTCACCTGAGATTAACCTAGACTGATTACAGTTTATCCTGTTGTTCACCTATAGGAAATAGAAGCCACTGAATATATCAATTCGAGGAGTTTGACAAGAACTCCTTTTCAATATGTAAAATATTCCCTCTATCGCATGCCGTCGCTAGAACACAATTTAAGTAAGACTCGCTCCTCAATCTGGCAACCTGCGCTTGCGTTTGTTTTGATCCAGGAATGTAATACCTAATTCAACCACCTGATATCATTTACATACTGCACCTTTAAATGACAGAAATCAATTTTATTTTAAAAGTAAATTTAAACATATTTTTCAAACTCAATAATTTAAAATGTCACTGTGTTATTAATTAAATAAATGCAACTTTCCTGAGTGAACTAAACTTACAGAACTATATGCTAAATAACATCCAAATCGGCTGCTAGAGGTCATCAATTTCAGGTATAAAACAATGGGGTGCTCTTTCACAGGTCCAAAACTGTGGAATACCCTCCCTTTAGAACTCATCATCACAAATGTGGCCCAGTTCAGGACAAAACATAAAACCTATTTATTTAGACTTGCTGTTTATATTGTTTGGAACAAAATGCTGTTTTATTGACGCTTGTGGTCTTACTATCTTTAGTGTTTTAGGTTTCATTTCGTTTTTTATACTGTAAAGCACTCTGGGCAGCCTCCTGGCCGTAATAAGATGCTATATAAGTAAATCTGATTGATTGATTAATATTAAAATTATAAAACATCACATGTCCCACTAAACAAAAAAAGTTGGCATTATTGGTTAATGCCAAATGTTAGATTGTTGTTGTGATGATTTACACCTGCACACTTTAAGAACAAAAAGAGTTTTCACAGTACTAGAGATGAACCTTTTTTGGTTCTTCTAAGAAAGACCTTTTAGTGAGAAGTTCTTAGAAGTGTCAAATTAATAATTGGCTAAATAAAACTACCCTTTTCCACTAATCCAAGATGAACCAGTTCCAAAATGCTCTTAATGAAGTCATAAATGCGGATTAAGAATCGTTATCTTTTAGAGTATGAGTTTAAAGAAAAAACTGTTACCATACATGGTTTAATGCAGCTTCAAAAGTGAAGTTAATTAAAACCATTATGATTGATTGTTTATTATCTCAACGATTAAATTCATACATTAGTATTAATATGGCTTACAAAGTGTAGCTTAAGTGTCCAGAATCCTACTTGGGGCGTGTGTGTATGCACGCAGAAGAATGGTTGAATGGTTCCTGTATACCGTCAAGAGGAACCGCGGATTACCTCTCTGTTGGCTGTGGAGCTATTGTGACGGTAGGGCACTTTAGGAAAGTTTTATGCTTTAAGTTGTTTCTCTTGCAAATGAGCAGCTCGTTGGTGAAGGTGCAGATGTTCTGTAATGAGGGTCATTAGGAGCGGGAATAAGAATGGAGGCCACTGGCAGGACTCCGTGCGCCTCATTATGCACACATTTAAAAGGTCGATGGGGGTGCGAATGGGCTGTTTAAAGGGTCCCAAACAAAACCAGGGGGAGGAGAGTCAGAAGAAGCCAAAATTCAAATTCCACTGTAGAAACTGAGCTTATTGTCAGAGCAGGAGGATTTACTTTCTCAGTTGAAACGTGGAGAAGCAGTGAGAAGGAGCGCAAATAAGTGGATACTTGAAATGGCCGCGGTTACGCGCACACGGGTTTTACTGCTGGTTTTTGCATTCATGGTGACTATTATGGGAGTACAGTGTCGGTCGCTTCGTACGCAGCTCCGCAAGGTGACATCTTTCCAAGGAGAGCGTAAAATACGTATCGGGCACGTCCCGAGACGGAGCCGCCGCGCAACGGGCACCGAGCCGGACCAATGCGGCCTCCTGAGCGCACCGTGGAAGGAGAGCAGTGGTCAACTGGAGGACTGGAGCCAGATGTATCATCTGAAGATACTGTCGACGATCAATGACGGTCCGCGTCGAGCCGTTTTCCCAGAACAGCCTCTCTTCAAATTTGTAAGACGCGTTTATCGCTGTTGTCAAGCTGGGTACCACTGTGGAAGTGTTAAAGGAATACAGGGAGGAAAAGTTGGCAGTAAGTACCTCTTAATATGATAACCCAGTTGAAAAAATGACGTTCAATTTAAGTAGGCCTATATAAAAAATAATACATTTTTAACAAATTGGTTCTCAATATGGGACTGCATCTTTGGTTGGCTAGTTACGATTGAATCTCATTAAAAACGTGTTCTCATTTTACTTGTTTAAGGGATTGTACCTCAAAATATTCTGTCACAAGTTATCCTAAAAGTTACCAAAAGACTCCTAACATAACTAAAACCAATCCAGCATTGACCAGTCTTGCCATGATTTTTATTCCAGGTCTTTCATTCCAGTTTTAAATATAATTCCAAATTTTACAGTACACCCTTAAAGAAAAGAGTTCCTTATAGGCATGACTCCAAAAGATTTCCACATTTTCCAAAACATTCCTTAAAGTGGAAAAAAAGGTTCCTTTGAACTTTTGTAGTGAAGGATCACATGAGTGTCACAATAAAGTCACATGAAACCTTTGCTTTTGGAACATTTTCCTGTGATCACATTTTCCAAATTTGCAATTTTTACATGTTTTCTTTTCTGTTAAGAACCCAAGACTCCCAAGGGAAGACAAAATAGTTCTAAAACAATCACCTAGCCAATATCTTTGTATCATTTTCTTCATACAATCAGCCCAGAAACAGTTATGTTTAGTACTGACTTCTTTATTAATCTAGGTATCACTTTAGCCTTTATTCTCTTACAGTCCATATATATTTTGTGACAAACCTAACAAATCTCTATCTGAATGTCAAGACAGCATCGAGTTTCTCTTGGGCAAGGACGTCCTGGCAGCGGCACTTGAGAAAGCAGAAGTTCATTTCCATTTTTCAAACCCCCAACACTTGAACATCCAACCCGTCCTGCCATCCCTGGAGAAACGTGGGTTCCCTACTAGGTGAGACAATATAAAGCAAAAATGTTGCACGTACAGTTTGTCCAAGACAATTATTAATCTTAATCGTTTTACCCTGCAGGTACAGTGTCTGGTTGAAAGACGGTGTCATGGAGCTGCGAGTGGATCTTTTCACCCTCTTCCAGGCCCTTCAGCTGCTCCTCGGAGGAGCCGGACGAGGGCCAAGCATCATGGAAATGCATCGGGTGAGGGGCCTGACCAGACCAGGGGTCGTTGTCCAAAAGCAAAGCCCTCCGTCTCTTCATGACACATTGTGGGGGGAGGTGAACGAAGCCCCCCTGCAGCCCACTTTACAGCTAGGACTGGCATTACACTGCAGTCTAGCGGACAAAATCAATATCGCCTGTGAAAATCATGGTGTACATTTAAAACACACACCCTTTATAGCTCTGACCTACAGATAGCAAGTCTTTTTAGCTTTTTGGAAATAGCTTTTTTGTCCAGCTTAATGCGCTCCCCCTTCATGAGTTCTTTGTGGCCATAAAATCACAGTCCATTCAGTCCACTAACACCTGGTGTGTTTTTTTTTTTTTTTAAGAATTGCTAATGATCGCCATTGTTTTCAGACAATGGCGCCTCAGTTCTAGAAGCTTACTGTGATTCAGAGAGGCCTACGTTATATTGGAACACTATGCACTTCGCCATGTAAATTGAATCTATTTATGGCTGTTATTTGTGAGATAAATGTAAATAGTGTATTATTACAGTTTTATATATTAAAACCTTTCTTTGTCATTGAAGGTGTGTGGAATTTGATGATTTCTTGCAGCGTGTTGTTTTGTCTCGGTTTTTGTAGCATGTCTAAGTTTTAAAAACAATTTATAGGGCCCTGAATGTACTTTATTTGTTCCTTTTATAGAATTTAATAAGAGTTGAAGAGTAGTGAACTCCATTTCACATCCAGGTGCTGATTTTTCTGACAGACTTTATTCTGTGAGAACAAACAGCTAGATGTGGTGTTATCCATTACTTAAATTATATATTTTTGATTTTATTACATTTAGATTTTTTTTTTAGTTTTACAAAATGTAGTAGATTCTTCGGAATTGGGGTTTTAACTTTTAAGCAGTCTCTTCATTTTTTATTCTAGAGCTTTGCATGGTAATAAATGCAATATTTTGTTTAATGATATTTAGTTTAATGATATTTTGTTTAATGATAATTTGTTTTGTTTAAATGCAATATTTTGTTTAATGATATTTAGTTTAATGATATTTTGTTTAATGATATTTTGTTTTGTTTAAATGCAATATTTTGTTTAATGATATTTAGTTTAATGATATTTTGTTTAATGATATTTTGTTTTGTTTAAATGCAATATTTTGTTTAATGAAGTAATGCGGTAATTCATTAATTCCTTCGCTTTAGTCCCTTTATTCATCAGGGGTCGCCATAGAAGAATAAACCGCCAACTCATCCAGTTAAGGTTTTACACAGCAGATGCCCCTCCAGCTGCAACCCAACAATGGAAAACGTGAAAAAAAAAAAAAAAACATGTAAAACTCAGGCAGTCAATTCATGAGCAACAATCAAAACAGCCCAAACACATAAGACTTGCATGCAGTCTTTTTATTGAATGCTTCCTGCTTATTATAAAAGTCAGAATTTGTGCCAAGTAGTATTTTGTCAGTTGGTAAATACTATGAAAGGGATAGATCACCCATAAAATGAAAAATATTGCCTTTTACATTGTAAAAAATCCAAAAAAGAGACGTCACGGTGGTGCAGTGGATAGTACGATTGCCTCACAGTAAGAAGGTCGCTGGTTCGAGCCCTGACTGGGACAGTTGGCATTTCTGTGTGGAGTTTGCATGTTCTCCCCATGTTGGCGTGGGTTTCCTCAGGGTGCTCCGGTTTCCCCTACATGTCCAATGACATGCGCTATAGGTAGGGCCAGATGGAATTTGTGGACATTTTTTGCTATTTCTGGCAGAATTTTGTTAAAAACCTTTGGGATTATGCGGAATGACTTTTGGGAGTACCATAACTGAAAACCTAAATATATGAAATAAAAAGTAATACATTTTTATCTTGTATTATATGTTTACCATGCAAATCCAATTAGATCCACTTTATTTGGTAAACAAAGCAAGTTTCTCATATAATATCTCTACTAAAAAACAGAAAATATTACTTTATAAACTACATAGTAAATAAATCATATAAATATTTTCATATTAGTCAATAATAATACAGGGAGTGCAGAATTATTAGGCAAATGAGTATTTGACCACATCATCCTCTTTATGCATGTTGTCTTACTCCAAGCTGTATAGGCTTGAAAGCCTACTACCAATTAAGAATATTAGGTGATGTGCATCTCGGTAATGAGAAGGGGTGTGGTCTAATGACATTAAAACCCTATATCAGGTGTGAATAATTATTAGGCAACTTCCTTTCCTTTGGCAAAATAGGTCAAAAGAAGGACTTGACAGGCTCAGAAAAGTAAAAAATAGTGAGATATCTTGCAGAGGGATGCAGTACTCTTAAAATTGCAAAGCTTCTGAATCGTGATCATCGAATAATCAAGCGTTTCATTCAAAATAGTCAACAGGGTCGCAAAAAGCGTGTGGAAAAAACAAGGCGCAAAATAACTGCCCATGAACTGAGAAAAGTCAAGCGTGCAGCGGCCAGATGCCACTTGCCACCAATTTGGCCATATTTCAGAGCTGCAACATCACTGGAGTGCCCAAAAGCACAAGGTGTGCAATACTTAGAGACATGGCCAAGGTTAGAAAGGCTGAAAGACGACCACCACTGAACAAGACACACAAGCTGAAACGTCAAGACTGGGCCAAGAAATATCTCAAGACTGATTTTTCTAAGGTTTTATGGACTGATGATATGAGAGTGAGTCTTGATGGGCCAGATGGATGGGCCCGTGGCTGGATTGGTAAAGGGCAGAAAGCTCCAGTCCGACTCAGACACCAGCAAGATGGTCAAGCACGAGTCAAGCTCAACTCCCAGTCCTTTTGCCAGTTTCTGGAAGACACCTTCTTCAAGCAGTAGTACAGAAAGAAGTCTGCATCCTTCAAGAAAAACATGATTTTAATGCAGGACAATACTCCATCACACGCGTCCAAGTACTCCACAGCGTGGCTGCCGAGAAAGGGTATAAAAGAAGAAAAACTAATGACATGGCCTCCTTGTTCACCTGATCTGATCCCTATTGAGAACCTGTGGGTCATCATCAAATGTGAGATTTACAAAGAGGGAAAACAGTACACCTCTCTGAACAGTGTCTGGGAGGCTGTGGTTGCTGCTGCACGCAATGTTGATGGTGAACAGATCAGAACACTGACAGAATCCATGGATGAAAGGCTTTTGAGTGTCCTTGCAAAGAAAGGTGGCTATATTGGTCACTGATTAGTTTTTGTTTTGTTTTTGATTGTCAGAAATGTATATTTGTGAATGTGGAGATGTTAAATTGGTTTCACTGGTAAAAATAAATAATTGAAATGGGTATATATTTGTTTTTTGTTAGGTTGCCTAATAATTATGCACAGTAATAGTCACCTGCACACACAGATATCCCCCTAAAATAGCTAAAACTAAAAACAAACTAAAAACTACTTCCAAAAATATTCAGCTTTGATATTAATAAGTTTTTGGGTTCATTGAGAACATGGTTGTTGTTCAATAATAAAACGATTTCTCAAAAATACAACTTGCCTAATAATTTTGCACTCCCTGTACTAAAATTAATTTATAAACTGAATAAATATAAATTTACACAATAAACAGAATCAATGATGGGCTAAAAATCTGCAGAATTCTGCACGCACAGATTCCGTGTGGGCCTAGCTATTAATGAATTAAATAGGCTAAATTGGCCATATTGTATGTGTGTAAATGTAATAAGAGTGAATGGGTATTTCCGGGTGTTGGGTTGCGGCTGGAAAAACATATATGCTGCATAAATTGGCAGTAAATTCCGCAGTGGCGACCCCTGATTAATAAAGGGACTAAGCCAAAAAGAAAATGAATGAATGAAATCCAAGGAAGTAAACCCATTGATTATAATTATAAAGTAAACAAACTTTGTGCATAATTATTAGGTCAATGGTTTAATGGTGTTTTAAGTAATGTCAACTTGTTGCTTTAAAGGCAATGTGTTTACTCACTTTTTTAAAGTAATCGATTTTGAAAGTGTACTCACCCTTCTTTTGTCAGATAGTTGTCTGAGATTATTACCCTGCATTTTTTACACTGAACACATAAAAAGGAATTTATATTTTTTTTTATTTAAATAAGTAGCCTTAGATAGTGTTTATTTTTCTTACTATGGAATTCAGTGTTTACAGATTTCTAACATTCCTTAAAATATCTTATTTTGTGTTCAATATAAGTAGAATACTCATAAAGGTTTGGAATCACTTGAGGGCAAGTACATTTTTAGGTTTGAATGAACTGTCCCTTGAAGGGAATCAAACCGGCGCAGTTTGACTACATGGGCAACAGAAAATCTATCAGGATATGTGAATAAACCAAAAATAGGAAAAGACATGCGCTATAGGTGAATTGGGTAAACCAAATTAGCTGTAGTGTATGAGTGTGTGTGAATCAGAGTACGTATGGGTGTTTCCCAGTACTGGGTTGCAGCTGGAAGGGCATCCACTGCGTAAAACATATGCCAGAATAGTTGGTGGTTCCTTCGGCTGTGGCAACCCCTGATAATCAGGGATTAAGCCAAAGGAAAATAAATGAAATGAACTGAATCAAACTGACTAAAAATATGAAGTTAAACTTTGTATAAATAATTTAGTTGCCACCTGATTACCTTATTAAAATAACCTGAAGCAGCATACAAATATTTGTTGCCTTGACTTTTTGTCAACAACTTTGTTACACTTGAACAAAAGTTTTTTCAGCTCAATTCATTACAGTTTACTATAAAAAAACTAAATTGGTTTAGATGCAACAAGCTGAAGTCATTTACACTATTGGCTTTGTTTTCAGTGTACAGTGTTGAATGTGTTTGTAATGTTCATTTTCACTGAATGCTCAGACTCTACACTTTGCCCTTAAAACAGGCTGAGGCCAAAGTTCACAGAGGGAAAAAGAGAGGGAGAGCGAGCAACAGAGTGAAGGAGGAGGGGATGAGGGAAAAGCAAGTAGCAAAAAAATCGCATTTCAAAGCAAAAGGACAACAGTTTTATAGAGCTAAAAGAGCAGCAGAAATTGAAGAAACCTGAAAGACAGAAAAAACGATGAAGACTATCGACTGAGACACAGGCGAACACCTTGGACGTTTGTTTGCCTTCTGCGAACGTCTGTTTAAGCGTGTTAGTTATTACTCAAGCAAAACGGTCGGACAAAGTGTGTCAATTCTAGTAGCAAAACAAAAACATCTGCTGAGAAACCTCCGAATCTAGGAGGATGGACGGAGGAGAGTCGAGGAGATCAGAAGGTAGCGGTCGGCTGTCAGCCCTACAGGAGCAGCTGGTGTGGTCTCTACTGGGTTCAGGACTGTCAAAAGAGTTACTCATCCAGGCCATGGGAGATCTAGAACGAGAACGGGCCTCATCTGGTGGCGAGAGGGCAGACCGGGCCGACTGTGAGAGCTCAGAGGAAGGAGAGATGGACAATCCACCTCCGATCTATCGAGAGCTGGAGAAACTGCCGCCTGAAGAGGCCGCAAGACAGAGAGCTCAAGTGGACCAGCTGCTACAGTAAGTCCTCAGCCTTCATCTGATAGACTTTCACTCTAAGCTTCATCTAAAACTTACAATCTAGTGGCTCTGATGTTGCTCCTCCATAAAATAAACATCCTCAAAATCCATTATGGCCTCATACAAGGTTATACAAGTTCCTGGATAAACCTTAGGTGTTCTTTTCATTGGCTTCCTCTTCTGTCTTGTGCTCAGCTTTCCAACTGATGGGGTGAATATAAAGGAGGTTCCACCTTTTTTAGTTACTAATTACCTACCCTATTCATTATTCTCTGGCCATTTCTATCTTTTTAATAAATGAGCTACATCGACTGGTTAAAATTAACAGAGTGACACAGTGTCCATGGCACAGAGTGTGTGTGTGTTTGTGTACACATGACGGTGGTGATATTGTAAAGATAGTGCTGTTGTGAGGGAAGGTTTGCTTAGATTTGAATTAACTGTGTGGCTCTTTGAATTGATACAAATGTGTAATGTAGCTTATGTTAACATTAAGAGGGATTTGTATTGGTGAAATGTATTGTTGTTGGATGTGTTAGTGCATTTTTCAAAGCTTTGCAGGTTTGTATTGCATTTACAAGGGTTGTTTGGAATCCTTTTTACTGGACTTTGGTCCCTTGTCTCTTGCCTTATCTTACAGTGTAAACACTGCAGTGCTCTCACTCTATCTTTATTATGCTACCATACACTCCCCCACCCCTTTTTCCCTCACACACACAAAGTTTATATATATATATATTTTTGTATATTTTATATTTTATATAACTAATTAGTAGTTATATATATATATATATATAAATAGATTAAACTAAAATAAATTAAAATAATTAAAGATTCAAATTACAGTTATATTAAATTTTAGAATATATATTGTTGTTATATATACCTATATAACAATATTAAACTCTCATATTTTTCTAAGAATTTTTATGTTTTTATGTACACTACCTGACAAAAAGTCTTGTTACCAAGTATTAGAAACAACAAATAATAACTTCTAGTTGATCATTTGGTATCAGAAGTGGCTTATAAAAAAGGCAAAAGTCATAGTGCAGTGGAAAAAGAATTAATATTGTGTTTGACTCACATGAGCTAGGAGGACTTCATCCATACATCTCTGCAATGACTTAAACACCTTATTAATAAAGTCTTCTGGAATGGCAAAGAAAGCGTTCCTGCAGGACTCCCTGAGTTCATCAAGATTCTTAGAATTATCATCAATGCCTACTCCATTTTACCTCAGACATGCTTCATAATGCGCATGTCTGGTGACTGGGTTGGCCAATCCTTGAGCACCTTGCCTTGACTTTCTTTGCTTTCACAAACTTTGACTTGAGACTGAAGTATGAGAAGGAGTGATATCCTGCTGAAGAATTTGCCCTCTCCTGTGCTTTGTAATGTAATGGGCAGAACAAATGTCTTGATACCTCAGGCTGTTGATGTTGCCAACCACTCTGCAGATCTCTCACACGCCCCTATACTGAATGTAACCCCAAACTATGATTTTTCCTTCACCAAACTTGACTGACTTCTGTGAGATTTTTGGGTCCATTCGGGTTCCAATAGGTCTTCTGCAGTATTTGTAATGATTGGGATGCAGTTCAACAAATGATTCATCAGAAAAATCTACCTTCTAACACTTTTCTAAACGATCAACTAGAAATTAAGTTATTATTTGTTGCTCTAATAAGTGGGATAGATGACAAGACTTTTGTCAGGTCGTGTATTTAGCCACTTAAATGAGTATGCAACCATTTTCACATTACATTTAAAGGGTTTGTGTATTAAAAATGCCCTATTTTGCACTAAAAATAAAATATGAATTTAAAAATTTTTAATATTCTGGAGAAATGCCATTCATTATCTATAATGTGAAACGTCACCCAGCTACTCTATTGATTAAGTTATAAACTGGTCATACACAGTCAAATCTTTTACTTTGCAGTCTGTATCAATATTAATTGTTTCTTATACTTTTCATGTATTTACAGACTGTTGTATATTTTATAATATAGCTATTAATGCTCACCAAAGCTGTATTTATTTTTTTATTTATTCTGTAATAATATAGTGAAATATTATTCCAGTTCAAAATAACTGTTTTTGAAAATATATAAAAAATTATTTATCACTGTTATGGCTAAGTTGAACTTTCAAAGGCTGTTAATCAGTCACCTAATCCCTTTATAGTTATTTTATAGCTAATTATGAAACATTTCTTCTTATTATTGTTATTATTAATAAAGTTGGAAATAGTTGTGCTGCTTAATGTTTCTACTATTTAAGCCATCCTTGCTGAATAAAAGCTATTAAGTAAATGACCTAACCTTAAACATTTGAACCATGAATAAAGAATTAATATGTATTGTAAATTTTATTTTATTATTAATATGATTATTATTATGATTATTTTTTAATAATAATATTACAGTTTAATTTATCATTTAAACATTGTGTCCCACTTTTTTGGAACTGTAAAAGTTGTTAAATTGTGTATTTGCAACCATAGTTATCATCAATAACATTTTATTGATGTCAATAATTTCAATATCTACAATTTGTTCAACAGAGCCTTTGCAATGTTGGGTAATGTTCATTGGTTTTTACTGTTTCAAGATGACGGATGCGTCAACATGTTGGGAGCAGTCACATGTGGAATTCACATGTCCAATATATGGCTAAAATAAATATAGCATGCTTCACAAGTACATAATACACATTTAAAACTCAAACACTTGAAATGTTCCCAGTAATAACCATTATGCATTTTTTTATAAACAATTGATTGCAAATATTCAAGCATATTATGGTGTATTAATGTGTGTTAGAGAGGATCCTTGGCACGTGGCTAAAATGGTGAAGAGCTACATGCAGCAGCACAACCTTCCCCAGAGAGAGGTAGTGGAGTCCACTGGTCTCAACCAATCGCATCTGTCGCAGCACCTCAACAAAGGCACACCCATGAAGAACCAGAAACGTGCCGCTCTCTACAGCTGGTACACCAAGAAGCAGGCAGAGATCAGTCAGCGTGAGTATAACCATACCCCATTTCTCTTATACTCAACACCAATACTGACGACAGTAAAATTCAATGAAATAAACATTTAACATTTATATAATTGACAAAGGAAATATTTACAGTGTTTTCACTGACAGAAGCTGCTTTTCCACTGTGTGGTACAGTACAAGTTGGCATGGCCTGGCTCAGTTTGCATTTCCTTTGCAGCCTAGTATTATATGGCCACAGCCATATCACCCTGCACCCCAAGACCGGTTACTCATTGAAGCTAAGCATGGCTGATCCTGGTCAATACCTGGATGGGTTTCCACATGGGAACACTAGGTTGCTGTTGGAAGTGGTATTAGTGAGGCCAGCAGGGGGCGCTCCACCTGTGGTCTGCATGAGTCCTAATGCCCGAGTAAAGTGAAGGAGACACCATACTGTCATTGAGTGTTGTCTCTTGGATGAGGGGTTAAATCGAGGTCTTGACCTCAAAGAGTAGGGGTGTAACCCTGGTGTCCTGGTCAAATCGACCCTTAAGCATCATGGCCTCCCAATTATCCCTATCAACCGAGTTGGCTGTATCACTGTCTCTCCACTCCACCTATAGCTGGTGTGTGGTGAGAGCACTGGCACCGTTGTCCTGTGGCAGCCGTTGCACCATCCAAGTGGATGCAACCCCACTGTTTGTGGTTTGGAGAGACCCCCCTCGAGATTGTGAAGGTACACTTTAGGTGTATAGCCATACACAATAAATGCGCTATATAAACACAAACATTACATTACTGTTTAAAGTGGGTGGGATGCCATGACTTACTGTGGCTTTCACCTTGGTTACCATGAGCCATGTTTCCATCCATTTATTTTTATGGACATTTTGGAATATCGCAATAAAATGCTTAATGAAAATGCTAAGGTCTGCAAATATCTGTGGAATGACGTTCCGGGATCAAGAAATGACCCAGTGACATGTCTAGCACAATGACTGTAAAAAATATGGACGACGCGACAGCCCCTTTTCCCATTGAACGCCTTGAGGGCAAAACGCCTGCTTGACGGGCACAAACTGTCGCAAAAGACTGCTGAAATTGGAGTCTTGACATGCGCAGAAGGACTGTCTGATGGAGCCAGAGGAGGAGCCATGAAAATGAGCAGAGTCGAGCTTCCAACCAAACACTTTATGTACTCAGCATGCGTTTGCTGTCATATCACACAAATGGATGTAATAATGTTAACAAATATGAGGGTTTTATATATTCAATCGCGCCAGCTCCGGGCCGCAGCGCATAACCTACTCGCGGCGTCCCGGGCTGATTCCGGCTCGCATGCGGCAGCGCTGGCTCAGTTGGCCGCCGCATCTGGCTCGATTGACTCGGGCTGGAATCGGGCAGTGAGTCCAGGCATCTGGAGTAGGTTAAGCAGAGGTAGTCAGTCTGAGCTCTGAGGGGTAAGTCTCCGGCAGGCGAGAATCTAGCCGGAACTGGCCCGAGTATATTTTGCTATCTGGGTGGTTAGGCGTGTATCAGCAAACTAATAAAGCCCAAAAAAGCTCTGACCTTAGCGAATAAACAGTGTTCCACGAGGATCATGTATGTCAGAAACTATAGTTTACTGCTGAACTCATTTTGTCATGGTAAAATAACAAAGAAATCGAATTATAACACTTCAGTCTCCTGCCGAAGCTCAGACGGTCTGCTTTGAGAAACTGTCAATCACAGCTGTCAATCACGATGACACGCCCAGCATTAAATTACTGCTAAAAACAAACTGTTTACAAAAATGAAGATCTGCACCTAATCAGCACAATAACCAGTGCCTTAATTGACCTGAACCATCTTTCGGGACATTTTATTGCAAGAGTAATACATTTTTTTATTTGGGCTCAAGTCTCCTTCATTAACACGGAGGAGGCGGGCTTTATGACTTGTACTGCAGCCAGCCCCCAGGGGGCGATCTAACGGCCGAGACCTTCACTCAAACGCAGGCTTGCGGCACACTTGGTCTAGCAATGCAAATTTAGGATGTGTGCAATGGGAGAGAATTAATGGTCAAAAAGTGGACTGACAATATTGGAAAATATCTTAAATGTTGATTATTTACTGTACTGATAATGACTTAATTGTGTTGGATGTATAATTTTCTGTATTGTACAGATATTCGAGCCATGTGACCACTAAGTGTTCAAATGAACTCCAGATGCAGATGAAGGAAAGCAAGTTTCCCAAAATGCATAGGTGCGGTGCACAATAGTGCAATTTTAAAAATAATAGCCATGTTAATGAAGACTTTAACATTTTTCCGTTTTACTTTTCGGATTTATGATTTTGTTGTTTATCTAAAGTTGTTTCGGCCATTCTAAAATCCCTCAGCTAATGTCCAATGTGTTTTGGTAATGAACTGTTTGGAGTTGCTGAGCTTCCAAAGAGAGTGGTCTCTTGCCTCCAAAAGCCACTGAAACATTTTACTATAACATTTTTTAAAATTGCTATACATAAGTTAAGGCTACTTGGCGTCTGCATAAAATTCTTCCAAAAGATGAAAATCAGCAAAAAATCCTGAGTAAATGTGTGCATGACCTAATTTTGCCCCTAGATTATCAGTATGCAGTTCAAATATCTGATGTGTAAGGTAAAATGCATTTACGCCACCTTAGAGCAGTATTAAATAGTCTGTCATACCAGCGGTGCCTCTATTCCACCTTTATATTAGAATGAATGGTTTTCTCTAACTGATCATTACAGAATTCACAAATGCCAGTCGAGGAGTCATGTCGGGTGAGGAACCCGGGGAAGATGTGAGAAAAGGACGGAGAAACAGATTTAAATGGGGTCCCGCCTCCCTGCAGATCCTGTTCCAGGCTTATGAACGACAGAAAAACCCCAGTAAGGAGGAAAGGGAGGGACTGGTGGAGGAGTGCAACAGGTAAGTCAACACAAGTGTTGAATGGGTACCATAACCTAAAGTGCCTCTGAGGTTTGGACAGGGATAATGGAGTGAAACAGTCCAAGAAAAAGAACCCCAACAAACCCAGGCTATAGGTGAATTATAAAAAAGTTGTTATGGTGGATGAAAGTTTGTTATTACCAATATCACCATTAACTTTCCGCACCAGTGTTTTTTAAAACTAACATTTATTAATTGTGGATGCATTACAAACAGCAAAGAGAGTATTACAGTAATCCAGCCAAGAGGACATTAAAGCATGATCTAGCTTTTTTCGCATCTGAGACAGGTAACATGCTTTTTAGCTTAGCAATATATGAAATATATAAAAATAATATATTATAATATTTAAATAAGGGCTGCACGGTGGCGCAGTTCGCCTCACAGCATTTGGTGTCTCTGTGTGGAGTTTGCATGTTCTCCCCGTGTTCTCGCGGGTTTTCATCTGGGTGCTCCGGTTTCCCACACAAGTCCAAAAACATGGTATGAATGAATATATAAAGTAATTAGATGAATGAGGTGTGAGGTAATTTCTCTTCTTTTGTAACTTCTGGTCTCAGATCTGAAACCGCGTACATGCAAGTGTTTTGGAGGAGTAGCTTTAGGACAGTGATTATCCAGTGTGGGCCATATCTTTAGCCTTAGTAACTGCTAGCCTCTATGAAATCATTTAAGCTACCTTTGATTATAAGGTGGCCAGAATTCTGAATTGGAAACCAGGGATGTTTTTTTTTAAGTTTAACTATTAAAATATGATTGAAATCATAATTGTTATCATTTGGGAATTTTAAAATGACAATGATTTTGTATGTCAGATTTTTTAAAATCGATAAACCAAGTATTGTAGGAACAAATGAACAATGAATCACCTTTAAAAACCAGAAAAAATAACTTGAATCAAAGAATATAAAAACAAAATAAAATAAAAATCTTAAAATAAAAAAATACTTATACTGTATTTACTTTAAAGTTTACTGTAACTTTTGAGTATTATCTCATATTTGTGCTTTTGGAAGTGGAGCTTAACTACGCCAAACCAAGTCAGTCAGGACTTGAATGCCAAGTGTTTAACTTCACTATACATCAAAATGATTTCTCATTTTGTCACGTCTTTAAATAGAATAAGAATTATTTTATAGTAGATTTAGCATTTGATATCAATGATATTTACATACAGAATATTTAAATATGAATTCAAATCACATCAAAAGATATTTATACATTAAGTAAAACTTTCCTCATTAAGACTTGCCCCATTAGTGGGAGACCTATTTGGATAAATTAACATTTGGTGATATTGCATGAAGAAATCAGTGTGTGCACACTAAAATACGTTACAATATTAAATGAAAGATACTTAAGCAGGGCAATTTCCCCATCTTACCCTGCCTGGATGTATGTGTTTCAGAGCGGAGTGTCTTCAGAGGGGAGTTTCTCCTTCTCAGCTGGCTGGCCTAGGCTCTAATCTGGTCACAGAGGTTCGGGTTTACAACTGGTTTGCAAATCGGCGTAAAGAGGAGGCATTTCGCCACAAACTGGCACTAGATGTGCCCTACAGCAGCCAATCAGCTGCCTCCACATGCCAGACACTGCCATCCAGTCCTTCACCAGGTATTCAAGCTCATACCCATCCATACACTATAAAAAGAAAAAAAATATTAATAATAAACAGATGTTTTTCATTTATTTAAAGTTATGAATTGCATTATGGGATCTCTGATCTCAGATCCATCGACTTTTGATGTTGAAAACTCAAAGTTACTTTTACTATCGTTTTAGTAGTTTGAAACAATATACTGTATAGGACATAACAGAAAAAGTACCGACAGTTTATTTACTGATTCGTTTCTGAATCAATTTACAACACCATTTCAGACAATATGACACTTCAAACTATTAAAAAAGACTTTATTGAACTTTTCAGCATCAAAAGTTTTCGAAGGAAAAGTCAAGGTCCCATAATGCAATTCAAAAGCATAAACACATACACAAAAAAATGAATCACTAAATATAGAAAACTGTCAATACAGGGATCTGGTGACAGATGATTTGTCAGTTGCAGACAAAATTATTTACTTTTTTGAAGTTGACTTTGAGATTTAAAGAATTCTTCTTTCATCCTATAACTAATTTTTTCTTTTCTTTATAAACTGAAGGTCTGAAGTACAGTCAGACGGTGGTGTGTGAGAGTTTGGGCACCGTGAGAAGCTCTGGTGGTGAAGATAGAGGTGCCAGTGTTCGTTTAGCAAGTCCAGTCCAGCTTGAACCCAGTCACACACTCCTGGAGACACACCATCACAAACCAGTGAGATTGTGCTAACTATTATTTTATTTCATTTACTTTTTCAGTGATTATCATTAGTTTTATTTAGTTTTCACTCTTGATTTATTGTGAATTCTTTTATTTTATATCAGTTAATGAAATGGTTTTTGACAAATAGTTTTAGTCTTCACTTACTAAAATCACCATGGTTAGAATCATTGCTATCTCTGAACAATACTGTTTGCTTCCTGAATGAATCCACATCAAGATTAAGTTGAGTGAATAATTCAATGACCCATTCATAAAGCCTGTCACTGCATCCATTTCACCATGTTGTAGATTAAAACGGTGTGTGGCAAAAAAAAATGATGCCTAAATTCTAAGACAAATATATATATTTTATACCAGGATAACATTATGGTGGGTACATCCAGATAACATACAAACTAAACACATTAATACTTAAATAGAATGTATTTTGTTTGTAGTTATAAAGTAATTATTAATTTAAAAAAGTTTCTTTTGTGTTTTTCTTCTCTCAGGCATCTGTAGGAGGCTCTTTACCTCCTGTCAGCACTCTGACTTCCCTGCATGGCATGTCCGGATCCTCCGCTGGTGCTCCAGGGCTCTTCATACCAAGTGTCATGAGCCTGGGAGATTCCTCACTTCTCATTGGTGAAATACATACACAGATATTCTGGATTAGCAGAGGACATTGGATTAATTAGAATACTTATACTTTTTTTTTTTTTTTTTTGCTGCAGGCTTGACATCCTCTCAACCCCAGACTGTCCCTATCATCAATAATGTAGGGGGAGGGTTTACCACCCTTCAGCCAATCTCCTTTCAGCAGCCACTTCATGCCTCACCTCAGCAGCCAATAGCACAGCAGCTTCAGAGTCACATTGCCCCAAGCTCCTTTATGGCCACAATGGCACAGTTACCATGTCACAGTAAGTAATTATAAGGGATAATTCACTACAAAATGAAAAGTCTGTCATCACTTACTCACGCTCATATCATTCCAAACTTTTGTTTGTCTTTACATATTAGACATTTTTATTAAAACCTTAGAGATTTCTGTCCATCCATTAAAAATTGTTTCACAAATATCCCTGACTGCAGCTTCTAGTGCAGTGATGTTATCAATGCACTACGTCGTGCACATACTGCATGGCTGTATCTGATATCGCCCCTTATACCCTCAATTGTGATATTTGTGCGAGCAGCCATTTTAAAGGTGTCTGAAAACGGTGGATATTATGAAGTGCACTCAATCCCACAATGCACAGCAATAACAATTCTACAACCCATGTACACTCAACAGCTGAAAAATCCCCACAACGCACAGTGAGTTGAATGAATGAATTAATTTACGAATATGACCACAAGTTTGCATCTAAAACACAACCCTATCTGTGTATAGCAGGGCTGTAAAACAGGCCGGTGTCCTGTAGATTTTAGCTCCAACATGCCTCAGCACACCTGCAAGGATGTTTAGCAAGCCTAGAAAGAGCTTGATTAGCTAGCACAGGTGTGTCTGATTGGGGTTGCAACCAAACTTTGCAGGACACCGGCCCTCCAGGATGGAGTTTGGACATGCCTGGTGTATAGTTTAAAAAAAAAACAGTATTTAGTTAAAGGTATACAGGACAGAAATCTAAAGTCTGTTTTTTTACTACTAAGTAGAAGTGTTAAATAAATAACTATCACAGGGTTTGACCAAGAAATCTAAAATCTATGTCTTAACGATTTATCAACAAATGAACCACAAACAAAATGGCTTTTCACTCACTTGTTTCATTCACCCCTTCAAGTGGACTATATTAGTGAAAGTGTTTAGTGGCAATTTCACATAGAGCACGTGTTTAAGCCACACATTCGCAAAAAAGGACGTCCATTAAGTAGTGGACATTGTCATGTGCATGCTCACTGTGATGGTTAGGTTTAGGGGGATAAGCGTTGACATTAATAACTGTGAAGTGAAGGTTTAGATTTGGGGCAGGTGTAAAATTTGTTTGTGTACAAATATAAAAATAGGAATACTTCTAAAGAAGTGGACTTAGCTTTAATTCTGATTAAAACTTTGTGTTTTAGTGTACAGCAAGGCAGATTTGAGCTCTTACCCTTCCTCCAGTCTCCTGTCTCAGGCTATGGTGATCGCAGACAGCAGTAGCATCGGGACACTGACCAACCTCACAGCTGTTCGACAGGCATGAGCCAATCACAACTCATCACAAACACCCTGTTTTCATGCACAGGCTGAGCTCTTTACACTGGCCTTTAATCACAGTGTTTTACATGCTCAGACACTGGAGTTTTTATTTTATATCCTTAGTACAACTGACACTGAATCACTTTAATACATGTATTGTTTTTGATTGTTCATGTTAGTAGCTGAACTAATAAAACTTTACTGTAAACTTGTACAGTTGTCTCGGTATGGAAAAATAACATAAGACAACATTAATGAATAATCAGTAAGCAACACTGCCTTTAATCACCATTGCAAAAATATGCATGACTCTTGAATGATTCTTCTGACTTCTCTATTATTATTCTTTCATTATCAGATTCTCACCACAGATCCTGAGGGTCACACAGAATCTGCCATTGAAGAGGATTCATTACATCTGCAGTCCACTTCACCTGAAGCAGGTATACATGCTGTCCTAATACAGGGATAGCTCACCCTAAGAAGAAACATTTTCTGGTCATTTACTCAACCTCAATCTATGTTGTTGACTTTTCTTCTTCAGTAGAACATAAAGCAGATTTTAGGCAAATTAAGGTCATTTGTGATTCATAAAATGCAAAAGTCAGGTGCTACGTTAAATAAACAAAACTAAATGAATGCCTGCGGATCCTGAAAATACCATGAGTACCTGTATAGTACTCAATCTATCAAACTATCAGACTGTGCAAGAAACTGAACATTTAAAGTACATTATTAGACATTATTGCATTGCATTTACATTATTAAGTGATGTTTTATAAACTTATTTTGAGAGTAGCACATGCAGGGGATTGATCATGACTGGTCTTGCATTAACAATCACATGATCAACCAATCTGCTGGAATTCCGACTCACACAAATATTCTAAATTGCCTTACTTTAGTCTTCTTTGATTTTGAAGAATCCCTCCTCCATCCCCTCTTACTTCCTCGCTAAGACAGGGAACTCGACCTAAGCTCGAACTCTTCTCTCTCCTGATTAAGGGGGGAGCCCCAGGCTCCTCCAAGCTTAGGGCTGTCTCCCAGGACATCATGCCAAATCTGCATTTATCTTATCAAGCATCAGCTAAGTGTGAACTCTTGTATTTGAATCCTCAAGAGTTCAAAAAGTCCATGTTTTTTTTTTTTTTTTTTTTTCCAGTTTGCTAGCACACATTAAGTGTTATAAAGGCACAATGTGTAAATGATTTTGTTAAAACATCCAAAAACCACTAGAACAGTGCTTTATGTAACATTGGACTACCAATAAGAAACATCGATTTACCTCCCTATACTGTATATTATGACACTGTCACTTTATCATAATTATCATGTTTACAAGCCTATTTGCACTATATACTGTTCTAAATCTGCACAACTCTGGCTTGCACTCATTGTCATATGCCCTTAATGTATAATTTTATTGTTACAAATTTTTATTTTTATTCTTTGTTTATTTTTTTAGATAACATTTTATGTATAATTGTAACTATTGTAAATTTTTTCTAAAACTCCTACTTTTTGTATTAATATTATATGTAAGGCACTTAGGGTCTGAGAGTAGCGTAATTTCGATTCACTATGTCCTGTACATGTGGTTGAATTGACAATAAAGCTGACTTTGAAATCGATAGAATTTCCTGACCCATGTACTTGCATTATCCCAGATATTTTAAAAAATGTTCAAATCAAGAGAACTAGTGACATGGACTGTGTCCTGTGTTGCCATGCTAATGACATCACACATCCTCGATAGATGTGCAGAGCAGCATTATAACAGAACCGTATGTATTTATTATGACAAAACAGCACTGCTGCTTCTATATGCAATCACAATCGGGAAAAAACAGAAGTGGTCAACTGTAGCATAATAAAACCTTTACTGCTTTCGTGGAGCATCATGCTTGTAATTTATAAATGTGCTTCATACTACCACGATAAGAAGTTCTGAATAACTTTGCTCATCCACAAAAATTACTTCTGCAGAGTCCTGTAGGATCAATTAATGAAGACAACTGCCAGTATTGCACAATGACGGCATTATCATGTTTGTTGTGAATACATGATCTCTAGTGGTAAAAATTACACACTTCACCTTAAGTGGTTAGCCACAACCATATAGTCACACGCTTGCTGTGCATGAAAAATGAGAGTGCAAAATCAAAAGCCCTTCCCCCTATTTAATATTCAGTTTTACTTGAAAGTGTCATCATGCTAAACTATATTTCCAAGACAGCACAACTGCTCCAACCTCTTTTGTTTTTTTAATAACAGACTCAATGTTCACCTAATCCAGACATTGATTTTGTTTTGCCTGATTTTTTTTTTTTTTTATCTCAAAGTGCCAGCAGCCATTGACTTGCATTTTAGGGATCCCCAACTACCACAGTTTCCACTAGAAATCTCCTTTAATGTTCTAATGAAGAAAAAAATCACCTTCATCTTAGATAATATAAAGGGGAGTAAATTAACTGCAAATTTCAGATGTTTCTATATAAAACTGCAACCTATCTCTGATTTTCCTCAAACCTCTAGGGTCTTCAGGCAGTTTGGATCTTTATCCTCAGAGCCAGACAAGTGAAACCCATTCTTCACATCTCCAGCTCTCCTCTCCAGCAGGAGACATTGATCCTTACATTCCTGCACAGATGGTCTCCACTGCACAATAGACTCAATAAAAAACAAAAACTCCTCCAAAAGCTGTGGAGATATGCAGAAGAAAACATTTCAAAAATACAATTTTCAAAGCAACAATATGTGCAAAAAAATATCATACTTAAACACAGAAACAAACATTGCTACCTGCTGCCTAGCTATGCTAATAATGAGTTGTTTTTAATATATTTCACAGAAAGACAAGTTTAAATTTTAAATAGTTTGTTTTTCTCTGTGTAACATGTAAATAGGTAATGTTTTAAAATGCCTGGCTGTAATACAGAGTAGTGTTTTTACCCATTAGGCTTCTATAATGCTAAAAAATAAGTCTAGAAAGTAATTTCTGGTAAAATGGAAAAATAAACTTTATTGATGATTTTAAGGAAATTCTGCAAGACTGAAACACAAGAAAAAACCTTTGGTGCAAAAACATACTGGGTATTACTATGCACCTTTTAGGAGTAAATACTGTTTAAAGTGGCATTGAATGAAAACAGATCAGGTTTCTGTTATTCTATAACATACATTACAAACCTAAAATACAAACATCCAGAACGGCATTAACAGATTAACTAATTATTATAAAAATGAAGTTTTTCATTCATCTTTTTTGATGTCCTTCTCCAACTTTTTCCTTTTCTTTTTCTTCTTCTTCTTCTTCTTTTTCAATCTCTCTCCAGCAGTTGTTTGCTCTTGGTTTCCTTCTACGTTAGACTGTTTCTCTGTCTGATGATTCACTTTGTCCTGACTTTCCTCACTGGAGGTTTTTCTTTTCTTCTTTTTCTTCATCTTTGTCACTGTGTCCTCGGTCTCTTCTTTTGTGCTCTTCTCCTCTGTTTTCTCTGAGAGGTTTTGGGCTACAGGTCCGAGAATGTCAGATAGAGACACAGCAGCTTCTCGAAACCTCATCTCCATCTCACTGTCACTGTCACTGCAGAAACACAAAAAACAGATGATTTTAACAGAAAACAGATGCACAGTTATGCAAAATGTAAATAAACAGGAGTTGCACTAAACTTTTTTCATCTATCATTGGAACTTTATCAGAGCAAAAAGGCTTCGTTAACAAGACAAAAATGTGATCTTTAGACTGAATTTCAATCCTGCTGCTACTTTGTGAACTCATGTGAGTGACAGATTGTTTTTTTTTTAATAATGAGAAAACGAATACATTTTTTCACAATAATTTTACATTTAACTACTAATAAGCTTGTGTAAGAATTCAATGGGCATTTCAGCTTAAAATGTCCATAATGTATATCTCTTTAAGCATTTTTATTTAGAAATTTCACAATGTCTGAAACGACCATCTGACCATTGCACTGAGAATAGTTTGGAAAGCCTGTCCAGGCTTATTGAAGTATAACCATTTGATTAAACAATCAAAATGGAACTAAAATGTACAATGATTGATTCTGTCATTAACAGCGAAGACTGTGCTACTCAATATTTTTTGATCATACAAACAAAACTAAGAATATTTCACTTTTATTTAAAAAAAACAGTTTAACTATAATATGAGAATTTTCTTTTCATCGAATTTTTTGGAGGGTGGGGAAGGGGTGTGGGCAGGGATCCAACGCAGTGTGTGTCTGTTTAATATTTTTACTATTTAAACATGGCGCCTGTCAATCAGCTTGGTTGGTAAGGAAAATCACACTTATATGTCACGTTGCGGTGGGATTTGTGTCCTATTTTAACCTCAGGAAATTTAAGAAATGAGACTTGTTGGGTTTTGACATTATGACAGTGGACACACTATATATACAGACAGCTCTGTCCAAACAGCTTACAAAAGTTGATTATCATCAGAGGTGCCCTTTGGAATAGCCCATAAGTGAACTGAAGCATAAAATACCAGTGTAACCCTGTAAAATCCAAAATCATGCAATTCATTCAAACACTGAATGTTCACGGCAAACATATATACTTTGTCCTTTGCATTGCGGGACGATAATCCAACTGTTCTCATGTTTGCATTGACTTTGATGCAACGAACTTGCAAAAATACTTAATTCCCTGTCTGATGTGAACCCAGCATAAAAGTTTCATTATGGTTGAATGTTGGTTCGACATGCCCTTTACATGCATCATAGGCTACGTTCACACTGCCAGGCTTATTGCTCAAATTAGAATTTTTTGCATGGCTGTTCACACTGCTCTTATAAATGTGGCCAATATCAGACTTGCACAGTAAACGGATCAGAGTCCTAAACTGACCCGCACGTGCAAAAGAACAGATACAGACAGCGCAAAATGTACACGTGATACTGTATGAAGTAAGCACGTTGTCAGATCATGCTTATATGATTATTACCCTTTCCACAGACAACCGTGGTGTATTGCATGAACTGTAAATGACTGTTCTGCAACTACTAATGTGTATTTCGGCATTTGACATGTAAAATAAGTCCCTTGTGATTCAAAAAACTGATCATTTGTGATTTATGACAACTGCAGTGCACGTTTGTTTGACCACCGGTCGAGTGAACTCAAAGGGTTAATGAGCAGTCGCAGACTGAACTGTGAAGGCGGAGTTGGTTCATCTCTGTTTGCAGAGTTATTTCATTTTACTTCGTTATAAACAGCAGACACGTACAGAAGGGTGTTTAGGTGCTCAAGCACCTTCCTTTTTTTCACTCAAAGAGAAAGTTCTGTGTTCTTTGCACACGGATCCTCTAACCGCAACACGCAAGATGCTCTTCGGCTTTGCGAACAACCCGTGCCCAAATCATTAACAAGCATTAGCTTTGCCTCCAATATTTTTTCAAAATGAACAACCAACTTTCTTTGTTAAAGTAATTGCCATGTGTGCTATTCTACTGTGCTGCTGAGGAGTAGAGGATGTTTGCGCATGCTGCTCAAAAATTATGTAAAAGTCACATGAAATCAGACATAACTGTTCACACTGCGGTCGCATAGCAAAACATCAGATCTGTCTGATTTAAGACTACATATGAAAGTGGCACAGATCTGACCAGAAAAGATCAGATTCCATGCGGTTTGGGCTGTTCACATTATCATTACCTGAGTCGCATGTGGGCAAAAAAATCAGATTCGGGCCACATTTGGCTGCAGTGTGAACGTAGGCATAGTGTTTTTATGTGGATGGAGATTTTTTTTTAATTTAGAGTGAGAAAAACTCTGTTTATAAAAAAATATCCATGTATATGTAGACATAGCCTGAGTTTTGTTAATTTATTAATTTACGAAAATTATTCAAATTACTCAAGAAATTACTCTATTACTAGTGCTTACTCGTTTTACTACGAATTATGAGTGTGTGCAAGAGTGTTTGCATGTGTTAATAAGCAAGTGTAGGACTCACCTGGAGCTGGGAACTGGCCTCCTTTTTGGAGGTGGAGGTGGTGATTGCTCCATCCATTTACCAGGAGTAGACGAGGAGAAAAGACGGAAACCTTTAAAACATGGCAGAAAACATGCAACGTTATTAAATCCAAATGATAAGCAAAGGCATATGTGGATATAATTAATATTTTGTGTATTTAATCTTTTTAGGGGTGGCACAGTGGCTCAGTTGTTAGCACTGTCGCCTCACAGCAAGAAGGTGGCTAGTTCGAGTCCCAGCTGGACCAATTTGCATTTCTGTGTGTAGATAGCATGTTCTCTCTGTATTCGCATGGGTTTCCTCTGGGTGCTTCAGTTTTCCCCACAAGACCAAAGGCATGCACTATAGGTGAATTGGATGAACTAAATTGACTGTGGTGTAAATGTGTGAATGAGTGTGTGTATGGGTGTTTCCCAGTACTGGGTTGCATCTGGAAGGGCATCCACTGTGTAAAAACATATGCCGAAATAGTTGGTGGTTTGTTCCGCTGTGGCGACCTCTGACAAAGACTAAATTGAAGGAACTTAATTAATGAAGAAAATAATTAATCTCTTTAAATTGGTTTAAGAATGTTATGAAGATGTCCATTCATTAATTCATTTTCTTTTCGGCTTAGTCACTTTATTAATCAGGAGTCGCCGTCAGTGGAATGAACTGCCAACTTATCCAGCAAGTTTTGACACAGCGGATGCCCTTCCAGCCGCAACCCATCTCTGGGAAACATCCACACACAATCATTAACACACACTCACACACTCGCTCGCTCGCACGCACGCACGCACGCACGCACGCAGGCACGCACGCACACACGCACACACGCACACACGCACACAATTTAGCCAACCCAATTCACCTGTACTGCATGTCTTTGGACTGTGGGGAAAACCGGAGCACCCCGAGGAAACCCACGCAAACGCAGGGAGAGCATGTAAACTCCACACAGAAACGCCAACTGAGCTGAGGCTCGAACCAGCGACCTTCTTGCTGTGAGGCGACAGCACTACCTACTGCATAATACAATTTAATTAAAGCAAAATATTGCAAAAAAAAAAAAAAAAAAAGAAGAAAATTTCTACTAAATGTCCTTTTTTGTGTCTTTTGATTTTTCCTGTTCTATTTTTATTTGTATTAATAGTTATTTTATTTGTATTAATAGTTATTTTATTTGTATTAATAGTTGTTAATTGTTATCGTAAGTTATTTTGTTAGATAAGCTCCAGATTTGGCTTCAGTACTGACTAATATTGATATAATATTATATAGCTTCTATTAAAAATATTAATTTAATAGATAGATTTGTGAGGGGTGTACTTATATATGCTGAGCACTGTAATATATTGTAGATAATGCTTCCACATCCCCTTTTTTCTGTAAATAGTTTTGGTGTAAACGAGGTAAGAGAAGGTAAAAGGATATGTTGATCTGTTATTGCCATGAAGAAACTTTTGTTTTTTTTTCTCTTTTCACTTATACATCTAGCAGATGTTGTGAATTGTATTTCTACAATAACAATAAAATAATGTTACACAAAGGTCCTTAAAACAAGTTTTGCCCAAAAAAAAAGATAATAGAAGTATCATTTTAAAAGTATCAAAAAGTATATAATTTTTTTTTTATTAATATATTTTTTCTACTTTTACTGACATGGATGCATTTAACAGCAGCATCATAACTAATTTGATGATATTAACCCTATGAATTGAAGTATGTTTACATGACACTGTAGCCTGTGGGGAAAAACACAAGAGTAAATCTTTGTAGTAAAGCTAAGCAGTATTTTATTGTTGTTATTATACTCTTGCATGAGTCGATGATTAGAAACTGCAAATATACAGTGTCTAAGGTAAATCCTTTTATCATTAAAATGAAAACTTAAAGCAACGCACAAAATCTTTTAGCTAAATTTATGCTATTTGAGTTAACACAAAATTACAAAAAATAAATAAATCACAAAATAAGGATGGACAAAAGCATCAATTTGGATTAATGCGTGTGTGCAAATGGTTTATTTTAGTTTTCAAATGCCTATTATCAGTTCGAAATAGTTCTTACCTTCTTCATCTTCTCTGTTTTCAGACTGAGCAGGTTCAACAGTGTCAGAGCACACTTCAGAAATACACCTACATTTGAGTGTATTTGTAAATGAGAGAGAAAGATTTAAGAACAATCTCTTAAAATAAAATACCCAGATTAAGACTATTTTCGATTATTTTTGTTATTGATTATAAACGCGTGTCTCACCCATCCAAATAGGTTCCTAACTTTTTCGCAACATGGGATCTAAACTCTGGTGTTGTCCCGAGCTCATTCCCATCATGCTCATGCTTGGAAACATCAGCTCTGTGTAACAAAGACAATCAAAATATCACAAAATATTAAGTAACATTTGACCTTAAAGTGTTCATTCTTCATACAGCTAAAAAGATTTAAAAAGTAAACTCACCTATGACTTTGTCTACCATTGTTTTCTATTTGTGTGGGAGAAAAGCAGAACAGAGTTAAGCAATTTATACAAATATTAGATTGCGGTAAAGTTGAACACTGTCCGTATATTGTTTACCATGGTCTAAAATGTCTAAAATTGCATGTATATGACTTTAAAAGCAAGATTAACATGATTAAATTGACTGTTTATTGCAGGGATTACTTTTTGAAAATTATATTATTAAGGAAAAAGACTGAATGTGTGTTAATTAAGAAAAACTGCTTTACTGCAATGGAATATTTATGTAGAATTACACAGCAATAGCCAGAAATACATTCTATAGGTCAAAATGATTAATTTGTAACAAGAATAAGTAAAGATCAAGTTTTTTATTCATACTGTTAATATATCAAAACTAAATTTTTGATTAGTATTTTGAGCTTTTTGCACCGTCAGATTTCAGATTTTCATGTAAGTTAACAATTAGTACCACATTTTATCCCATAAAAACTAATAAATAAAGCTTGTTTAATATATTTTTTTTATTCATAAATTATGACACTTGTTATGACTTGTTTTATGGTCCAGGGTCACAAAATGTGAGCCACTATTTGTTTGACAAGACGTTCCTTTAAAAACAAACTGGCAACATACCTTTTCCATTGATTTTGACATCCTCTGGTTTAAAGCTCCACACAGCCTCTTTCAGTCTTGCAGTGTTTTCATCTTCACTGCTGCTTTCAGACATATTTGAGGTTCAACTTTTAAACACATCGGTTTAACTTACTCAGGTAAGGTGAAGTAACTGCTATGTTACTGATTTAGATGTTTGACGTGACGATTATTAGCGGTTTGAAATACGATTATTACAATACCTTTACACTTCAAACTCACACAATCAAATACAAGTCCACATCATATATCAGCGACTCGCACACATGCACTCAAAACGAAAAGGAATCGAAGAGGTTCCTACAAACATTTGGTGCTTTACTGCCCTCTGCTGTAATGGAGATAAAAATATTGCTTAGGCAAAGAAATATTGGCATGATGCAAAGTATTCAGCTTTTTATAAATTGATATTAAATACCCGGTTATGTTTAACTATCAAATTTGGCCTGATATCAATAAGTTTTTAGTGCCTAATAAGATGAAAGAACTGTATTTTAAAATCCTTCATAATTACTACCTTGTAATTCCTTACTGTCTAAATTTAATACAAACAATTATTCGCAATGCACATTCTGTAATTCTAACCTGGAAACAATAACGCATTTATTTTTAGCATACAATTTTTGTAGACATTTTTTGGACAGAAATATCTTGGCTTGTCTTCTCAACTTACAAAAACCTTTTTGATTTTAAGACAATTAATTTATTGTTTTTGATTTGGGAGTCAGGTTGTAAGGAAATGGACAATATGTTAAAATGTTTAACTCTTTGTGGCGTTTTCCATCATCACAAATGTAGAGTTATCAGTGTTTCCCTAATTTTAGAATTTAACTCTATTATGTCTGCCTATCGCAAAATAAGAGCTGTATATGTAACATTCCTAATAATCTAGGTAGGCTATAGTTTGAGATATTTGTGTTTTTATTTCTCCTGATGCATATTTATTTATTTTTATTCTGTTTTCCCAAAATGTCAGTTTTTTTTCATGTATTATTATTTTTTTCCCCTTATCCTTTCAATCATTGTTACTATGTCCAATAAACATGTATAATTTGTATTCAGGTCACACAATGTTAGCACAAATTAATGTTTTATGTATTCCCTGTTACATATGTTAATAAAAAAAGAAAAAAAAAAGGAAAATGATGCAAAGTATTTGCAATGACTTTAGTGCTTTTGGAAAGTTCATACTTGTTCTGTAACTGTAATTATCGTCATTTTCTAATTTAACCCTTTTACTTTAAGATGTTTTTTTTGTTGGCCAGGTTTTTGTTGTTGTTATATTGTCTTCCTGAATCCTGACACCTCTCTTAGCAAAATTTGACTTTATTATATTGTAATGTTAACCTACTGACAAAAGGTAAAAAAAAAAATAATAATAAAAAAATAAAAGATTTCAGTAAAAGGTGCCATACTGTTTTGGTCTTATTTCTTTCCACTGATTTTTAATTACCGGTATGTTACAAACAGCTCATTGTGCTGCTTGATGTTGCAAACTGATATTTTCTTATTTTATTATTTGTACTTTTTATCTTTATTGTAGAGTATGCAGTTTGACCATTTTCATGCCATTTATCATTCCAAGTAATTTCACTCATAGGCAACTGAATCGAAAGTTCTAAAACAATAAAAAAGCACACTTCCTCGTTGCAGGTCAATAAAATCAAGTAGGTATTGCTGCAGCCCAGAGCCCTCCAAGTGGGAGGGATTACACCGCAAGTAGATTGGGTTTAGGTGGTGTTGGAGGAGCAAGTATTAATAAAGCACATCAGGTTATTGAGAGGTTGGGTTTAGGATTGGGGTAGGTGTAGACATTATTAAAACACAATAAGTTATTGTGAGGTTGGGGGTGGGGGGTTGGTGTTGAAATTCCGGGAGTTTTCAAGGAGACTGAACAAAACAGGAGATGAGTCTGAAATATGGGAGACTCCCTGGAAAAACGGGAGTGTTATGTATTGGACACTGTGTTAAGACCTATCCACTTGGAGCTGGCTCCGACCTTCCTTTATACCCTTCTTAAGAAATGTCCCAAAAGGATCAAAAGGTCCTCATTGACCATATTTGGAATGGTCGTAAATATTAATGAGCTAAGCTCAGCTCTCAGTATTGCTTTTTAGCTGTCTCGTTTCCCAGTTTGCATCCTTTGAAGATTGCAGACTTCAAAGGTAAGTCCTTCGAAGTCCACACTGAGCCGAACTGAGCATTTTGAAATGAGACAATCTCACCTATACAGATTACAGATCTCATCAGTAACCGTAACAGCTGCCTTTAATAAACAGTAATAAATGATGTAAGACCAAAACAAGGTTCACAAATTAATTTTAATTTGTTTTTATATATTTTGCTTAATTTTTATATATAGGTATAGATTTTGTATGCTGGTCTTTTTGTAAATCACTTTGGTCAACATCTGTTGTTTTTAAATGTGCTCTATAAATAAAGCAAACAAACAAACAGACAAAAACAGGAAATATATTTCCTTTGATCCATACATGCAGGGTGCGAATTACAAGGGGGTTTAGGGGGGTTGACCCTCCAATTAACCCTTGATCCCTCTGAAGGACATCAAAACATCATGTATGGGAGGTCAGCCCTCTAAATAGTAAGAAATAGTTTACTCTGATCTGTATCTTGAAAAGATAGATATACATAGGAAGCACGGTGGCGCAATGGGTAGTACAATCGCTTCACAGCAAGAAGGTCGCTGGTTCGAGCGTCGGCAGGGTCAGCTGGCGTTTCTGTATGGAGTTTGCATGTTCTCCCCGTTTGCCTGGGTTTCCTCAGGGTGTTCCGGTTTCCCCTATCAGTCCAAAAACATGCACTACAGGTGAATTGGGTAAGCTTAATTGTCCATAGTGTGAAAGAGTTTGTATTTCCCAGTGATGGGTTGCAGTTGAAGGGCATCTACTGCGTAAAAACATATGATGGATAAGTTAGCGGTTCATTCTGCTGTGGGGAGCCTAGATTAATGAAGGGACTAAACTGAAATTGAATGAATGAATGATAAATATACATTTGATGATTCCTATAATGGATTATAACATTGTGAATTCATAAATGCATCAATCAGTTTATGCCGATAGACACGGTGTTTACAAGTAAAATAGGTGTTTGTTTCTACATCTGTTGTATAGTTTGACTTACAGTACCCTCTGAAATAGCTAATCAGAGGATATTGTAGGTCAGAATACACAAAAATATTCCACAAAACACACACACAAAAAATGTTTTATTATTAAAACATGTCATTTAAATAGTCCATACATTTGATTCACTGAAGTACATATTATACAAAATAATATTACTGAAAAAGTTGACCGCCCTGATCGTCAATGTGTAATTTGCACCCTGCACAGATGTACACATAAAAATGTAAACTGTCTATAAAATCACTTATTAGTAAGAAATTTCATACTCTTTTTGTTTTTAACACGCTTAGATATCCAAGTAAAAGCGCGCAATGAATCTTGGGGTGTTGGAGGCCACGAAGGATCCAGCAGTTGTATCCTTTATTACCTATAGAAAATTTTGAAATTAGACAGTATTTGTGGAGCAATGACGCAGTTCCCTTTGAATGCATCCTTTAGAGGATGCAGCCACTGAAATGAGACACAGCTTCTCTCTCTCATGGGAAAGGCTGCAAGCAATCACAGCAATGTTAATATACAGAGATATTGCAGTTCTTCTCCTGTAATTTTTAATTTATACAACTATTTGATAGCACAAGTGTGTAAATAAAACACAACAACCAAGAAGTTGCTTAAAAACTTTTTTATTTAAGAAAGTTGAGGTAATTTCTTTCGCCACAGATTTACATCTACAGCATTCTATGTCAAAAACCGTGGGTCTTTTTTAATTCTGTTAATAATTACTCACCTTCATATCGTTACAAACCCGGGACCTTCGTTGATCTTCAGAACACAAATTAAGTTATTTTAGATTAAATCTAAAGCTGATTTTTTTTTGGTTCATTTAATTTAATTATTTTTTTAGTTTTTTTAGCACACAAAAGTGTTCTGAGAGCTCTGTGTGATTTCAGTTGAACCACTGCAGTCACGTGGAATTTCTTGACAGCATATTTAGCAATTTTTTACAATCTCAAGATTGCTCATTGATTACTATGGAGGATGAGATTTTAGAACTTTTAGATTTCATCCAAAATGTCTTCAACTGTGTTCTGAAGATGAAGGTCTCAGGGGTTTGGAACAGCACGAGGATGAGTAATAAATAGCATTTTTAATTTCACATTGAAATTGAATTAAGCATTATATATTGGGGTAAACTAGATCCCATAATCATCTTCCTCTTCATTATCATCATCATCATCATCATCATCATCATCATCTACATCATCATCATCATCTTTGTTTTCCTCTTCATCACCCCAGTCATCTGTGTACTCTTCCCCACCATAATCGTCATCATACATGTCATAAGTGTCAGCACTAGAATCGTTCCCACTATAGTCCTCTTCTTCATCATCATTCTCCTCCTCTCCATCATCATCATCATAATCATCCTCTTCATCGTAATATTTGTCTTTCTCTGTTTTCTTGCGCTTTAACTTTGAAAAGCTTTTTTTGAGTCCTGAAACTTCTTCCTGAAGTTTGGAGCACAAATGTGCAAGATTCCTAACATCAGCATCATCTTTATTAACAACTGCCTCTGATCTAGAGACTTCTGCAGCTTCCTTGAGACAATTTTTCTCTGACATTGAGGAATTCAACACAGACTCTGAAATACTCCTGACTTCGTCCTGCAAAAAATAAAACAGAAAAATAATGATTAATGAAAATAACAATAATAAAATAATACACTTAAAAACAGAGCAAGAAATTCACAAAACATTCAGAAAAAGAATGCATAAGAGAGAATGATATTTTTAGCTGTGCAACATTAGCTTAATGCCCTTTCTTTATACCTTATTTTAAAACCAAATATATTTTTAAAAATTGTGATCTGGTGCATATATTATAAATGTATTCAATTAGTAATCACTGATTTCATGTGTCATAATCTTGTGTTTGTTTTTTTACTACTATATCGTTAAAATGTGCACACATTACTGTTGAGAAAATGTATTTGACCAATTATGATTTCTTTCACATCTGCAAAAGAAGCAGTTTATCAAATAATTATAAAATAATTCATATTTTAAACTATTTAGTGGGGTGGTACGGCCGCTCAGTGGGTAGCACTTTCACCACTCAGCAAGAAGGTCACTGGTTCGAGCCCTGGCTGAGTCAGTTGGCGTTTCTGTATGGAGTTTGCATGTTAAAAGTGCTTGTCAATACCGTTTTGAGTGACTTACAGAGTGTTTTTGTAATCCACATCTTTGATTTTGAAAGGTGTGTGTTAAAGCTGTTACTGTCAGATGCAGTTTACGCACGAGAGAAAAACGCTCTCCTAATTCAGTGTCTGCCGTCAGAAAAGATGCTGAAATAGCATCAGTGTACCCGACTTGTCAGCTGTTGTACTGTACTTAGCGGGCTCTTCGATGCACACACAGACACACTCAATACTGGCATAAAGCTTAACAGGTATGTAACTTTAAGCTATGCAATTTCCAAAAAATTAAAGTACATGACTGATACTCTCCTGGCTGATTTACATCAGGAGCAGTTTATGTTTCATTTAGTTAGTTTGTGCTGTGCAGTATTTACCATGGAATCTGTTTTTGTGTCATTTAAAAATGTCACTTTATTTTCACTTTGTGCCACTCTTTCAATCAGTGTGGGACAGTACGTGTGTGTGTCAAACATTTTGGTGAATTACATTTGTTTTGAGCAAGTTTTATAAAAAATAAAAAAACAGAAAAAACAATCACTTTAGCGATGACGATGCTCCATTTAAATGGCAGAAGATGTCGTCTGACAGTAACTCACATGTTGTTTTTAATTCCTATAAGATTGCATTATTTAAATGATCAGTCCAGGAGGTGTGCAGATCAACAGCAGTATTAGTTATTAACAATTATTAATAAAGATGTTAAAAGCAAGTAAAATAGATAGTTTCAAAGCTGTCCAAATGTGAAGCGCTATGAGTATATTGGATGAACTAAATTGTCTGTAGTGTATGACTGTGTGTGTGAATTAGTGTGTATGGGTGTTTCACAGTTCTGGGTTGTGGCTGGAAGCGCATCCACTGCATAAAACATATGCTGGGAATAGTTGGCAGTTCATTCCGCTGTGGTGAGCCCTAATAAATAAAGGACTAAGCTAAAGGAAAATGAATGAATGAATTTTTTATATACACAACACCTAAAATGCATTCCCAAGCCAAAAAATCTGGTCAGCCACCTTTTGCAGCAATCACAGAAAATAAACTGATATCTGCAGAATAGTCCTTCACAGTATTTTTACCCACTCTTCACCGCAGAAATGCTTTTTAAACTCTGTCCCCTTTAAAAGGATAGTCAATAAACTGCATTTCTGAGCTGTCTTAATTGAAAATAACTTGCAGTGAGATATCTTTAAAACAAAATGTTTATCAGTGCCATTGTTGCTTCTGCAGATGCACTCTAGATGTTTTTAAATAAATGAGTTAAATAAATAATTTGTTACTTCAACCTAAATAGAGTAAGTTCACAGAACTCATATAGATTCATTTTTTTAACTTAAATGGTTTGTAGCAATTAGTTTCCTCAAACGGTTTGAGTTGACTTAACTTATTGGGTTTTACAGCACTCAGCTGGTTTGAGTTCTCTGCATTTATTGGGTTTTACTGTGCTCAAATGGCTTCATTTACTCAAATGAATTAAGTTCACAGTACTCGTTAGGATTACTTTTTGAACTTAAATGGTTTGTTGCCATCGGTTTAGTTTTGAGTTACCTTAACATTTTGGGTTTTATAATGTAGCAAATGGGCAATATATCGCCAGGATGACATCTGTTGTGGATATTAATACCCAGTTGTAGTTGTAGTAATGGAGGGTGTCCCTGGACAAATTTTTTTTCTTCAATGCTTGACTGAAGGTATAATGTTCTTTGGGTGGGACTCTGTCTTTGGTTAACATTAAATATAATTGACCGTGTTCACTCTTTAATCCACAAAACATTTTCTCAAAAGATTTGAGGATCACCTGTGTTTTGCCATGCCTTTGCCAAGTCTTATCGATAGTGGAATCTTAGAGAGTGACATTTTGTTTTTTGATTAAAGGGAGGCCTGTGGTTTATTCAGTGTTGTCCTTTTATTATTCCCTGTATGAGTTATTAGTGTGATCTCAGTGGAATAGTCCAGTCATTAATGAAAAGGTTTGCTACTGTGTCAGCAGTTTTTGTCCATTTGGTAACACTGGCTCTCGCTTTATTTCTTTGGAGTGTCTTGTTTGAAATAATTTTGTTTGCAGCTTTGTAGTGTCATACTGAACACGTCAGAGATTGATCCTCTAGTACAGGGGTGTCAAACTCAATTCCTGGAGGGTCGAAGCCCTCACAGTTTAGTTCCAACCCTTCTCCAACACACTTACCTGTAGGTTTCAACAAACCTGAAGGACTCAATTAGTTTGATCAGGTGTGTTTAATTAGGGTTGGAACTAAACTGTGCAGAGCTGCGGCCCTTTTGGAACTGAGTTTGACACCTGTGCTATAGTATGTCTCTGTTTTTAACAGATCTTTACTGTCTTACAGTCTGGCATTGGTGAAAACTGATCATAGCGGGGATCATGTTTGTACAGCAATAATTGCAAAAGACTATTATAAATTGAACATTATGCTCCTGGTTTTAGTAAGGGGCAGGTAATTCCACACAGGCCCGGTTGGTGATAAATACAATTTTCAGTGAGTAATGTGATGTAATAGCAAACCTTCATAAGGTCTTGAGTTTCATCTGTCTGATTCTGTTGTCCACTGGTAATGCTATCTGTTTTCTGTTGTTCCAGTAAGAGTTTCATCTTCATCTGATCTTCTCCGGTCACGTCACGCAGTGTGTGTTTCTGTAGTGCTGGTATTGTGTAATGTTGCCTGATGTGAGTCTCACAGAGAAAAACACCACATGTTGAACAAGCCTTCACAGCTTTCAATCGGTTCTCGGTGCAGAAATCACAGGCCACATCTTCTGGTCCGGCATAACACCGTGGAGGAAGAGCTGGACTGAAGGTTTTCTGCAGGTCTTTCACCACCTCAGCAAGAGCTACATTTGTGTTTAGCACTGGACGTGTTTCTGATGCCCGACCACACTGTGGACAAACAAAATCTCCAGCACAATTGTCCCAGAATGCATTAATACAGCCTCTGCAATAATTATGTCCACATGTGATGGAGACTGGATCCTTCAACATCGATTTACACAGTGGACACTTTAAGTGATCCTCTGTCATCAGCCTGAAAACAAAAAAAACAAAAAGACAATATCTAAAATGAAATGGACATCTATACATATAGACTCCAAAGCGTTTCGACTTAAAATCCTTCCTCAGGGCACAACAACACATTTCCAAAGACTTTAATTATACATTTAACATCTAGAACATGTAATTACAGATTAGAAACAGCTGATAAACCAGACTCAAATCCTCACCTATGGCTTTAAACTGGTAAAATTAAATCATTTATTTATTACTAATTACATAAGGGATAATCAATGGACTCAGAACAATGCAGAGGCAAAGAACCTCCAACAAAAAGTGCATTTAAAATCATTTGACACACGGTGAACAGTTAATTATCCTGCTCATTCCATTGTCATTTGCCAGGTTACAGACAAGTTAAAACTAGTATAGCTCCATATATCTGGCCAAATATTTTCATGAGTTATGATACGTTAGATCTACCCACTTTGAATCAGTTGCAGGTAGAAACAGAACCAGAGAGCACACATGAATGAAAATGAGATTGTGTGTGTGTATTACACAGGCATGTCTAATAGCTCATAATAACGTGTTAGCTACCATCGCAAATAATTTTTTGGGCATATTAGGTGGTTGATCTCTATTGGCTCAATGGTGAAGCACATAATGGCCTTCCAGCTAATCAGAACACAAGATTTTAAACAGCACAACGAATTCACCTTGGGTTGAATGAGATATTGCCTTCAGCTTTGCAGCTGGTCAGCGGTCCTTCGAACCAATCAGAATATATCTGAGACATATAGCTGGGTGCAGGAGAAGGGGCTCTTTCCAGTCTTCCTCTGTAAAGGTTTAAAACGACATGTTTCAAAGATAAATGTTATTTTAATAACTTATTTGAGTATTGTTGAGCATTTTGAAATGTTTTAAATTCAAATCTTTTTCCCTGGACCACAAAACCTCTTTTATTTTATGTCTTATGTTGTACGGGTATATTTTTGCAACACCTGAAAATCCATTGTATGGTTCAAAGTTGTCTTTTTTATTAATTAAAGCTCATGTTCCATGAAGATATTTAGAATTTTTTTTTAATTATTATTAGTAATGCGCATTGCTAAGCACTTAGACGATTTTAATCAAAATTTTCTCAATATTTTGATTAGTTTGAATCCTTAGTGTCAGTTTACAGGAAAAGGAAGGACAAGGATTCAAGTGCAGGAACTCAAATGGGTTTATTAATAATAAAAATAAAAGGGAAGAGTAGGGCTGGACAGGACTGGACATGTAAAAACATTGGAAAAAAGACAACGAACTGGCACAGGACAGCAGACAAAAGGGACTTAAAGCAGAAAGAATTAACAAATAAACAAGTAATCTGAGCAAACTAATAATGGGTTACCAAGGATGGTGGGACAAGACAATAGACAGGAAAGCACATGACACAAAGACAACACAAGCCATGTGCTCACGAGAAAACAGGACTAGAACACGCAGCCAATGAGAGAACTTATTAAATGCGCGTTCACATGAAACACAACAGTGCTGAACACAACACCAACTGAAGACTGAATGCAAGACACGAGTACACGATAAGTGAAACACTATACCATGCACTCACACATGCAACATGCATGTTCCGATCCCAGCGACAACTGAAAACAACTAGACTGGAGCGCTGAGAACAAAAACACCATGCTGCAAACAAAACAACAAACACACCAGGACGAGAGCGCGCATCCAGAACACTCCTGGACCTCACGCACCTGCATCAAGCAGGAGCCTGCACTGCCAAGACGGCACTCGTACAAAGACGAAGACATACAATAACAGAAAATGAATGCTCCCCATGCCCGGATTAAGAATTCAGAGGTCCCTAAGCACAATGTCTTGTAGGCCCTCTACCTAGCCGCACCCCTATAGTTGAGTTAAAAAATAAGATTAATATAATATTGTTTAAATAAAATGTAATCTACAATGTATGGCCCGCATTAAAAAAAATGGTATACAGTACATTTATTTCTAGTCTACAAAGAGTTAACTTATTTTTAAAGCATTTAAAGCACACTTTGATAAAAAAAACTAATACAACTAGTGAAAATTAATGGATTAATTACCTTGTTCATTTACTTTACTAGTTCAGTGAAGCAGTACTATATATTTAAGAGTGTTTTTAATGTATAACTTCAACAAACTTATTTTATATGATTTGGATATAACACTTCTCCAATCCAGTTCTATACAGTCCTCCATAATACATACACTTAATAATAATTCCTACTTGTCTTTCTCGAGATGAAGAGTAGGCAAAATCTGATTTGTAGTGATGGGAAGTTCAGATGATTTTTCTGACTCGGATCATCAAGATGAACAAATCTTTTTTCGAATCGTTTCGTTCATTTGGTTTACATTGGCAAAATATTATTAAAATGTTATGAATTGCTTCCAAACACATCTACAACTAGCCCAAAAGGTTGATTGCATGACAAATAAATCATAAATAGTATATAAGAGGGAGAAAATAATAATTCAATGTTTACCTGCTCTTTTGTCTATGAAGGCATTTTTGTCTCTTTGCTCAGCTCACCTCTTCATATCTTCAAATGTCAGAGGTTCATTCACGTTACACTGACAGTCACATATAATCTTAATCAATGCACAGGCTAAGCCGATAGGGGCCATGATCGTTCGTTTATCACGTGACAGAATGACTAAAACCCGAGGGCTCGAGAGATGAATGGTTCAATTTTTTTTCCGGCTCTAAACGCGTATGATTGGCCCGTGAGGAACGAATGACTCAGACCCGATAGGGGACTCGAGAGATGAACGGATCAATTATTTTCCGGCTCTAAATGCGTATGATTGGCCCGTGATAGCCGAGTGACTCAGACCCGACAGAGAACTCGAGAGGTGAGCGGATCAATTCTTTTTCCGGCTCTAAACGCATATGATTGGCTTCTGTCAATGTGATGAAGACTTAAAATTTAAGATACTACCTGCACAAATGTGCGCACGCGCGGATGAGCGAATCACTCCCTGAGAGGACTCGTAGTTCCCAAGTCATATTGAAGATTCGTTCAAAATGAATGAATCGTTCATGAACGACCCATCACTACTGATATGTAGTGGGGAAAAAAGAAAAACGTGTTCATCTGGATTCGAACCGGGATCATGATCAATTCCATCAAAACATGTTGCCATGCGCTTTAAGAGCTATGCTACTTACGCGGTAATCTATTGTGCTCATTAATTAGGTTGTTTCTGTCAATTAAACGGTGATGGGCGTGAATCGCTTAACAAGCTTATTCCAACGAGGTGCACTATTTGCATTTAGCCTAAATAGACACTCAAAAATCTGCATTCCCCCCCCTCGCAGGGGCCCCAAGTGCGCATATGCCTGTGCCCATAATGCCCATTGGTTTATCTGGCCCTGGCCCCACCCAAGAAAACTTGAGCCGAGCACAACATACAAGACCTGACAGGACTAGTGTCTGGACTCTGCCACCAAAACAAAAATTAACTAGACAGAATCCTGACACTCAGATTACAGATTTGCAAATGCTGGCCAAAACAATTGCTCTGTTTTCAGGAGATTCTTGAAAAATGTACACTTATGACTGGTTTTGTCAACACCATCTCACTCTCGACTCATCACATATTGATGTTCCTTCAGGACCACTTCTTGATGAGTGGGGTTATCCATTGTTGACATATTGGGTAATATTTTTGCCACTATTGGAGTGGGAGTTTTTATAATCAAAACTATTTTACTTTCATTACACTACAAACACATTTTTACGCACTTAATCCAGCTACTAGCACTAAACACAACCGCTGGTAAATATACAAAAACACAGGATATAGCAGACAGACACAACTACAGTTGCAGTTTATTCCAAGTCTTCCAAGTCAGCATTTGCTATTTCTGTTAGAAGTTGACGCGATCTGCATCTCCACTGCTCAGATGTTTTCTGTGACAAATTCAATGCTGCTGGAAAATCGTTTTATGTCAGCTTCTGTTGTCGAATGCAGTTGGCTCCCTCTGGGTCTCATGACTAATCACATCATGCTAATGACCTGGAGCTTATTTTTTAATCAGAATATATCAGTGAGCAAGAGTAAGTCAAGTGGGGTCGAGAGTGAGAAAGTTTTGGGTTTTGTGTCTCAGGGTCACATGTAACACATTCCCTTACTTTAGCATGAAGGTGTTGTCCATTTGGCTGTTGTTTGTTGAGACTGTCGCTGTCTCATTTTCTTCCTTAATCCTGAAAAATGCATCTTTTTACATGTTGTATCATATATTGATTAATTCTAATCTATATATTGGTCCATTAAATAGTATTTATATATTTGATCCATAACAAATCAAAGAATTATTAAAAGAAATTCAAAAACACTGTAAATAAATATATGAAATGCACCTTGTATCCAAAGGAACATCTCTTAAGTTGCTTGGTGGATCCATAGACCAGTCTGTTCTTAAAGACATGTAGCTGATTGTAGGAGAAGCTGCTCTTTCTGGCTTTACTCTATAAAGAGACAACCAGTTAAGCTCACACTGCTAGAAACTGTTTTCAGGTTCATACCAATAAAATGCTATTAGCAACTGTTCAAAATTGTTTATGATAAGGGAACTCAAGAGTTAAGGATACGCAACCAACAAAACACCACTATTGGTGACTATTCTAAATGCATCTGATTGGCTACACCTTTCGTAGGATTCATGTGAACGTCTAAATGTAATGGTGGGCATTCATTGATTTTCACATTTGACTTGAATTGTAACATTCTTAACCATTTTAGTTTACAAGGGACAATTTTTGCCCCTTTATCTTGAATATGTTGGGCTTTTTTGTTTCTTTTGATGCCACTTCTGACACAATCTCTTGCTCTTGCCCTTGTGCAAAATATTGTTACCGGATGAAGATACAACATTTAAAGGCACAGAATGTAATTATTACTGCAAGAGGGAGCACATTTACAACAAGGGTGTAGTTTAATAATGCTGTGACTGAGTGTGAAATCATGGGAGTTGTTGTCTTCATTACATCCTACAAGATTTGTGCAAAAAATCATGTTGCCGGATGAGCTAAAACATTCAAAACACATTACTATTGTAGTATGAAGCAGATTAAGGCTAAAAGCTGTCAAAGTGGAATGAGACAACTGATGATGAGAGACAAGCATGACAAAACCCAAAAGCAGCAGACAGGGGCAATTTTAGGATTTTCATTTTGGAGGAGCTTAACTTCTTATAAGGTAAAAATAATTGAAATAATATATATATATATATATATATATATATATATATATATATATATATATATATATATATATATATATATATATAATATTTATACACACACCCACTTAAAAATGTTTGTTTAATATGGTAGGGTTGTATGGTTGTATATAGTATTCCACTGAATACCACTATTCATTTTGAAATAAAAATAGCGAAATGTTCGTTAAGAGTTAAATTTTTTCACTAGAGGAAACAGTTTTGCTAATGAGGTGAATGCTGAGAAAACCTGACTGCTCCTTCGTGACATTGGATGCAGGTAAAACAAGGTTATCTATATTAAAGAACTGCAAATAAGCATATAACATAATAATTTATCGATAAACACACACCTTGTTCTTTCGCTGTTCATGACTGGTTTGCTGATCAAATGAAAAACAAAAAAATGGGGAGGAGCTGGATTCTGCCGCCAGTTTCTTATCAAATTTAAAGGGGACTGAGGAGATTTATTTATTTATTTATTTAGATTTATTTAGTGTACAGTTTATGAGCTAATAGCAAAAGTTTGAAGGGGGCTGAGCCCCCCTAAAATAGCCCTAACAAAGCCCATGGCCGCAGAGCTTTTATTATGCCACAGTTTCTGGTTCTTCCAGTCATAATCACATCGGGAATAAGATGTTTTATCATATTATTTACATTTTTAGATTCTGCAGTCTAATAAAACAAACAATTTAATAATTAAAACATCTTTCGCGCTTCCGTGTTTTCTCCAAAACCAAACCAAAAATCAAGTATGTGTGGCATCATTAGCATGGTGATAAAGGACATGGTGTGTGAATTAACGTAGCATTTTAGCATGCTATTAGCATGGACGGAGGCGGTTGTGTCCCCACCAAAATCCACTGACTACTGAAATGTCCCCACCAATAATTGAATTCACTTCAAATGTTACAGTCAACATTAACCTAAATACGTAGAAAGGCTTAAATCACATTCTCTTCTTGAGTCCAACACATTTAAACATTAGGATTGGTTGTGCCTTTATCTGCTGTCATGTGAGAGGCTGTAGCTGCGTTCAGATGTAAAAGCGTCAAGGTTTACCGCTGATTGGAAAAGTCAAAGTTTTAAAACCGATAACATTTTCTGTTATATTGTTCCTGTGGTATGTGTACATGTTTTTTTTTACGACTATTTTATTATTTTTTTAGGGCAACAGTATCTCCAGCAGAAAATGAGCCACCACATCAAAGCTACTTCAATCAGCCCATGATTTAGCAAAGTGCAGTGGCTTTACTTTATATCCACACAATAGAAAGATCTCTAAAGACACCTTTTAAAGTTGTAAAGAAATCAATGTTTTTGAAACTAACAAAGACAGCAGAAGTTAATGATTTAGTTTAATTATTTAGCCTGACATGTTTACTGTTCCAAAATGTTTAAAATGTCTCTTAAAATAAAATATATTGTGTTCAATGGGGAAAAAGTTGTTGGTTTTTACCTAGACATATAAAAAGAGCATATTTTAGAGCAGTAGTCACAATACATGAATATATCATATTTTTATCCAAAGTTATCATCCCACCAGAATCTTATATCACAATGCCTAATGGGGGAATTCATAGGTCCCTACCAATGTCAAGAGCAAATCTATGCCCTTGGTGCTACCAGTTAAACTGGTTATTTCTCTGAAATTGAACATTATTCGAAACATTTAGCATAATGTATAATACATAAGTCATCAAAATACACAACATCTTTCTAGTGTTTTTTATACTTTAATGAGAAAAAAAAAATCATACAGCGTGCCTTAAAAGTACAGAAAATAAATGATTCTGAAACTTACCTATAATCCAAAGGATAATTTTCTCCACCCCTGAAGTTGGTAAGTGGATCCATTGAACATTCTGATCTCAAAGACATACAACTGGGGGTAGGAGAGAGTGCCCTCTCGTATTTGACTCTAAGGACAGACAATGTTAATGATTTTGTCAAAACTCACAATAAGTCCCCAGAACATGGATGTGTACTCACACATAATTATTTAGCCTACCTTTTATTTTTGTGTTCATCATGACCACTTTCTTCTTTACTGAGGTCTGTGTTTCCTTTGATAAACTCGGGTGATTTTGCTCTCTTTCTTTTATACTCGCTACAAAATAATATACGATATGAGTATTTGAATGTCTATATACTGTATCTTTTTTCAAGGAGATAGTTTTATTTTACAGCATTCAAGCAGGTCAAAAAAAATAAGAAAGCAGTTAAACATGGGCACCTTTCACTCTTTTCTTTCAGACTCATGTTGTCTTATGTGCAGACAAACCTTTGTACAAAAATGGAAACACAAACACCTAAACGGTTGTTATTGCACAACATGCGATATCATCTACGCATCTTAGCCTACTCGATTTTCACGAACTGAAACCAAATGATGGAATTAAAAGATCTTAATACAGTGAATTAAGGGACGTTATTAATAACATAGGCCTACCTGAGTCAACTTTCGGAGAGCCGATATAAGTTTTTCACCCTGTAGAGATTCTTTCTTTAAAAACGAAAGTGGGTTGATCAACTTCAGCCACGACCAGTCGTTTTAAATAATGTATTTCCTGTTTTCCTCAAACTAAAAACGAGTTCTATGCTGGTATAGTAGACTATACTACTACTACTAATAATTATTATAAAACATTTAAAACCCTAAAAAAAAAATAAAGAAAATATTTTTAAAAATCTAAACTGCGAATCCAAATGGCATTCAAGTAATAAACAATAAAAAATACTGAAACACACACTCACAGTTTCATGTAGAAATTATTCTGTTAATAGCCTACCCTGAATATTTGTATATATTTTTTAATGACAAAAAGGTAAAAGAAACCCAGTCCAATTCTTGTCAACTCAGAGTTTTATTGAATAATTCCATAACAATAAACCTCATTCTAGTTAATTTAGCTAGACAGCATTTATCTCCTCTAATACCCCACAGTTTAAATGTAACAAATACCCTCATCATGACTGTAATATCAAAACAAAAGCAAGTAATACAATGTTAAAGACAATTAAGTTATCTTTAACATTGCGCATAACCCTGGCTGTCATTGTTCTGAAATGAATCATTTTATTTTATAGTTATGAAATCCCGGCGGAACAGTGTCGCAGTGGGTAGCACAGCAAGAAGGTAGCTGGTTTGAGCCTCAGCTAGGTTAGTTGGCATTTCTGTGTGGAGTTTGCATGTTCTCCCCATGTTTGCATGGGTCTCCTCTGGGTGCTCCGGTTTCCCTAAGTCCAAAAAGATGTGGTATAGTGAACTGAATAAACTAAATTGTCTGTAGTAAATGTGTATAAATAAGAGTGTATGGAGGATTCCCATAGATGGGTTGCAGCTAGAAGGGAAGCCGCAGCATAAAATATATGCTGGATAAGTTGGTGGTTCATTCTGCTGTGGCGACCCCCAGATTAATAGAGGGACTAAGCTGAAAAGAAAATGAATGAATCATAAGTTGTGTTTTGCACCACTTTGCATTTATGTTAGCAATTATAGAAGTAGTAGCCTATAGTTGTGTTAAGATTTATACAACTAGATGCTAAGCAATATTGCTTTGTACAGTAATGGAGCTGTTTAAGTTATAAGGCTTGAATGGCAAATACACAGTAAAAAGTAAACAGTCAATCTTAAAAAATGCTTGTAACTAGTTTTGGTTGATTTTACTGTGTTATGCAAACTTTAAGGGGGATCCAGTAGTTAAACTGGAAGAATTTAGCTGTACTGACTTTTAAAAAGTTTGACTAAAGGCTGGAGCTGTTTGATTTTTTCGTATTGTTTCAGCAGTACCACACTTTGGTTGGCAGGTATATCAGCACATGTTCAGACAAAAGGCGAATTCACACGTTTTATGGGATTCAATGTACAGCACTCTCTTAACCAATACAAGTTAACAAGTTACCTGCATAAAGTAAAAGTAAGTTGTATCTACTCAAAGTTGGGAACTAATTTGCTTATTAAATTTGAGGGATTCAGTTTCCATAAGCTATTCAGCCAAGTAAATTCAGCTTGATACTTTTTGCATTGTAGTAAGAAAATGTGGCTATACACTCGATAGTACAATCAGTGATGAGCTTTAACTTGCGTAAATTATAAACAGCATGAACCAAAAAACAAAACAAACAAACATGGATTTCTGTCACCAGGTTTTAAGAACTAAATGTACCTCTACAGTATTTCAAGTGTAAAAGCCCATGTTTTATGCACTGTAAACAATGCATAGCAACATTTTGAATTAAAATGCAGTACTGAAAGGCCCATTAAGTTAACAAAACATTATCTATTATTAATCACCAACTCAGATTCACACATTTGTCATATCAATAGTCCTCCTCGTCATCCTCAGTGCTGTATTCATCAGAACTGCGATCCTCAGATCTTCCCGTATGCTCATCATCAGATCCCTCATCACTGTATTCAGAGCCGTCTTCCTCATTCTCACTACTATCTTCATCCTCGTCCTCCTCATCATAGCTACTATTTTCAGAGCCTTCTTGCTCCTCATCAGAGTAATCTTCATAGCTCTCTTCATCATCACTCCTTTCATCTGAATCTTCATCATCATCATCATCATCATAATCACGTTCAGAATCCTCTTTATAATTGATTGCTTTTTTAGTATGCTTTACTTTTGTAAACTTCGAGATGCTCTTTTTAAGCCCAGAAATATCTTGCTGAAGTGTCGAGCACACGTGTGTAAGACGCCTAACATCTTTATTATCTCTCGGATTAGGTCTGGAGGGCTTGGTGAATTTTTTTGGACGTTTCTGAAGTGTGGCATTTTTCAACAATGACTCAAAAAAGCTCTTGACAGCAATATCCTACAAAACAAGGAGAAACATCAAGACAATTGATTCAGTATTTATTTAACTAACCTGCTGTGCGAAAATAAAATAGAAAAGCTAAACTGAGGGATTAACCTGATCTTAGTTGCAGATCAGGGGTGCGTTTCCGAAAATCATCGTTATCCAACTAAGGTTGCGTCGTTACATGGTTTGTTGATTTTTGCGTTTTCTAAATCCATTGTTACAACGAACATTTGCAAACTGTATCACAAACTTGTGCGCTTGCAACTACACCTCTAGAGCTGTAAATAGAAGTAGAGTTCCTGGCTGTGTTCTATTCAAAGTTATTCCCCCTATGCCCTATTCCTTTCAAAGGTTCCAACATTTAAACTTTGAATTATATAACAAAAGAAAAATAATAAAGTCATCCCTCTTAGGTGTATTTTGCTTTCAAAGTATCTTTACAGTTCAGTTTTAGCGATCTTCATATTGACAATTGCACTCCCTTCATAGTGCACTTTGAAAACATTTATGCCATTTTGAACACAGCCATGGCTCATGACGTAAGCTATAGTTGACCGGTTATTTAAAAGCGAAAGTTTGTGAAAACTAAAATATATAGTATACGTTAATGGTTTTCATTTATAGGAGATTATTTATTAAGAAATGTATCTGTACTGTATATGACATGGACCTGTTGGTTAGAACATTTCTGCAGTGGTTTACATGTGTAAAACGGTAAAAATAGACTTTTACATTAATTAAATGAATTGACATAAATTAAATTTTAAAAAAGCAATATCCTACTTTATAATAATATTAATTATTATTATCAAGTAGTTTTTTTTTTCATTTCTTAGTAAATAGCCCACTGTAAATTAGGCCTACAACCATTAACAATTTATATGATTTATATATGAGAATATGTATTGGCATTTGTAAAGGAAACATCTATTTGTCCCACAGTATATGTGTTGTTTACATATATTTAAGTTTATGTGGAAAATTGGTGCATTTTTTACCAAAACTAATATAATTTTTTTTTTAAATGCATGTGCGTATAAAACAATATAATTTGCTCAAAAAATGATGGGGTTTTTCTCTAAAGTAGATACTCCACCCCGTTTAGTGCGTCATTATAGACGTTTTACGTTATAACTAACGTGGTTCAAACAATTGATCTGCGACAGAGAAACTATGGTTTTGGGAAACACCTTTCCATTTTTTTCCCATTTCTTTTTCCAAACGATGCATTGTACTATGATAGTTCAGCCGCGAGTTACGTTGGTGTTTGGGAAACGCACCCCAGATCGACTCCCCTGTATTTACATGCAATTTGCCAAAAGACTCAACTTCTTTAGCTTGGCCTTGAGCTAAACTATTTTAAATATGTGAGAATTAATACTTTTAGCAGTTTTTGAAAGAAAATGACAAGCAGGTCACAGCTGTAGTGTTAATAAATGCCATATCTGCTGCTTTATTTAATGTATTATATAATATCATTTGGATGCCATACCTTTATAGGGTCTTGAGTCTTGTCTGTCTGATACTGTTGTCCACTGGTAACACTACTGAAAATATTGACAGTTTTCTGTTGCTCCAGTAAGAGTTTCATCTTCATCTGATCTTCTCCGGTCACGTCACGCAGTGTGTGTTTCTGTAGTGCTGGTATTGTGTAATGTTGCCTGATGTGAGTCTCACAGAGAAAAACACCACATGTTGAACAAGACTTCACAGCTTTCAATCGGTTCTCGGTGCAGAAATCACAGACCACGTCTTCTGGTCCAGCATAACACTGTGGAGGAAGAGCTGGACTGAAGGTTTGCTGCATGTTTTTGACCACCTCAGCCAGAGCAACATTTGTGTTCAGCACTGGACGTGTTTCTGATGCCTGACCACACTGAGGACAAACAAAATCTCCTGCACAATTGTCCCAGAATGCATTAATACAGTCTCTGCAGAAATTATGTCCACATGTGATGGAGGCTGGATCCTTTAACATCGATTTACACAGTGCACACTGTAAGTGATGCTCTGTCCACATTCTAAAAACAACAGCAATTAAAGTCCTTAAATTCAACTTCAAACTAAGTTCATTAACTTTAATGGTTCCTATACACTTGTTAAGTGTAACGTTATGTGAAGCGGCTTACAGGTTCAAGCGATCTATCAAACTGTATAGGAAGACTCAACAAATGGTAATAATAAACGCTTACAAAGCAATGTAATACTTTTGAAAATCATGATTGCAATATATATGTCCATGCCTAATATCCAGTGGCCAGAAAGTGATTCATATTTTAAAAATTAGTACAATATTGGCATCAGTGATGCGGCAAGTCCAGAGACTTACACCATGGTTATATATAAAATTCACTTTAATGTATGATGTGACAAAAAAGGGTGATAAACGGATATTTTCTCAGTTCAAATGAGTAGCGGCTTGGACCCAGAAACAGTATTTCATACGTCACTACTTAACAAGCGGATTATGGATTTGTGGGAATTCCCTTTTATGCAGCATATAGCTCTTTATTGTATTGTACTTGAGTTTTAAATCTGAAAGAGCACTGTGTTTACAGTTATTGTCTCTCAAAAAAAGCATTGACTCCAAGTACAAGCTGTTCTCTAAATTGATCTCAAGCCATTTTGTGTTGATATCTGAGTGATCCACTAACATGCAGACTGGTGAAAACATTAAGCCCCCTCCCTGAAACACTGTAGCAAATTAAAGGGGATAGGATCGACTTACGTCACGAGCACGCTGTACTCAAGGTTCTAACTCTAAACCAAATGTCAAATTTTCGGACTAAAATCTGAATTTCTATGACCTATAATGAATAGGTAAACGGAAACAATCAGAAAGTTTTCTCACAAAATCCGAGAGGGACTGTTTGCCAAGTAAAAATGGAATAAAATGTCAGTGAAAATAGCCTAACCATAACAATATGCATAATGTGTGAAACAACATGATAAAAACATGCTATAGAAAAAATACATTTAGATAAATGGCGACAAACAAAAATGCCTGTTATTCCATGAAAAAAAAAAAGATAAAATACAATGACTTTCAATATCCGGAACAAACCTTTTCAAATTCCATATTTTAGAAATCCTATGATCCTGTATTTCCTTTTTTAAAGTTAGTAATGTTATGATTATAACTGGCTAATTTACTGGCTTATTTTAACACCTTATACACAATTTTTAAAAATACTTTATAAAGATTTGTAATGCACTCTAGATTTGTGATTTATCACGATAATTAGCACCGAACACCAGAACTACGCATTCTAGAGCTAACATTCACCTTGAATGCAATGGGAAGTCTTCTGAAGCTTTGAAGTTAGCTGGTCGTCCCTTTGAAGATACTTTTTCTCTGTGAGAAAACAATAATGGATATGGGAAATGGGAGGTTGACTTAAAATGTATAAAATTTCATATAGACATATGAATAACATTACATATTTGATTTTCAGTGAGGGTTAGAGTAAAATGGTGATTTGTCAATTATACTTTACATTTTTCATTCATTTCATATATCGCTAAGCTAAGAAGCGCAAAAAGGAACGACGTCATATTGCCCTGTAGCGTTCGCTTAAAAAATGAAATGCAGCCACACGTACCTCCAGCTACATAATTTGCCATCTCCAGAAATGTACATTTTATAGAATGAGCCTGTGTTGGACATATTGGATAAGTGGAGCAAAGCCACACCACACACAACAACTTGATCTTCCATAGTTAAGTGAATTTGATAAAAGGCTTGCAACATTTCCACACTTGAAAGCATGTATTTTATGTGGGAATGTAAGTGATTTTCTGATACAGTTAAGGCCTTCGGTGTGAACACACAGTTACACTAACTGCCTGTTTAGTTCCATATTGATTGTTAAATCTTGCTTTGTACCTATAAGGATCTAAATAGTCTATCTTCTGTTTATCTAACCAACCTTCAGTCTCACTAGAATCCCACCCACTCTTTGAGATCTCAAAACTCTGGTAGTACCCAGAATAGTAAAGCCCACTAAATGAGGTTGAGCATTTTCATATCTAGCATCTAAACTCTGGAATAGCCTTCCTGATCTCAGAGGCTCAGAAACACTTTCTCAGATTAAAACTAGATTAAAGGAAACATAAGGAAGTGAAATTTTCTACATGTAACTCATTCAAGGCAAAATCACCTTGCGTTCGACTCTCCACATTTAAAGTTGGCTGGTGGATCCATTGACCAGTCAGTCCTCAAAGAGGATGAAGGAGAAGCTGCTTTTACTCTGTGAGAAAAACAGTGTCTTTATGACCCCTTTATTACAGTCAAATATGTGTTTTTTGTAGCAAGTTATTCATTCAAATTCACCTTAAATGCCGAGGAAATGTCTCTCTATCTTTGAAGTTGGCAGGTGGATCCATTGACCAGTCTGTCCTCATTGACATATAACTGAGTGTTGGAGAAGAAGCTCTCGTTGACTTGAGTCTAGAATGATAAGCTCATGTCAAACTCAACAGTACAACATTTGATTTATTAATTTATTTTTAAAGAAGCCAGATAATATATAAATATATATGGGTTAATATACCTTTCTACTTACACAGGAAAACTGAAAGCAATGGACAGAATTTTCTAATTAATGGAGTGAATAATAAAATTTGATTTGTTAAATCCTGTGAAAACCTTTAACTTAAAAATATCTATAGTATCAAAGAAAAGATATTCAATGTTATGATTTCATTTCTAAAAAAGTAAGCAAATATTGTAAATGTAAGGCATAGTTTATTAGATATAGCAAATAAGTATATAGTTAACTACTAATTTATTTATTAAGTATTAGCCCTATAAATAAATGAGAAAAAGGTTAATAAATACAACTATAAATGCTCTATCCTTCACTTATAAGTCCTTAGCATGTGCTTAATATATGTATTTTTAATAATTTATTAATAATCAATTTATAATTTCTAAATTAGGTATTCAATTTCATATAAACGTATAAGAGTTTTCATTGGTGTATAAGATAAATTAAAACATAATTATTAGCGCATTCCTACTATTTTTTATTATTAAGTCAAGCACCTATAAACAATTTATAAGTTGTATCCTAATTAATTTTGTGAGCTCAACCAAAATAATGACTTTTTTGTTACTAATCACGAACGAAAAGCATGACGGACAGACAACTGCAATCTTACTAATTTGTTTATGGCAAAAAAAGTCAAGAGGTACCAAAAGTAAACCAAATGACGATGTGTTGTAGTTGATGATTAGTGAGAAACAAACAGAGTTTTTGATTCAATTTGTTGATAATCGCTAAAAATATTACTCAGATCACTCTCTCTTAACAAACATCTCCTTAAAGGTGCCATTTCAGGTTCCAATGCACATCAACCCAAATCATGACATGTCATAACCTGACTGTGACGAAGCAGATGAGAGCCAATCATGAGCCAATGAGCATTTGATTTTCCTTGCCGTAAAACCTATCATAAAGCCTCTTGACGCAGGATGGTTTGAATTTAATAATGATAATAACGAACGTGGGGTTTGAAAGTTGATGACTTGATGCCTATTATGGACACTATAGTGCTGAGGAGGGCAGATAAAGAGTGCTGTTCACTGAAACTAATCATGTCTGCAAAATTATTGTAAACAATTTATATGTGTTGAATTTAAACAAACTAATACATTTTGTGATGTTCAACTTAGTTTGTTTAAATTCAGCCCAAATAAATTGTTTACAACCACTTAAATAAAAAAATCTAAGAGATCTAAGGAATCATCTTTGAATATTTTCTTTAGAGTTCCTCACAGTCAAAAGATTTGGATTACAGGGCAAGAATAACATTGACTTCTTTCCTAACCATTTTCTGCGTATGTAATATTAGGAAAATTGATTGCTTCAACTTAAATATTAACAAAACAGTTTTGACAGTTCAAATCCAGCTTGGTTTGACATAAACATGATGAAGTACTGAACAATAATAAATGCAAACTATAAATACTGCATTGCTTGTAAAGCTGATGAAGCACGGAAGTAAACAAGTTTCATCTGCATGGTACTTGGTGTTTGGAATGTACTACTGCACAAATTATTTATATACAAAAAAGTAAATAAAACAGAACCAGAGGAATCATTTTTATAGTGACAAATATGGGTGAAGTACAGTCCCAAAATAGCACCCTAAAGAGGAGTAGTGGGCAAACCATTTATTAGCATTTTCAGAGAGACCAACAATGAATGGTGTTTTTAAAAGTATACCATTATCAAATATACATGCGTTTATAAGTGAAAAATAGAGTTGTATTTATAAACTGCAAATTTGAAGACAATGCTTTAAACGTAATAAATGAACTCCAAACAAATGCTTTATAGCATGTTTAGAGTCAACCAGCACTAAGTCGTTCTTTGTACATGAAGTAGAAAAACATTAATCCACCTTTTACTTGTGCATTCAGCCGGTCGTTCTGCAGCGCGTTCAGTCTCAGATCTCCTCCTTTTTGACGGGCTTGAAACCCATATTACAGCATAATATGTAATTAATGCAATTTGTAAAAAATGTCATTAGGATACTTGAAAAACAACTTGTAACCTTACCCTTTAAATTCACGCGGTCCTTTCAGACTCATTATTGTGCGGGAGAAACTTCCGAGACCTGAGAAAGTGAAACACAGTCGTGAACAGATATCACTTTCATTTAGATACTGGACAGAAGTCGAACCTGTTGGTTTTCACAAATGCAAACCTGCTGTAGTGAGACTAAAAATGTAAACAAAGTATACATGTGAATTTATGTTAGCCAAAACACTTACTACTAATAAGAAAAGACTTAATCTGCTTTCACGATGCGTCGATCACTCCCTATCAAATTTATGTAAACACGTGATCCAAACAGATTCTTTCAGAAGGATGTGGGCTGGGCTCGCCTACATCAAAACAAATCAAGAAAACAATCACATCTCGGATATATAAAATAATGTATCTTCTCATAATGAATTACTAAAAAACAAACATTAACAAAAAACACTAACAATCGCACAAAACGTGTAATTGGACAGAGATTAGCATTTAAAACATTTATCGTCCAGTTCATGCTATCTGAAATCATTTGATCAAATCGTAGTGGCATTTGCTGCCACCTTGTGGTACAATATTGATGTTTACTGTGAAGCAAAGGATAAAGCACAAAAAGACAAAAATATAAAACGAATTTATTTCCCTTTCTGAACAAAACAAAACACCCCTTACACATCTTAACAGAAGTCCTATTTTACACAATATAATACAATGCCCCTATAATCCTGACAAAAAAGTGGACCTTGGAAATTATTGACAGGATGTGAATTATAGACTACAGGTTGAGATTAGAAAAATGCATTGAATTAAATTAATATAACATACCTTTAATCAATTTTCCCTTATGAAAATCAACACTGGCTTTACTAAAATTAATATCTAAAACAGTTTTCTGTAGCTAAAGTTTTGCTACACAAACTACAGCTTAACCATAATTTTTGGAGCAAATATGTGGTTGTATAAATCTATCAATGGACCACACATCATTGGTTACTAGACTTTTATTATAATAAAACAATGGTTCATTTTTCAAAAGTTATCAACACTATACATAACAAAATGGGAAACTTGATCTCGTCTTGAGAATATAACATTCAGCCTTCAGTGTCACTCAAACTTGTCAGTAATGAAAATGAAAGTCGAATGTACCTATTCATTTTAATGGACCCGGTTTACTAGTCTTGGTTTTACCAGTTAATGTATAAACCAGTCAGTGTAAAAGAATGTAGTATAACGAAATATGTCAAAATAAAAGTCCTGATACAGGCGTAATTAAATCTGACATAATAAAAGTCTACATAAAAGGACAAATGTATTCCAGTTGACACCATAATACACAACAAATGTAAAGCACAAGCAGCATTCCTAAAGCAACGGATATTTCCAAATCCACACATTAGAGTGCAAGACAAAAAAAAGAAGAAGAAAAAACACCAAAAGTGAACAGATCACATCCTTGTTGTGTCAACTGAAATGCTTAATAACATATGTCTCAAACTTAATTCCTGGAGGGCCGCAGGTCTGCTGCTCTGAGTAGTCTTGAACACCTTGATTAGTTGGATCATCTGTGTTTGATTAGGGTTGGAGCAAAACTGTGCAGAGCTGTGGCCCTCCAGGAATTAAGCTTTGAGACCCATGGTTTAGAAACTAATAGACACTTAACACCTCTCTCAGTGAAACATATGGAAGGACCCATACACATCAAAAACATTAACAGTAACAGTTAGGACATTAAAAAAAAAAAGAAATGTACTTCAGCACAAAAAAATAACAACAAAGAGGAACAATATTTCTTTTTTTTTTCCAGCTGATGAATGATAAAATATTTACAGCCTATCAGAATTCATCCTGCTTTAATGAGCTGAGGAGTTTAAAGTCTTAAGAGCAAAGAACTGCTGCATAATATTAAAAAAAAATCCTTTGTTTGTGTGGACGTTAAAATAGTTATCATTGACCAGGCCTTAACTTGGGTTAAAAATATTTTAGGAGAGCAAAAATAGAGGTGTGCAATATTTGTTGTCTGTACGATTACTGTAATTGTCGTTTTTGTGATTATTTCACTAATTAACTTAAAGTTATTTTCTGTTGAGACCATATTATAAAGAATGCTGAAGAAAACAGTAGACATCCAGAGTGTTTTTTTCCTATTATGGAAGTCAATGACTACTCCTTAGTGCAATCTTTGAAATATCAATGTTAGTTTTTAACAGAATTTAGGTAGAAATCTACAAGGAAATGCATACCTTTACCATGGCCCCCATTTACTAAAAAGTGAGGATCTTCTAATTGTATAATTATTTCCTCATGCACTAGATATGTTACATTAATAACAAACAAGAAAAAGGGTGGCTTTCGACATTTCTGAATGAATCAGCCATTTTGATTGAATCATTTGAATGTATCCCTCTTTAAGTTGTCAACACCTACTGGCAGTTTTACGTTTACATTTGTCAAACCTAAACAAGCCAGAAATCAAAACACACAGCAAAAGATTAAAAATGATTATTAAAAATCCTTGAAAGTATTGAGATGACACATTTGTTTGCAATATCACACACCCCTATCTGAAAAGTGAGCATCAAGCTTCAAACCTAAATATATGCGTTCATGTAATCTCGTAATTAACATTGTTCAATCTGAAATGACTTTTCATGTTGTTTTAACTCAAGAGCCTCGGACTCTGAATTATGTTCTATGTTCTATAGTTATGTTCTAATTCCCAGAACCCATTCTACAAATATTAGTGTACGGTTTTCAGTACATTCAGTCAGGAACGCTTAATGTAAATAGAATGTTCCCTCTAGGTTAGAACCCTCAATTTCTCCTTAAGTTGTAAAACCACCTCCCTGCAACATTCTGGGTTGTTAGTTTTTGCATTTATTAAAAAAAATATATATAATTTGATGTGAACCATGGGAACGACAGGAGAACATTCTGTGTTTGCTTGGTCTATGGCAACACTATAAAATCTCAAACTCAGCACCTAAAATGAATCAATGGCAGTCATGGGATTTAAGCTTTCAAAAAGAATCCCTCTTTACAAGTTGTACGAGGACATGATCACTTTTTACTTGTTGGAAATCACAATATGACATGAACGCAGCTTTTTTCTTGTGTTTGGTCTGTCATGATATACAGACAAGTCAGTGTGGTAAATCCCATAGATGGTACCTGGACCTGTAAACAGCACGAGTAAGGCATCGGACAGACACGCAATCATCCACAAATACTACACAAACAATCTTCCTTCAGCCTCGTTATCTCTCTTTTTTAAGGACACTTAAAACAGACATGTATAGAAGCTTGTTAAATCTGACATCATGTTTCTGGGTCCAAATGCTGGGTCTAAATTCTAAAAACTAACAACAAATCATATACCAATATATACGCACTGAAAAAAATATTCGATTTACAAAGTTTTTTTAAGCTAATGTTGCAAACAATTTTTATGGGCTGAATTAAATAATAATAATAATAATAATAATTTGCTTAAATTCAGCCCATCTAAATTGTTTGCAACCACTCACCCTAAAAAATTGAGTAAACCCAAATAATAATTTTTCAGTGTGCTGTACTAATATGGAGCGTGATTATAAGTGAACGAAATATTGCCATATGAAACGCAGCCAATTTTTCTCTGTAATGTGTAGAAGCTTGAACCCAGAAACAGTATCCTACACATCAAAACTTTACAAGCGGATGGATTGGGAGTTGAGAACTGACTTTTGAATGAATAACAAGAGCCGTTTTCCTACCGGCGCACGATTCGCTTTGATAACAAGCTCATCAAATCAAGTTCAGAATATTCAAATATGTAAAGTTAAGGGGTCTCTGATGGGCTTCCAGCAGCTTTTTAGATAAAAAAAAAAACACTTTCTTAGCCTAACTCATATCCGCTGTTAAACATCCTGTTGAATTAGATCAAAGGTAAACATCAAAGCTCTGAAAGGGGCTAAACAGCTTGAAAGGTGCACAGGGACACCATGTTGGGAATCACATCCCTCTCTCTGTGTGTGACACGAGTGTTTCTGTATGAACAGCTGAGAGTAACATCCAAAGCCCTCGTACACGACAAAACCAGATGGAATCTATAGGAAATACAGCTATATGCCCCTTCCAGACCCCCGCAGGACTTCAAACTAGGACATTTTTTTTTTTGCCCCAGCAAGATGGAGACTTAACTTACAGAAAAGAAATGAATAAAAATCCTTTTTTGATGAGGTCAGACTATGGTTTAATTTTTTTCATATTGAAATGATTTTTGAGGGATCATGATACACTAAGAAATGGAGTAATAATGCTGAAATACAGCTCTAAAGAATTACAAATTTAATCTGATATATTTTAAGATATTAAACTTAATACTATAGAATTCCAGTTAAGCCTCAGGATCTCCTCTTTAGAAAACGCAGCTCTGCATCTCTCGATTTTGCATTACTATATCACAACTCTGATATAAGACACAACTGCAAGATATAAACTTTAAAATTAAGAAGTCACAATTTTAGACTGCATACTTGGCATACTTACCTCAAAATTGTGATATAAAATCTTGCTATTGTAGAATAATTTCCATCATTGAGATTAGCAGTCAAAATGAATTTATTTTTGATCCCATGGCAGAAAAAAAAGATTAAAAACTGTGATTTTTAAAAAGGTTCTAACACTATTTCACAAAAGTGATATTTGACAGTGTTTTTGATCAAATGTAGCCTTGATGAACAGTAGAGTCTACATTAGACATTTTACTGACCCCAACCTTTAAACAGTACAGTAATTGAACAAAACACCGTGAACTTGATCAGTTTTAGGGTCAGAGTGACAAAAATAACACGTCATGAACCGGACATGCTGACCGATCTGAAAATATCTTAAGAGTTTACTTTGACAAAGAGAGGATGTGCACCAATCAAGCTGTTCTCTCCCTCTAATGACTGATAATAAAACAGCAAAATCTGTGCAACTTCACATTAGTGACCAAACCTACGGCAGGAATGCTTTATCTTAGCACATCTGAATAATATTCCAAAATATCCAGATGTTCAAGATTATGTTTGGTAACACGACTTCAAAAAAACAATTCAAGACAAAAGGTTAATGGTGCAAGAAGACAACGCAAGTTACAAAACCAAACTCCTCTATAGTAGTCACCCTAAAAGCAGGATGACAGAATTCTTCGCTTCCGACTAGTCGAAGGAGAAATGCTTCATTTTTTTGGCCAGACCCACAAGTAGAGTGGAATGCAGGAACTTCATCATAGAGGAATGGTCATTATTTCCAGTTGGGTGGGTCGATGGTGCCATGATGGTGTGCTGGTGTCAACGTGTATAGTTTTGTTTTTGTTGGTAGTAAGAGTCTGTGTTGAATTTGCATTCCACGCAAACACAAACCAAGTGAACCCCACACAGTCACTCCAACAAACAATGGTCAGGTTTCCTGCTGAAGCAGCACTACTGGCCTCCGTTGTAAGCGTAGTCCGCCTTGTTGTGCATGATGAGTTTGTTATCCACAAAGTAGAAGCTGTCTGATCTGGTTTCATATGGGTGTTCAATCATTAGTCGAACTGTGGGAGGTAGAGAAATCTAGTGTTACGCAGGGCAAATGAACAACACAGGTGCTCTTTGCTATTGGAGAGGTCTGAAATTTGAGACAAGCCTGAGTGGAACGTGTGAGGTGTTAGACAAAGTTGGGTCAATATGTTACTTGTGAAGTAATCGGTTACTGTTTAGTGCCAAATTCCTCGACTATTAACAATTAAGGTGATGTTTTTAAAGCAGAAAACAATCAAAAAGAGTTAGTAAATAAAACAAACATCACTTAAAAATAAAATGTGAACAATAAATGTGAACAATAAAAATAAATTCTGCTAGTTGGACAGGAAATTTGTCTTGTACGTCAGTACTAAAAAAATAAAGAGAATATGAATACACTATACAATCTGAAATACTGTCACAGTGGCGCAGTGTGTAGCACAATCGCCTCACAGCAAGAAGGTCGCTGGTTCGAGCCTCGGCTGGGTCAGTTCCGTGTGAAGTTTGCTCCGGGTGCCCCGGTTTCCCCAAGAGTCCAAAGACATGCGCCATAGGTGAAATTGGTAAGCTAAATTGCCCATAGTGTATGTGTGTAAATGAGTGTGTAGATGTTTCCCAGTGATGGGTTGCAGCTGGAAGTGCATCTGCTGCATAAAACATACGCTGGATAAGTTGGTGGTTCATTACACTGTGGTAACCCCAGATTAACAAACGGACTAAGCCAAAAAAAAAGAAAGAATAAATAATATAGCAATTAGATTCACCAGAATAACTAAAATATTAAAAAAAAATTATATTTAAAAAATTATGTTATTTTTATTATCATGATGGGTTGCATTTCATCTTTAAAAAGTTTCTAAAATAAATCTATCTAAATTTCTAGAATTCATATTTGTATAAAAATCACGAGGAATGAACATACAAATATTGTGAATTGCAGTGTATTAGTTTTTAAATAAATGAAAGCAAAAAACATTATTTAAAAATAAAACATATAAAAAATAATTCTGCAGTCTGGCTAGGACATATTTCTCAATATCAATTAGCTTAAATAATTAAGCTTACTAAAAATAAATGACAAAAAAAAGAATTAACTTTTTTTTTTTAATTATATATCAAAATTTATAATATTGCAATATATAACATAAGAGTGCAACTAATGAAACTTTTTAAAGAAATGTGTATTTTTAAAGAATTAAAGTTATTTTTATTATTGTGTTGGGTGGAGTTTTGGAAAAAGTTCTTCATAATCATAATTTATAGATCATAATTTATAGAAGTTACCCATATGAAAATTAGGGCTGCATGATATTGGAAAAAATTAACATTGCAATATTTTGTTTTTCAGAGGTATGAAGTATACTTTAAAAATATACTACAAAAATATAATATTTTTGAAGAATTATTTTTTTCAGAATCATTAGGGTTATTGTATAGAGGAGTGCATCTGCATAAATTATTACAATTACTATAATGAACATTTTTTATTTGACGTAATCTCAAATGAAACAAAGAGAGTGCAGAGTTTACAGTAGCTCTGCCACTTAAAAGACAGTCAATATTTAGTCTTTATTAACAAAATTAACTTTAAACTAGATTTTTAGTGGTAATCATAGAAGTGCGAGAAAAAAAAATAGTGTTATTATATTTGTCTGGTAAGCAGTTGGACACATAATTAAAAATATAACATGAAATGACCCTGTGTAATCTTCACTATAAAAAAATGTGTTTGATAAAGCTACAAATGTTATTGTTTTTTGTGCCTGAATGCTTTAAACTAAATGTGTTTAGCAGCAAAAAAAAAAATATAAAAATACATTTAATACACTTTAAATGGTTAAACTTTGCTATTAATCTACAAGCTCCTGGTCAACAATAATCCATACATGACATTGAAATCCAGCGATGTGATTGCGGATGCGGACATTGAGATATTGATGCTGAAACAATATATTGCGATATATTGTGCAGCCCTAATGAAAATCATGACGAACATACAAAAAAATCATTAATTGCAGTGTATTAGTTTTTAAATAAATGAAGCAAAAGCATATAGTAAAACAAAAATAAAAAAACAAACACAAAAGCAAACCAAACAAAGATGCGGAGATTGCCAACTTCTAGGCTGATTTAACATTTTTTTACAAGCCGATACTAATTTTTGCTGATTCCTATTTTCTTGCTAATAACTTTAATTAACAGCATATACAAGCAAGAATATAGGTTTACTCAATTAAATATAATAATAAGAATTTGAGAATTATTTAAAATTAGGACTAGCTGGAAGTCGTTGGCTGGATAATCGGTGCATTTCTAAAAACCAAACCAAACAAACCCAAACTAAAACAAACCAAACTACAAAAAAAGCAGCCTAAAACAAAACAATATTAACTAAAAGATCTTCACTTTTTATCGAAGGGGTTTTCAATTAGTCAAAACATGCATTCAGAACACTCACTGAGGTCTTCTGGGAGCTGAGGAAACTCGTAAATATGTTCACACGTGTTCCGACTGTTGGGGATGCAAAAGCCGAAGTCGAAGTCAAAACTCTTCAGGAGGCGGTCTTGAAAATAATGCCTCTCAATCATTCGGAAATTAGTGACCGGTTGATCGCCAACTGTGAACTCCACCCTGAGGAAGTGTGAGGTAAAGGAAAAAACAGCTCATGATCACCCATTCAATCCCAAAAGACCATTCAGTTTTGTTTTCTGTAACTAATTAGGCCTTTAATGGTTTAATAACACCAAAGTAAACCAGACAATCTGACAATCATCTACACTAACACAAGTCTGCTTATGTTTACAACAGAACTGAAGAAATCACTGAGGTCAAAACATGATTTATTCATGGTTTCTGTGGGATTGGGCTAGAGACGTTGCTCAAGTGTTGCAGGATATGACACACAAGGGCCTTTGTTTCTAAACATGAAAGCTGGTCAAGTGAATTTCAGACTCGCGGAGGTTTGTTTACACTGCAGAATCCACATGGCTGTGTTTATTAGAGAGACTTACGTGGCTCCGACTGTGCGTAACTTAAGGAATGCTGGTGTGAACTGATAGCGAACGAATCGTCCCGCACTGGTGTCAGCGTCTCGGTTTTCATCGTCCTCTTCATCAAGGTCTGAAAGAACAAACAAACAATTACTTTAGCTAGTTGTCAAAGCAACATTTCTCAACTTTTTTTAGTTTAAGTTGATGTACTTAAATAGCTGAAAACTTTATATGCTAAAGCAAAAACAAAAAAACTACACTGACAAAAAAAATAAATAAACTTTAGGTTATAAAGGAAAAAATACAAATGAAAAAGTATAACTCAAATTATTGACAAAACTAAAGACCTAAAGTTCTAAACAGAAGTTCCATGCAGTTTATTCTTAAGGAAATAGTTTTTAACATGAAATCATAAACCTTTTTAAATACAGATGTGTTGAAAGTTAAATGAACCATTTGTTTTAAAACATACATTTACAATGTCTAACGTTCGCATTATTTTTTTATAATATCAACTTAAAACGATCATATTTAAAAACGGAATTTGACTAAATTATCCTTTGATCTTACATGTTAACTTAACAAAGTGCACCAAAAAAGACCTTTAGCTTAAATGTACACTTATTTTGCAAAAAAACAAACTTAAAATATATTGTCTCTATTTACATAATCAAAATCTTTAATGAACAGTTTGCTTTTAAAGAGAAAGTTCGTACAAAAATGAAAATTCTGTCATTTACTCACTCTTGACTTGTTCCAAACCTGTGTGAGTTTCTCTGTTTTACCTTGAAGAGAAAGGAAGTTATTTTGAAGAAAGTTGAAAACCTACAATAACCATCGACTTCTATAGTATTTGTTTTTCCTATGAAAGTCAAAGGTTCCAGGTTTTCAGCTTTCTTCAATAACATCCTCTTTAGCGTCCAAAAGAATAAAGAAACTCAAAGGGTTTGGAACCACTTGAGGGCCAGTAAATAAGGAGTAAATTTTCATTTATGGGTATACTATCATTTAAGTGTGATTGTGTCATTGGCAGTGATTAATGGTATTTAGTTATTCCCTCTTATTAAAATCCTTAAGCACATTTAAAAAGTCTTCACTTTTGTCTTATTTTCATTTACATCTCGAAATCCAGTTTTGTAGTTTGATTTTCCACTAGGTTGGTTTTGTTCAAGGCTTGTAACACTTTACCAAGGATTTTTAAATCCCTTTCAGAACATTAAAGGTAAAAATACTTCCAGAAGTAGAATTGCTGAATAATGAAGGGGCACAAACCCATTAGTATCAATGATTTACAACACCAACTTCAAGTGGACATGAACATACAAAACAAACAAAATACACTCTTTTTTTTAGACAGATCATCTCTCCTCTTGTAGCTGTTGAGGATTACTGGATTAAGTTCAAATTGTACATTGATTTTTTTCTTCTGAATTTTGATAAACATTTGAGTAATATGAATGAGTAATTTCGGGCCTGAAAACACACATTTTTAAAAACGAGCAATATAATCGGTGTAAATGAATAAAAAAATCTAAGAAAAAAATCAGTACAGTGACATCATGCAGATGTATTAGTACTTATGCGTTCAGTCTACATTCATGTGTGAATTTAGCATTGAGACTGAACACACAAAACCTAATATGTGTGTACATGATGTCATTGTTTTCACAAAATCTTTTTTTTTGTTTGTATTATTTTTTACAAACCAACAATGGTGGCCTCCAATGCTATGTTAAGAAATGTTATTTTATGTGACTGTGTACACTGGGCTGTTTTTTTTCAGATGTACTGTATGTGAATGGGATGACAATATTTTCAGAAATGCAAAGGAAACACTGATGACACATCATTAGACTGACATTTTACTAGACAATTAAGACAAAACAGTTAAGCCATTTTGACTAAAGTTATTTTTTAAACATACATAGATGGAAAATTCACAATAATTCATCATGCGTTAAGTAACAAAATTTCAAATCATTTAGATTTTGGTTTACATTTGTTCAAGGCTCCTGAATTTATCTTGTGTAAATTAAGTCAAGTTGATGATAGAATCTCTGTGTGATTACATCAATTGGTTTAACTGAAACTTGGAAAACAAAGAAAGATAACATACCACAGTGTGGTGGTTTGGCAATCTCAAAAAGCACTGTCCCAGTCTCCAGGTCTCGGATCTTAAATCGTGTAAAGTCAATATTGTAGATGTTGTCCTCTAGTTTACACAAATAGTCTGTGGAGGGGAAATGCATCATGTACTTTATTATTACAAGAGATGAACACAGTCAGGGTTCATACACATTTTCCTACTATAATTCCATGATTTTTTTCAAGACTTTTAAGTAAATTTTAATGTCTACATATCTGTGGCAATTAATTAGAAAAACAATGCACTATCAAATTTATTACATTATATTGCAAAATATGCAGCAATCTATTTAATTTTAAATGTTAATTGTATTTAAATAACACTTCCACAATCCACAGCACTAATAGTGTAAAAAGTATGTGCTTGGCCAAGCACAGAAAAGAAGACAACTAGCATACATTCAAGTATACAGATTTTACAATCTGTATACTTATAAAAAAAAATCCATTTCCGTTTTTCCAAAACTGTTCCAGGCCTTGAAAAAGCCATGTCAAAATTCCTGGACTCATCCAGGGTTTCCATTACCATTTAAACTCTGACAGTAAACACGTGTAAACTCTCAGAAAGGGGGTAAAAATGCAATCGATGCACTGAGAATGTAGTTACAATTAGTTAGACTTATTAACATCATGAGTCAGACAAGAAACTCACAGGTCTTATATCTTTTCTAAAATCAAATTTAAGCACTTCCCTGGTGCATTTTCAAACTTTCCCAGCACATTAAAAGTTTGGCAAATTACATGTTTACATACATACACATACTTTATATTAGATGCTGTTTTTTATATTATTCCGTAGTATAGTATAGTATAGTATCTGAGGTATATCTCTTATTAACTGTCTAGTAACAATTATGTTATTTAAATATTGGATTATTGTTACCTAAATAAAATTTAATTATTACAAAAACAACAGTCAATTTTTAAACAGTTTCAACCACTTTCTCCAAAATTTAAGCACTTTTCAAACCTTGAAATCTCTATATTAAAATTCAAGCAATTTCAAGGATTTCACTAATAAAACACGCCAAGCCAAAGTACTCTGTGGAAACTTAACAGTTACATTGATTGGGGCGGGCCTGTAAACGTTACTTAAGTAAACAAATGAACTCTGTGGATGCTGTAATCTGTGAAAATGTAAACGGAGAGCCTCTGAAGAATTATGAGATGATGCGGGTTTAATAGACCTCTTACCGCGAGCGACTGCGCGGAGTCCCAAAACTTCATCCGGAGTGATGTCTCTGCCCAGCGCCCGCAGCTCTTCCTCCGTTACAGGCCGACGGTCCACTTGATTTCGTCGGGATTTTAGCCGTTTCAGGACGCCGCCCCCTGATTTGTGGTCTCTGGACGCCGCCGCTGAATCGGAGCCGTTAACAGCGGTGGCTGCCGTCTCGTTGCGGGAGCTCTGACTGTTCATCTCTCGGAAATTTCCCTTGTGTTGCTGCGGAGCGCGAAACGCGTCTCTGTTGAGGTGCTCGACGCAAGATGGCAAGATGGCGTAGCGCGTCACTATGGAGAACCTACGCCACCAAGACTGCGCTCTGATTGGCTGAACGCTTTTGAAAGTTGCTATAGTGACCATCATTTCGGTTTACTTTCTCAAATCTCACACCGCGAGTTTAGTCAGGGTTGTTTTCTTAATTAGTCAAAAGGTTTTGTGTTTGAATGTTTTAATTTATAAAGTATTTATGTGTTTATGCCTTTACATTAATTCATTTAGCAGAAGCTTTTTACCAGTTATTTACAAAGGAGGACAACAGACACAATGAAGTCAAGAATAATAAAAGTAGATGAAAAACAAATAGAATGGCGCTACTGTTATTAAAAGGTCAAGTTTTGACCAAAGGAATATGAAAATGTATCATTTGCCCACCCTTGTCCAGTTTGAGTTTTTCATCCTGTTGAGCACTAAAAGTAAATATTTTGAAGTTGGAAACAAGTAAACAAATACTAACGTTACTGGTATGTTTACTTGGTTCCAACATTTTTAAAGTGGTGGTCCACTACGAAATCATATTTTAAACTTTAGCTGATGTGTATTGTAGCTGTGTGAACATAACATCTCTAAATGTAAGACACTCAAAGTTTAATGTAAGATAGACATTGGCTTTTACAGAGTTAGCTTAGCAAAGCCTACAGCGAACAAAGTTTGGGGACTACAAAAAAAAAAATACATCCAGGTTATTGAGATCACAACCGCTTTGGATTACAGTAGTTGTTTATCGTGAGAGTTACGTTTTAAAAATAGCCTGCGATAGGCAAAATCCAACAGGCATTAACATTTTCGCACTTTTCTCTCTTGTTTCAAACTTCATAAAGTTTCTTTTTTCCTGCAGTCACTGATCCACAAAACTAAAGCAGACTTCCTTCTTAAGGGGGTCACACACCGGATGCACTGTGCACATGACAGTTGGAAGTAACACTCAGCAGAAGCGCACATTCGCATGTTATTTAAAATGAAATAATTCAGATGGCGCTCTGTGGTGCGGCAGAAATATGAACAGTGTGTCGAGTCGTAGCTGGGCACCGCAGACAGCTGCTGACTAGCAGCGGCTGTGTGTGTACCCTGAAATGTGTGTGTACCCAAGGCACTGCATTCTGTGACGCATCCCTTTACGATATTGGTGAATGGTGATGGTTGAAACTGAATGCATTCTGTACTGTATAAGACATATAGAAGATTGACTGACAATAGACTATAGCAGGGGTCACCAATCTAGTTCCTGGAGGTCCGGTGCTCAGCAGGGTTTAGCTCCAACTTGCCTCAACACACCTGCATGGGCTCAAGTATACCTAGTAAGACCTTGATTAGCTTGTTCAAGTGTGTTTGATTAGGGTTGAAGCTAAAATCTGCAGGACACCGGCCCTCCAAGAACAAGTTTGGTTATCCCTGGTCAATAGCTAATTAGGATCCAGAACACAATGGGCTGTAAAAAAAAAAAAAGCAGTAAAATTGCACAAAAAAATCAGCGAGACTGCGAAAAGCGAATGCATTAAAGTGAGGGACCACTCCACACACATTCTTCATGCGCATATACCCCGCGCAACAAAGGGACATGGCCAGAGGCACTGTAATGTTATAGCAGAGTATGCTAAAATGCTGTCCAAACACCGCAGCTGCGTCCGAAACCACGTACTACTTAGTAGGTACTGCATTTGAATTTAAACGTATTACTCGGCCATTAGAATAGTACTTCTATACAGTATGAATGTGAAAAGTATGAATTGAATTCGGACGTACTACATCTGCCATTTTGTCATGGTGAGGTGACCTACCTGTGTCAGTTGCATTGCTTCACACCCTTTCATGAATTTTCTTGCGGGGCATCATGGGATAGCGCAGCATGCATGGGATGCGCACTTCAGAATCTCGCCGGAAGTAATAAGTCATCCGGGTACTTCTCGCATACTGATTTTCGAATTTTATGAATTCAGAAATACTCGGCTTGCATACTGATTTTAGCGTACTATATAGTATGGAAGTATGCGTTTTGCAAGTTTGCAAGTTGCGGCCAAAGGACACAAAGAAAGAAGTACCTACAGTATAATTTTAATTATGTTCCTGAGATTTATAAAAAAAAAAGCATTTAACAAAGGACAGCTTCCTGAATCTCTCCCAGTTCTGACCCCTACCCTACTCAACCCTAAACCCAACAATCAGTACTGTAAAAATATGAATTATTGTTATCCAGTGTCATAAAAAATGCTGCTATATTGATGTGCATATCGCTCTTCCGGCCAGCCATGTATCCTATCTAGAATTTACCAGAGTAAACTGAGTAGCTGTATATAATTAAAGTACAATATATGAAAAAAAAAAATACATGTTTTTTTTTTTTTTTTTTTTTTGATGCATGATCACATTGCTTTTTTATAAACACAACCAAGAATTAAAAATACACTCTGGACCATCCTTTTAAAATATCTGCATGGTACATTACCAAAAAATTAAATAAATAAATAATCAATAAAACAAGTCAAGGAAGAGTAAATGATGACAGGATATGCATTTTGTGTAAACTATGCCTGTATGATTTTGCAGCTCAGGTTGAGCTGATGAAGTCATTCTGGTGACAGAAAGCAATAATGGTAAAAGTCTTTAAAAATAATTTTGTGCTCTTTTGGGTTGGCATAAGCTGCCTGAAATAGTTAAGCCTAAAGTAGTGAATTGAATTTAATGCACTGCCTTTAATTGCCTTTAATTTGAGCTGTAATTGGATTTAGAAGCCAAAGTAAATAGATAAAAAGAAGAGTGACAGACATTAGAGCAGCTACAGTCAAAGTTAGATCACAATGAGAGGTAGATTAGAGTTTTATCAGCTGAAAAGAGTAATACGATGAATGATATGTTTCTGAATTACTGTTCCCAGTGATGCTAGATTACAATACAATGGAAGTGGTCCAAGATCTGAGGACTGCAGTAGCTACATGCTGCAATGTAGGTACCTTACACCTTGAAAGATCTACCTTCGAGGTAAGATCTGAACAACTTTAGCCCAGTTCCTTTATTTTTCATTTATTTATTGTCATTTCTGTGTATAAAATAATTATAACAAAACACCCAGGACAACAGGGTAAAAATAATAGATAATAGCTTAGATATCAACTAACTTTAATTACTAATTTGTGCTTGCAATACTATATACATTTTTAATATACAATAATCACATTTAAATTTCATATTAGAGTTAAAGATCTTCAAAGAGGGGATTTTATTCACAGCATATGTTTTAACAAACTTGTGTCTTAACAAAAGAGTTACACTTAAAGTGATGGTTCACCCCCAAAAACCTGATTTTATTTGGCTCTGCTTCATGTCCTCCAATATGTGACTTTTCTTGTTAAAAGATCTTTATCCGAAACTGTAGCGCATGGGATAAACTCAAAAGATCTCAAACTTTTTTTCTATGTAGATAAAAGGCCTATTATTCCCAAATTGTTCAGACATTTGTCTAAATCGGTGTTAAGCTTGGTTTATACTTCTGCGTGAAGTGATCGGCGTGAACCACAAGGCATGCTGTGCATTTATACTTCTGCAGGCTGTTTGTGTTCCTCTGTAATAACACATCCGTAACACTAGCGGGCAGTGAGGTGTTCTTGTTCCTGTGTCGAGTTTCTTCGCTGGTGTTTTGCTTTTTCTTAATAATGTAAAAGTAGCTCAAACTCGCTTATTTTGTAGCAGGAACCAGTGGACGTGCAACAACTTTAACCATACGGTAACAAAACAAAACTTTTCATCTGGAGCTCCTTCATGGGACTTGACACTTGTAAACACTCGCTCCAACAGACTCGCACAGCTCTGAATCCTGTCCACACTCGTCAGCGATACCAAGCCGACCAATCACAGAGCTTGCGCTACGCGTCGTTGCAATGTGTAGTTACATATTTTGAGAGGTGCGTGTCAGCAACGTTGATGACCAAGGCGAGGGCTATGCATCCAACCGTAGGCTGCGCCGTAGCATACGCATGCGTTTGACGTTGAAGTATAAATCAGCCTTTAGTGAGCACATCTCCTTTGCCCAGAATATCCATCCAATCAATGGCATGGCATATTCATGGCCATGGCATATCAAGATGCTGATTAGACAGCTTGAGTATTGCACAATGATGCCTTAGGCTGCCCACTATAAAAGACCACACTTAAATGTGCGGTTTTATCACACAGCACAATGCCACAGATGTCTCAAGTTTTGAGGGAAGATGCAGTTGGCATTCTGACTGCAGGCATGTCCTTCAGAGGTTTTTTGTGTGATTAGAATGTCAATTTATTCACCATAAGCAATCTACAAAGGAGTTTCCTACAATTTGGCAGTACATACAACTGGCCTCAATCACAGACCACATGTAATCATAACAGCCTATGCCCAGCATCTTCACCTTGAAGAACATCTGAGAACAGCCACCCAGACAGCTGCTACAACAAGAATTTGTTGTAAGAAACACAGGAAAGTTCACCGGCATGCTCGTTGTCCTCATCTGGGTCTTGACCTGACTGCAGTTTGTAAGTGCAACTGACTCGAGTGGGCAAATGCTCACATTTGATGGCATCTGGCACTTTGGAGAGGTGTTCTCTTCTTGGATAAATTCAGTTTTTTACTGTACTTGGCAGATGGCAGACAGTGTATATGGCGTCATGTGGGTAGGAAGTTGAATGCTCATATATTCCTCAATGAAATCATGAAGCCCATCGTTGTGCCATTATGTAATTTTATGTGTATTTATATAGCACATTTATTGTGAATGGCCATACACCCAAAGCACATCACAATCATGAGGGGGGTCTCTCCATACAACCACTACCTCTACCAGTGAGCAGTATCCACTTTGTTGAAGTGATGGCAGCCACAGGGCAACAGCGCCAGTGCGCTTACCACACTCCAGTTATTTGATGGAGTGGAGAGATATCGATAGAGCCAATTCAGTGGATGGGTTAGCGCCAATGGAGAGAATTTAGCCAGGACACCAGGGTTACACCCCTACACTTTACGGGAAATGCCATGGAATTTTTAATGACCACAGTGAGTCAGAACCTCAGCTTAACATCTCATCCAAAAGATGTCGCTCACTGACAGTATAGTATCCCCTTCACATTTCTGG